CACCCCTCAAATTGATGCACTTCTTTTTTCTTTGCTCTCCCTCCTTCCTTCCTTCCTTTCTTCTTCCCTTCTTTCTCCCTGACTTTGTTTGGTATCTGGGCAACCAGACCTGACAGACCTACTGACTTACAAGACTTCAACCAAGAGCAAAGGTCCTACGGACCGCTCTGACAGACAATGACGAATAGTAGTAGCCTATGTTTTAGGCAAAGCTAAAATGGCGGCTTCGTTGTTAAGATATTCTCATGACTTACACACGAAAATTTGTCAGAAAAAATACCGAACTCTAAAGCCATGTACAGATATGTAACAACACCGCGAACCTAGTGTAGACGGTAAAAAGAACGTTCGCGGTGTTGTTACATATCATCTGTACATGGCTTAAAAATTACTGTTATTGCTACGCTCATGTTTTTAGATTATTTTGCGCATACTAAACAAAAGCCGTATTTTCTTCTTTCCACAATAATTATGTCTACTCTGAAAAGGTTATTGTCTCGTAGATGGCGCTGTAGTTAAATGTTCGTATATCATTGGCTACAGCGTCATCTATGAAACACTATGGACATTAACTTTTTCAAAGTGGATTCCTACTCGTACTTATTATGAAGTGAAGAGGAGAGACAGCTGTGATAAATCCTCGTAGACAATGCTACGGTACTTCACTGTATCCAGGTAGAATACGTTTTTATTCCGAAGCAGCCGCTGTACATGGCTTAAAAATTACTGTTATTGCTACGCTCATGTTTTTAGATTTTGCGCATACTAAACAAAAGCCGTATTTTCCCCTTTCCACAATAATTATGTCTACTCTGAAAAGGTTATTGTCTCGTAGATGGCGCTGTAGTTAAATGTTCGTATATCATTGGCTACAGCGTCATCTATGAAACACTATGGACACTAACTTTTTCAAAGTGGATTCCTACTCGTACTTATTATGAAGAGGAGAGACATAGCTGTGATAAATCCTCGTAGATAATGCTACGGTACTTCACTGTATCCAGGTAGAATACGTTTTTATTCAGAAGCAGCCGCGGCTGCTATAAACAGTTCAAAGAAACTTTTTTAGCCCGATTTTTGAACTGCCCAAGGTAAGTAGAACTGAATAACGCTTTCTCGGGTAGACTCTTCCACAATCTTGACACCCTAGCGAAAAAGGAGCGGCCGTATTGGTCAGTTCTGGATGTACAATGTTCGACACGATAGGATGGGAGGTTAAAGTTGGGAGAGTCTGTATGGGTGCACATCGCGGGACAGCTGTGAAGATTATAGCCCGTTGGCATAGAGGTAGAAGAGAGCTAGATCGCCGAGAGCCCGTCGGTGCGAAAGGGTTCCGAGACTGTTAGTGGAGTCATCCATCAGTCTTTCTCTGAACGGTATCGAGCATGGATAATTTAGTCAGGGCGGCAGCACCCCAAACACGTGAGCAGCACTCGAGGCTATATCTTATCGTTTTTTGACAGGGGAAAGCTTTTCTAACCACTCTCAGACAGAAAAAACTTGACAGTATTGACCTGCCGGCACTTCCTGCCTGAAGTGTGAAATTCTCCACACATCAAGCCACAGTAATGCTTCCAGCATTTCTTCATAGTACGTACCGAAGGTATTAGTCATCTATTCTCTATCGTACACACATACTTTTATACCTATGCATATGTACAAGCGAGCAAAATAAAAACCTACTATTGCTTCCTTGGTGTATTTTTGTTCTCTCGTACCTTACTCAGCATCATTTGCCTCACTATTGGATGAATATCAACCCATTTTTCCTCGCGTATATAAGTGGAAAAATTGTCAGCAGTGAGCCTCTTGTCGAGAGTCAGTTCATCGGTCGACACTGTTCTGTAAGCGCATACCTCATGCAGCGCCGCTTTTCGCTGGCTTCTCAATATTAGCTGTCTATATTTCTTTTTGCTCAAAGCCTTCTTATATATCGGAGCTCGGTACAGCATAATCGAGTTTGTCCCCACTGCCAAAACCCTGCGCCTCTCACTACTGGAGCCTCCGTGAGATGGAATCAGCCGTATAAGTGATGCCATTACCTTATTTATCTTGTCAGTGGTGCGTCTTATATGTTCAATCATCTGCAGTATAACTATTTTCGTTTTCTCAGTAGCCAATTTCAAGCATTCGAGTGTATCACTCTCCTTCCTAGTCACTATCATCGCAAGGTCGTTAGCATACCCTATCAAGCACATTCCCGGCAACATCTGTAACCGAAGAACCCTATCGTAGAATACGTTCCTAAGCAACGGTCCTAGGACGGAGCCCTGCGGCACTGCCTTGGTAACCTTCATCGTCTTTTGTCCTACCATAAGTGCCATCTCGTCAAAACAGCTCTTTATCATGTTCAACAGATAGCTAGGGGAGATTCGACGATTTTATTATTATTATTATTATTATTATGATAATTGAGATGAGCAGAGTACACAGTACTATAAGCTCATGCAGTAAATACAGTGTACGGACACGTAACACAAATACATCAAATAGAAAAAAATAAAAAAAGACAGTTCATAGCTATAAAGTTTGTACACTCCTCCAGCTATCATACTGCACTTTGAAGCTATTAACTCAAGTAGCACCAACCACACTTTCAGGTAAACTATTCCAGGTGTTGAATATGCGGTTGGGAAGAAACCACTGTCGGACTGTTGTTTTAAATGGCTCCTTATGCAGTTTGAAGCTGTGTCCGCGTAGATTGCTGCGCGACAGACGGTATAGATGCATGAGGTTGGTGCCCATCAAACCATGAAGTATCCTGAACGTAACTATAAGATCGCCACGAAGTCTTCGCTCAGAGAATGAGGTCAGGTTGAATAATTCAAGGCGATCTTCATAGTTTGGTCTTCGTGCTCCAAAAGGGATACGAGTAGCCCGACGCTGTTCTGATTCGACGAGATTTCTATTGCGCAGAAGCACAGTGTCCCATACCGGGCCAGCGAATTCAAGAATTGGCCTCACGAATGCCTTGTAAATGTAGGCGCAAGTGTTGACATCGGATCCTTTGAAAGACCTCTCCAGCATGTATAGAAGTTTCTTGGCTTTTGATGTAACGTGGTGAATATGCTCTGACCAGGAAAGACGATCGTTGACTACAACGCCCAGATCAGTGTGGCTGGAAACTGCTTCGATGTTGTGGTCAGAGATCTTGTATGTAAATCGCGGATTTGTCTTCCCGAGGTGAAGGACACAACGGTTAGTTAGATTTAAGGGTAAAAGCCAACTGACTGACCATTGACAAACAATATCAAGATCTCGTTGAAGCATAGCAGAATTTACGACAGTATTGTAAATCTTAGTGTCGTCGGCATAAGCTGAACATGTGGAGGAAATCAATGCGGGCAGGTCACTTGTATACAGAAGGAACAGCACTGGCCCCAAGACAGAGCCTTGAGGAACTCCACTTGCTACATGATGAAGGTGAGACTGGCTATCACTGACGCGCACAGAGAAAGTCCTCCCGGTGAGAAAAGCCTTAATCCACAGTAACAACTCGCCTCTTATTCCCATACATTCCAACTTAAACAGAAGCCTTCTATGTGGTACGCGATCGAAAGCCCTAGAAAAATCTAAGTAGATTATATCAACAGGAGTCTTTGTGTCCAGATACTGAGTCCAATCGTTGAGAGAGTGGAGAAGGTTGGTCATTATTGATCGACCAGGGAGAAATCCATGCTGATTCTTAGGGATAAGGTCATTTTCGAAAGCAAATGACAGGAGCTTATCTAATATGATTCTTTCAGCTATTTTGGCGGCGATAGGAACGAGACTTATTGGTCGATAATTTTTAGCGGAGGATTTGTCGCCCTTTTTGAATACAGGGGTAACAGAAGCACTAAGCCAGCATGAGGGTAGGGTATGAGATCTAAAAGACGATGTGAATATCAAGCTTAATGGTAGGGCCAGTGCTGAAGCGCAGTTTTTAAGTACAGCAGCCGTCATCCCATCTTTACCAGGGGAGGAAGAGGTCTTCAGATTTCGCAGGTGCATTAATACATCTTCAGGCAGGAACTCAACTTCGCAAAGGCTGTTGGGACACCTATGGCAGATAGTGGTCGGTAGAAGGTCTCCATTAGGCTCATCGACGAAGTCATCACTAAAGGACTCTGCCAGTAAGTTGGCAGATTCGGTGGCATCCATGCGGAGATGACCGTCAGCGTCGCGGATCTGAGGTGATGAAACTTTGGAATGCAGGTTTGTTCTTAGATACTGAAACAGCATCTTCTTATTTTTGGAGGTAACGAGTTTTCGTTCATAAGCATGTTTGGCATTATGTAACGTTCTAGATAGGAGGTTAGAAAAGGATCGATGAGACACGTAATCTTGTGAATGGCCACTCCTCCTAAACCGTTGCCACAAAGATCTCTTGTGACGAAGCATCCTCGATATGTTAGAGTTGATCCAGGGCTTTGAGGGGTCACAGTATACCTTCTTTTCACCAGTATTGTCAGCCGTTTCGCTTAGGACTCGTTGAGCGAAAGTGTCCCACATATCTTGGGTGCTACGGTTGTTAAGCAAAGCAGGCCAGTTGACTTCAGACAGGGCTTGGTTAAGAGCATCGTGGTTTACAATTTTGATGGTTTTAAACTTATCGGTTATAGAACGACTATTTATATTGAACTGGAGAGAAGATAAAAGTGAACAGTGGTCAGACTTGCCAAAAGGTGGCAAATAATCTAAATTAGAAACAAAGTCGGCGTCGTTAACGAATATCAAATCCAGAGCCCTAAGCGTCTGTCCTTCCCTGAACCTCGTTGTGCTGTGTTAAAGGCATTCTTAACGTCAAAAGCAACCATAACGCAAAACTTCTTACTACTAGAGATGAGATCATGTAAAGAAAAGTACTTCTTAGCTGTAAATAAATATCCTGGCTTTCCTAGCCGACCAGCAGAAATAAACAGCTTTTTGGTTCTGGGATAATTATTTGTAAAACTCGAACGAAGCTGTCTAGGGGAAAACCATGCGATAAATCCATGGGTTGTGAAAATAAAAAACAATCAACAGAAAAAAGGTCTTTATCCGTACAACTGATTAATACTTTACACATAAAAACATGGTATTAAAATGGCAACTGATCTGGTAAAATAATCTGTATTTAGTTACTTTTTACACACTAAAGGCAAAAATCAAAGTAATGCATTCTCACGACAATGGGGCTTAGAAAAGTCTCAAATAGACTAGAGGTATTTTCACTTATACTCTTTACAGATCCTTGCACACAAAGAAACCTCAGCTTTTTTTAGTTTGGACGATACATTTTTAATGCAGGTTTTTAAAAAAACTGAAATATCTCTGTGAAACAGGAGTTGAATTCATTTTGGTCACAGTTTAATACGTTGCTAATGGTTCTCACTGTGATTTAACCCAGTCAACACCCTTGGCGATTTCTTTCTTCAGCTCTGGAATTGCTTTGCTGACAAGGTCTTTCTCATAGGCGTTGAGCTCTCCAATGCCCAGGTTCTTTTCTAGTCCTCCTTTACCTAAACAAAAATGAGGTATAACGTTAAAAATGACTGACTTAAACCGATGGTTTATATACATATTCCACCAGAAGATAACCAGCCCAACTGGATGCTGAGCCTGTGTGAAAATGAGAACACGCATCGTGACGCACTTGTTGTTTTTTTTTTGGACGGGACAGCGCTACAGTATTGCCCTTTTGGCCTTTGTTGTCTGAAGTGTGAGAATCTCCAAGAATGCAGCATACCATGACGCACAAGTATATGATACCAAACAATTTTATTTCTTACATTCCATCACCCATTATCACAGAATTATTAGCGAACGCGACACAATATAGTCATAATACCAAATATAAATTACGCGCAAAAATATTCCTAAACCTAACAAATCTGTAATGAAACGATCTCACCTGTATTTAGCTACAAAATTGTATGAACATTCACCAAATGATTTAAAACAATTACGTAATACATTGGGCTTATTTTTTTTTAATGGAGTAATATGCTTGGAAAAAATAACAATCATGGGTTAGTCTCAAATAATACCCAGTAAATACAATCATTCTTACAAATAATATAATTAGGTTTTTTGCAATTCAACGTACAATTGATTCATGCACAGGGATTGTCCTTCTTTTGCTAAATTATACTTATTTATTCATTATATGTTACCTGTATTTATAGAGTAGATAAATATTGCTACTACTATTCACTAAAACTTCTCAGCCGTTCACTACACATTTCACCACGGTAATGCTTGCATCATTTGGGTAAATTTGCGCGAAGTTTCCATACCAAAGGTATTTAGTCATCTTATTATCAGCGTCCTACGTATGTACATATTTATAAAACTTTACAACCGAGCAAGTAAAAATCTATTGTTAGTTCCTTGGTCTTGTGTGTCCTTCTGTACGTTGCTCAACATCATCTGCCCCACTACTGGTTGAATGTCAACCCGTTTGCCATCGTATCAGAAATGCAAGAACTTTATTTACCTTATCAGTGAAGCATGCTTCCATTATAAAGGGTGATTCAAATTGAGTTCCCACATTACAAATATTTTTTTTTTGGAAGCGCTACTGAATTTCTCAACAACGTGCCATTTCTAACGTCAAAATATAAACAAAACAGTCATGGATCAATATTCGACCGAACAACGTTATTTATCCTAGCTTATAATGTAAAACGGCCGATCAAGGAAGAATACATTTCGTGCTTTACGTGAATTTTTTGGCGCACAAAATCGGCCTTGTGAGAGGACAATTTGGAATTTGCTGCAAAAATTTTAGCAAGCTGAATCCGTCGCTAACATCAAAACCCCTAGGCATGCTCGTAGAGGTCGGTCGGAACACAATATTGCTATTGTTGCCGAAAGTGTGGCCGAAAATCCAAGAACATCGATTCGTCATCGATCGCAGCAACTGAACCTTACCTAATCCACTACACAGCGGAATTTAACAAAAAAAAAGTTACATCCATGCAGAGTCCAAATAACACAGGAATTGAAGCCTAGACACCATCAACAGCGCCGTGTTTACCGAATGGGTAAGAGAACAAGGGGTAAGTTTTCCATTGAAAATAATCTTTAGCGATGAGGCACATTTTAACATTGGGGGCTTCGTAAACACTTACAATTGCCGTATTTGGGGATTAGAAAATCCAAGACATATTATTGAAGTGAAAATGCATCCTCAAAAGGTGACTGTTTGGTGTGCCTTTTGGTCCGGATTCGTAATTGCTCCATTTTTTTTAAGATCATGCGGAGAACGCTATTACGGTTAATAGCGTTCGCTATCGGAGCATGATGACTGAGTTTTTCTGGGAACAGTTGGAAGATATGGACAATGCAGATCTCCGGTTTCAACAGGACGGCGGCACCTGTCACACATCAGGAGAAACGATACAATTACTGCGCGGCAAGTTTCCACGTCGCGTTATTTCACGTAACGGCGATATCAATTGGCCGCCGCGATCCTGTGATTTAACTCCCTTAGATTATTTTATTTGGGGGTATCTCAAGAGCAAAGTCTACAAGAATAAGCCGAACACAATTGCGGAGCTGAAACAGGAGATCAGACGCAAAATTACCAACATAAGACCTGAATTGTGCCACAGAGTAGTCGAAAATTTCTCGAAACGGATTACGTCATGCCGCATGAGCCGCGGCGGTCATTTACTTAATATCATCTTTCATGCATAATTGTAATGAACTCCCCTGAAAGGGCAAATACATATTTTTCTATAATTTTCAATTTCTTCTGTTTTTTAAATACTTTTAATGAGGAAACTCAATTTGAATCACCCATTATATACAGGGTTATCCAAATTAAGTGTCCACCATTAGTAACTTTGTTATTAGTGAAAATACAAAGTTGTTTGAATTAGCAAACTAGTAGCATTTTTAACGCTGGTAAAAATGAGAAATAAAAAAAACAATTGAGAGTCATTATTTTGATTTTTTTCAGTAAAATAACATTTTTTTAAATGGAAACCCCTGTATATTATATTTTTTTCTGTTAAAGCATCAAATTTTAAACAAAAAAGTTCATAATGACTTTTCCGCTAAAGTCAAAAATAAAGTCAAAATAACGATAAATATTTTTAATTATTTGCAGTATTATAATATTAAGACGGCTATGAAAACAACATGGCGTTCGCGATTTGACAGCATTAAGATAAGCGACAAATTGTTAAACTGGACATACTCGCAACTAGAAGGCTTTGGAAAACAATGATAAAATCAAATAATGTCAAACATTAGTGTAAATACTTGTTTATAAGCTTTATTGTGTCATTAATTTAAAGAAAAATGTTCTCCCATGAAGAAAAGTGTGATATGTTAGAATGCTATTTAGTGTGCAGAAAATGCTCCTTGAGAGCAAGAGAATACTACAGTGAATTATATCCCGCTCGCATTCAACCGTATGAACGATATTTTCTGAGACTTTATCGAAAATTTAGGGGCAACGAAAATGGTTTTGCTAAAACAAGGGCAAAAAAAGAATTCATAATAAGCGAGGCCACGGAAATTGCAGTTATTGGATATTTTGAAGCTTATCGTGAGAATTCAATAGCAGATATTCTCAAGGACTCTAATTTCAGTTATGGTACTGTTCAAAGGATTTTAAAAAAATACAAATTTATTCCGTATAAGTACCGACCAGTTCAAACGCTTTTGGCAGGGGATCCAGAGAGAAGACTTGTTTTTTGCCATTAGTATCTTAGCTTCTGTCGCCAAAATGTAAATAACTTTCGTTACCTTTTATGGACAGATGAATCAAATTTTTCAAATTCTGGAATGTTTAATAGAAAAAACCACCATTATTGGTCAAGAGAAAATCTTTTGTTAGTACATCCAAGAGGCCCACAAGTCCGTTTCAGTTTCAACGTTTGGTGCGGTATAATTGGTTCAAAAATTGTTGGCCCGTTCTTTTATGAGGGAACCCTAACTGGTGAAAGATATGTGGAATTTATGTCAGAAATTCTGACTAATTTCTTAGACGAATTGGATCTTATAAGTAGACATCATCTGCATTTTCAGCAAGATGGCGCACCTGCCCACAACTCCAGAGGTACTTATCATTTTCTAAGTACTACTTTTAATGATCAGTGGATAGGAACAAATGGCCCAATACAGTGGCCTCCCAGATCACCAGATCTAAACCCACTTGATTACTTCTTGTGGGGTTACTTAAAGAACCAAATTTACAAGCGAAGGTACGATAACCTTGACGCGTTAAAGACTGCAGTTAGGGAAAAGATAACCCAGATAGATGGTAGGACCATACTTAAGACAGTTCGAGCAGTTGAAAAACGTGCCCAAAAATGTATTGAAGAACAAGGTGGTGTTTTCGAGCATCTTCTTTAAAAAAAATTGTTATTGTATTTTGTAAGATTATAAGTTGATGTTGAAAATAAAGTTTGTCGATACAATTTAATTGTTTCAGATTGGAGGCCATAACTTCAACAATTTGTAACCTAGGAGAAAAGTTATTGTAAGCTTTTTTGTTTAAAATTTGATGACAGAAAAAAATATAATATACAGGGGTTTCCATTTAAAAAAATGTTATTTTACTGAAAAAAATCAAAATAACGACTCTCAATTGTTTTTTTTTATTTCTCATTTTTACCAGCGTTAAAAATGCTACTAGTTTGCTAATTCAAACAACTTTGTATTTTCACTAATAACAAAGTTACTAATGGTGGACACTTAATTTGGATAACCCTGTATACTAAGTGACATATAAATCCGAACACCCAGTTTAAATGGTTTTATTTTAATAAAAGTTGGTGAATGTATTTGTCTTACTGTAAATAACAAGTGAAAAATTTTTCAGCCTTATCAGTTGGACATTCCGGTTATTATACTGCTTTTTTTAATTCATTAACGCTCTAAAAATGAATATTTCAGCCGCAGTAAAGAATCAACGTTGGCGGATTTTGGTTCTTGACATCCTTTACGATCGGTTAAGATGCCTAGAGTACGGAGACCTGTACGATTCCGTCAACTTAGTGAGATTGATAGGGGCCGTATAGTGGGACTTCGGGAAGCTGGACTTTCTTTTCGGGCAATTGCAGTTAGAGTGCAAAGAAGTGTAGACACTGTGGTTAGGTGTTGTCAGGCATGGCTTCGAGAAGGCCGTACGCAAAGAGCAAGGGGCACTGGACGCCGCCGTAGAACAACAGACCGTGAAGATCGCCGCCTAAGATTATTGGGATTAAGGGACCGTTTCTCCACTACCAGGTCCATTGCAAATGAATGGTTTGCAGAACACGGAAGACCTATTGGCATGCGGAGTGTTTACCGACGAATGAGAAGTTTTGGCTTGTTTTCATACCGGCCACACTGGGTCCTCCCTTTAACTCGAGAACACCGACGTAATCGCCTTGAGTGGTGCAGACAACGGCCACTCTGGGATCAGGAATGGAACAGTATTGTCTTTAGTGACGAGTCTCGATTTTGTTTAGGCATGCACGATGGTCGTGCCAGGGTTTGAAGGCGACGTGGTGAAAGAAGGAATCCACAGTTTTTTGTTGAAAGACATGTTCATCACACTGTTGGAGTTATGGTTTGGGGTGCTATAGCTTATGGTACCAGGTCACCTTTAATCTTCATCAGAGGTAACATGAACGCGCAGCGTTATATCCACGAAGTTCTAGAACCCCATCTTTTACCCTATCTTGACACCCTGGCAGATCCAACTTTCCAACAAGATAATGCCCGACCACATGTTCCAAGAGTCACAATAGACCTCTTTCAACATAATGATGTCACATTGTTACCATGGCCACCAAGATCTCCCGACTTATCCCCAATTGAGCACGTGTGGGATATGATGGGTAGGAGATTGCTCAATTTGCAACGTCCTCCTCAGACTCTAGAAGCACTTCGAGAGGAGTTGGTGGTTGCCTGGAATGAGATACCACAGGAGGACATTGACCACCTGATCAGAAGCATGCCTAGGCGCGTTGGAGAATGCGTAGCACATCAGGATGCATCCACACATTATTAAAGGTCAAAGGGCTTTAAATCAGTGCAATCATTTTGAAATTTTTATCATTTACTTATGCTTCATTAAGTACTTATACAAAATTTTATTAAAATAAAACCATTTAAACTGGGTGTTCGGATTTATATGTCACTTAGTATAACTAGCAAGTATGTGACATTGCAATCCATGAGTACTTCGCCAAAAGTGGTAAAAAACAGGAAACAATGTTGTATGCGGTTGGTCATAGTTACAGAGACGGAAAGCATACAGATCTTATCAACTACATACCTGTCAATCATCGTGTTTAGGCATCAGCGTTGCCATCTCTCTCGACTGATGGCGCAAGTTGTGTGCTTTTCTTTTACGTTTTTTTAAAATTCCAAGAACACGAAGCGGGAGTAATTACGAGAGAAGTTGGGCGTCATCTTTCCAAGGTTAAGATTAACCAATTTTTTTAATAAGAATAAGAGTTTGTTTTTGTGGCTCCTAAGGGAATTACTAGGAACCTACTTGGAAATCTGACTGTGAAAATGGGAATGGTATGCAAGCATAAGATTGGGTATATTCTTGGAGAATACGTTAATCATTGGCATTAACTATTTATGGAGGACCTTTTTTTTAGAGCACTGGCGAGTCGTCTTAGTTGTATTTGTATATTAGCAAATAATCGGCAAATTTTAACCACATAATGCACTATTACGATCTTTCGTAATTGTCTAGAACATATTGTTAGATATCGATTCAATTGAATATAAAAGTGGCACTATAGCTTTAACTTGGAGGTTTCTTTAAATTAGAGTGAATATACAGGGTGTTTCACAACTTATCCGACAAATTTTAACCACATATGCACTGTTACGAAAGAAGTTGATCTCTCAAAAAAAAATTAATAAAAGTCCTACAGAAATTACGTTATAAACCTGAGTTTAAATAACAAATTGAAAAATAAAAATCACTATTTAGCGTTCATCGTCGTAATATTAGAACACGCATTAATAATTTATTGTAGCAAATGTTGTACCACACAAATGTCTAAAACAAAATACCAGGAATTTTCTGTTTTTTCATACTGATAAGAACGTGTAAATAAGGTTTAATCTGTTTCGTGGGTGATCTGAATGAAGAACGGTCGATTTTTGTGAAGTGAAATAAGAAAGTATTTTGTAAGTGTACGTTTTTAGTTATTTATTAATAAAAACGGGACATGTGTACACTAATGAGGAGTTAGTGGACACTGTTTTAGCGTACGGAGAAGCAGGGCAAAATTCGTTTGTATGCACACCGATTTCCGAATAGGCACATACGACATCACGAAACATTTAGTTCAATTGTTGTACGTGCTCGTGCTAGTGGAGATTTGCGCCCAAAACGTGGAGTGGATGGGGGTCGGGTTCGCCCACAACGCGATTTAAATGCCGAAATTGGACTAGATGCGCCCAAGCTTGCATTGCAGTCAATGGAAACAATTTTGAACAGCTTTTATAAGTAAGTGAACTGTTAAACTGCATTATTTTATTATCTCGGTTTCTATAGGACTTTTAATTTTTTTTCTAAGAAATCAACTTCTTTCGTAACAGTGCATATGTGGTTAAAATTTGTCGGATAAGTTGTGAAACACCCTGTATATTCACTCTAATTTAAAGAAACCTCCAAGTTAAAGCTCTAGTGCCACTTTTATATTCAACTGAATCGATATCTAAAAATATGTTCTAGACAATTTGCTGATTTGCTCCGCCGCTTTTGTACGTTGGAATTGTTCCAAAAAATAAAGAAAGAACTTACCCAAAAGGACGGGATTAGCAAAGAATGGCACCTCAGTGACATCAGATTGGACATAGCAGCATTCGATGACGTTACTCTCTCCTTTAAGGCCTCGCATGACGCTATTTGCGAACCTGGCACCAGCATAGGCCATGGAAAGAGTCGCAGACCCGTGGCCTACTTTGGCTTTAACTACCTACAAAGAATAACAGACAAAGGTTAGCTAGCACGAGAATTTTAATAAACGTCCAAAAGGTTCTCGACAGCAAAGAGGCTATCAAATTCCATAGTTTAAATGCAGGTACACATGGGTGTTAAAATATACTAAGTGACATATAAATCCGAACACCCAGTTTAAATGGTTTTATTTTAATAAAAGTTGGTGAATGTATTTATCTTACTGTAATTAACAAGTGAAAAAATTTTCAGCCTTATCAGTTGGACATTCCGGTATTTATACTGCTTTTTTTTAATTCACTAACGCTCTAAAAATGAATATTTCAGCCGCAGTAAAGAATCAACGTTGGCGGATTTTGGTTCTTGACATCCTTTACGATCGGTTACGATGCCTAGAGTACGGAGACCTGTACGATTTCGTCAACTTAGTGAGTTTGATAGGGGCCGTATAGTGGGACTTCGGGAAGCTGGACGTTCTTTTCGGGCAATTGCAGTTAGAGTGCAAAGAAGTGTAGACACTGTGGTTAGGTGTTGTCAGGCATGGCTTCGAGAAGGCCGTACGCAAAGAGTAAGGGGCACTGGACGCCGCCGTAGAACAACAGACCGTGAAGATCGCCGCCTAAGATTATTGGCCTTAAGGGACCGTTTCTCCACTACCAGGTCCATTGCAAATGAATGGTTTGCAGAACTCGGAAGACCTATTGGCATGCGAAGTGTTTACGACGAATGAGAAGTTTTGGCTTGTTTTCATACCGGCCACACTGGGTCCTCCCTTTAACTCGAGAACACCGACGTAATCGCCTTGAGTGGTTCAGACAACGGTCACTCTGGGATCAGGAATGGAACAGTATTGTCTTTAGTGACGAGTCTCGATTTTGTTTCGGCATCCACGATGGTCGTGCCAGGGTTAGAAGGCGACGTGGTGAAAGGAGGAATCCACAGTTTTTTGTTGAAAGACATGTTCATCACACTGTTGGAGTTATGGTTTGGGGTGCTATAGCTTATGGTTCCAGGTCACCTTTAATCTTCATCAGAGGTAACATGAATGCGCAGCGTTATATCCACGAAGTTCTAGAACCCCATCTTTTACCCTATCTTGACACCCTGGCAGATCCAACTTTCCAACAAGATAATGCCTGACCACATGTTGCAAGAGTCATAATAGACTTCTTTCAACATAATGATGTCACATTGTTACCATGACTTATCCGCAATTGAGCACGTGTGGGATATGATGGGCAGGAGATTGCTCAATTTGCAACGTCCTCCTCAGACTCTAGAAGCACTTCGAGAGCAGTTGGTGGTTGCCTGGAATGAGATACCACAGGAGGACATTGACCACCTGATCAGAAGCATGCCTAGACGCGTTGGAGAATGCGTAGCACATCAGGGTGCATCCACACATTATTAAAGGTCAAAGGGCTTTAAAGCAGTGCAATCATTTTGAAATTTTTATCACTTACTTATTATGCTTCATTAAGTACTTATACAAAATTTTATTAAAATAAAACCATTTAAACTGGGTATTCGGATTTATATGTCACTTAGTATAATTTTGCTGTTCCATGTAATTAATTTCTGTATGTCTGCACGGGTTTTAATGAAATTTCCATACAAGGTTATATTATGCAAAGAAAAAGTGATTTACAGGTTCTGCAAATCTGTCTTGTTACGTCAGAGTTATGAGGGGAAAACGAAAAACTTAGATCGTTTTCAAGCTTCGTTTTTTGCGTTTAAGATTATTTTTGGAGGAGGTTAAAAAAATTGTCAAGCCAAAAAAATCTCAAAACTGGTTTTTGGTTTTTGGCTGGAGCCAAAAATATTTGGATGGTACGTTTTCGTGTACCTGTAATTTTTAATCAACTGGGTGTAAAAGTACTGAATCAATATACTTGATCCTATCTTTTTATCAAACACATCCTTCACAATTATTAAGAAGCTTCTTATCTCAATGATACTATGCAGATTTAATGTTAGACATAATAAGTCACACATATTTCCGCTACATCTGCAATGGAAGCAGAAATATGATAGATTTGCTTTCTATAGTTTGATACGCAGAGGTTGAAGATTCATCGTACCTAAGGCCCGTATCGTCAGTCGTCCCTACAATTGTAGGGTGCCTTTATGGCCTCCTTGATTGTCATAGTTTTCTTCTTCTCCGTGTCAGCGCTCTATTTTGAGGTTATGTCACAAACATCTATTTGCATCAAATTGTGTTTGCTTTTGAGTTATATCATGTTTTATCAGCCTGAAATTTCCTACAATTTAAAAAGAAAACATATCTTAACAATAGGAAACCGCTGACGCTGACACGGGACAAGTGTAATCTAGAAAAGTTTGAAGGAGAAAAAAGAGTATGACAATCAAGGAGGCCATAAACGCACCCTACAATTGTAGGGACGACTGACGATACGGGCCTAAAGCTTGGCAAATGCTGCGTGATGATGGTTGTTCCCCTTTGTACAAGGTGAGGATTTTCCTGCAAGAGTGCATCTTTGTAAGTGCGCAACGCATCTTCAAACTGGTGTCTCAACCTTACTGCCAACTTTTCTCGCTCAGGAAAAATTGCCACTTATTTCCCAACCAAGTATTCCAAAGTAAAAGTTTGCTCAACTTTAACTGGCTGTACTGGAAAAAAATGTACTACGAGAGCTTGGCAAGTAACCTTAAAAGTTGGCGCATTTAATAAGGATTCCAACATGGTATAACACTTAGAAGATTACTCGTTAACTTATGCACAATTTTTATTTGAAGAAAAACTGATGAAAATTTTTCAAAATTTCCTAATTAAACAGCGATTATGAAAACGCACAAGGACCCTTAAGGATAACTGTTTGCACAACAGTAGGCGTCAAAATGCTGCTGATGATGATTTACCTTTACAGCAAATGCTCAAACTGTTTTCCTTCAGCCGCAATACACGCTCGACATCTTCTTAAAAAACATCGGGTTATTAAATGAGCGAATCCACGGTTATTAACAAACTCAGCTGCTTCCAATAGTCTTTGCCGTAGCTCAGCTACAATTTGAATCGGCTTGGAATACACTTTTTCTTTTACAGTTCCCCAGTAAAAAAATCTAACGGATTCAAATCTGGTGACCGGGCTGGCCACGGTATTGTACCAGACCGCCCTATCCATCTGCCTGGAAAGTTTTGATCGAGATACTCTCTCACTGAGAGTGCATAGTGCGCTGGGCAGCCATCATGCTGAAACCACATGTCCCTGTAAATACTCAGTGGCACGTCCTCCAATAAATTTTCTAAATGATTTTTCAAAAAACCTAAATAAACCTCAGCAGTCAAAGTCTCTGGGAACTCAAACGGACCGATTATTTTACCATTTAAAATTCCTGTCCAATGGTTTATCTTGAAGCGATATTGAGATTTATCTTCTCTCATCAAATGTGGGTTTGCTACGTGCCACTCGTGTAAGTTATGCAGGTTCATGTACCCATCTTTCTTAAATGTGGTCTCATCTGACCATAATTTTTTTTCAAAGAACCGTAGATCTTCCCTGTGTCTTTTTAACATTGTGCGACAAAAAGCAACTCGGGGCTCATAATCCCGGGGCAGAAGAGCTTGAACACGCTGTACGTGGTATGGATGGAGCACGTTTTTTTGCAAGATTCTATGGGCTGTACTTTTGGGCACACCTGTTTTTAGTTCTATTGCACGCACTGAAGTACTCGGGTCTTCTTCGACAGCTCCTAGCACCACGTCTTCGTAAGGAAGGAAAGATCTTCCCTCACCGTGTGATTGGTTTGGTAGTTGGCCCTCTGAGAACAGTAAGCGGTGCACATTTGTGAACACTCGATGATCTGGATGACGAGCTGCATTCGGGTACCTCTCACAGTAAAGTCTCGCTGCAACACTAGCGTTGCATCTGCATTCCCCATAAATGAGGTGCATGCTAGCATATTCTTGTAAGGTGTACACGGACATAGCGGCACTGCACAATCACACTGTCAAAGATAGTCTAAGGAAAGCAAATGTTGTTTTGAAGAGCAATTAAACAGTCCAAATCCAAATCACAAGCGATCAACAGTCCAGCTCACGAATCCAAAATTAGTAACAGTACGAAATCAACAAGCACGAACATGTAAAGATGCGCAGTAAACGAAGGAGTACTGATCGGTATCAAAGTGTGCAATAGCAAGTAAGTGATGTGCTTCATCCATACCACATACAGCGTGTTCAACCTCTCCTGCCCCGGGATTATGAGCCCCGAGTTGCTTTTTGTCGCACAATGTTAGAAAGTCACAGGAAAGATCCACAGTTCTTTGAAAAAATTTTATGGTCGGATGAGACCACATTTAAGAAATTTGGGTACATGAACCTGCATAACTTACATGAGTGGCACGTAGCAAACCCACATTTGATGAGAGAAGATAAAACTCAATATCGCTTCAAGATAAACCATTGGACAAGCATTTTAAATGGTAAAATAATCGGTTCGTTTGAGTTCCCAGAGACTTTGACTGCTGAAGTTTATTTGGATTTTTTGAAAAATCAAGTATTAAATTTATTGGTGGACGTGCCACTGAGTATTTACAGGGACATGTGGTTTCAGCATGATGGCTGCCCAGCGCACTATGCACTCTCAGTGAGAGACTATCTCGATCAAAACTTTCCAGGCAGATGGATAAGGCGGTCTGGTACAATACCGTGGCCAGCCCGATCACCTGATTTGAATCCTTTAGTTTTTTTTACTGGGGAACTGTAAAAGAAAAAGTGCCGAAAAAAGCCGATTCAAAATGTAGCTGAGCTACGGCAAAGACTATTGGAAGCAGCTGAGTTTGTTAATAACCGTGGATTCGCTCGTTTAATAACCCGATCTTTTTTAAGATGTCAAGCGTGTATTGCGGCTGAAGGAAAACAGTTTGAGCATTTGCTGTAAAGGTAAATCATCATCAGCAGCATTTTGACGCCCACTGTTGTGCAAACAGTTATCCTTAAGGGTCCTTGTGCGTTTTCATAGTCGCTGTTTAATTAGGAAATTTTCATCAGTTTTTCTTCAAATAAAAATTGTGCATAAGTTAACGAGTAATCTTCTAAGTGTTATACCATTTTGGAATCCTTATTAAATGCGCCAACTTTTAAGGTTACTTGCCAAACTCTCGTAGTACATTTTTTTCCAGTACAGCCAGTTAAAGTTGAGCAAAGTTTTACTTTGGAATACTTGGTTGGGAAATAAGTGGCAATTTTTCCTGAACGAGAAAAGTTGGCAGTTTGAAGATGCATTATTCATCATTACATTGTAAAAATAAAATCCAAAAAAAGTTAATATTTGTAGTAACAGGAGTTGATAGACTGCCGTAGGGTGTGAAATTTCTATATCTTTTTCAAAGACCTATAATTTTCAAAACACATACATAATTTTTTTTTAAATATTTTTCTGATAGCTGTTATGGCTTTGCGTATCACCCGGTTTCGGCTTGACGTCGACTTCTGGGACACCCTGTAGATTAAAACGATTGTAAAATAAATTTCGTCGACCAATAAATTCAACAACCTCAAAAGCAAACGACATTTATTTCCTACGAAAATAACATCACTCCGGCGCCCCTTTACACTTCTGATCCTGATTCGCGAAATCAACCCCTTTCTGTATATCTCTTTTCAACTGTTCCAGAGCATCGCATAACAACTTGGTCTCGTACTCGTTGATATCCCCCACTCCGCAATTCTGCTCGATACCGCACTTGCCCAGTTTGACAGGACTAGCGAAGTAGTCGACATCGGTGACGTCAGCCATGACGTAAGCGCATTCTATGACATCTGGTTCGCCCATCAGGGCTCGCATGACATTGTTTGCAAATCTGGCGCCGGAGTAGGCCATGCTTAACGTTGCTGAGCCGTGGCCTGCTTTGGCTTTCACCACCTGAAAGAGGGGATATGAGGGATAGGTTAGGATGGGATAGAAAGAAGGATTGGGTAAGGATCGAAACTTAAACCTTGCGTTCCTGGTAGCAATTTTCCAACTCGATTTTTCCCTTATCACGTTTCTTGAATGATTATGAACCAATAAATGGCTGAGCGATAACCCGCCACCCGTATTACGTAACTTAAAAAGTAGCTATATGTAATTTTTTTTATGACATTATGTAGGTTTTTTGCTTTTACGTTATTTTGATGAAATGTTTACCCAAGGTACTGCAAATGATAAAAAAGCTTTTTAGTTCAGTGGTGGCGGAGCTAGAGGCAAAAACACGAAAAGAATAAAAATCGCTCAATCTTCGTTTTTTGACGTCTCAGAGGCTCCTAATCACTATTATGATGATTACATGAATATTTTATAGGGGTTGAAACTTTAACGATAAAAGTCCGACGTATAATGTGCTCATAATTTTGAAAAACTTGCAATCGTTGGCGTTGCGTGCACGGCTCGATGCTGCATCGTCCTGGAGGCCACTCCTGACTGTGCAATGGGTAACAAATTCCAATTGGTGAATCTGCGGTGGTGTCGTCAATGATACCACTACATGAGAATATTTATACATTTTAGCAATATTTGGATATCAGGAGTACGTATCACTTCAGCGTTCTGCGATGCTTTTGTAAATGATGGATTAACTGTTTTATATCTACACATATATTTTTCTAAATTTCATGATCCTTACATGTACCATCCGTTTCGTCTAACCTTTAATTTGTGTTAGTCCGTCCGTGATGATTCTCTGAATATTTCGTCAAGTATATTGACTCAGTACTTATGACGCATTGATATGCAACAGTCACGGACTGACAAACTAACATAAATGGACGGCTTTTTGCAGAAAAAAACCAACCCGGAAATTATTAAGCAATTAGGCATTAAAGTTTTGACAATGATAACAAATTCATTTTAGTCCAAACACGATTTTAATTAATGGCATACTAAAGGCTTTAAATATGTGTAAGGATCTTTTTTACAGTAAATGGTATTGCTCGTAATAGTTTATTTTCCTAAAATCTAGATTTTTCATATTTAGTGGGTTGGTGCAAAAAGCCGGCCAAATGAGAAACATGGACTTGTGTGAAACAGATATCTTAAATCAACAGAAACCTTGTGAACTGAAGTTCGAATATTATCGTTTCAAAGATTCCTGCTCATTTTCAGACATTATTTGGAAAGGATGAAAATTGTACTATGCAACAGTGGTGTGGGTAAGGTTGAATTTGCCTCTAACAGTTGGTCGGCAACTGGTGCTGTAGACTAATTGGTTAGGTCGACTCCACAGAACGAAGGACATGCGGGTTCGAATCCCACCGGCCCCCTACATAATATCATAAAAAATAGTTATGTCACTTTTCAAGTGACATTATATTGATGCCGGTGAGGGAGTAGTCTAATTTTTAAGTCAAAGTACCTAATTGTTGTCATACGCATATATCAATTCATTACTCCTTAGCATTGTTATTAAAGCTACAAAGAGGAACTGCGCTAGAATTGTTCAAGTCCGACCTCTATAATAGACAACAGAGGGTTGAAATTGTTAAAGGAGGTCAAACTTACAAGTCAAACATTGAGTTGACTTCAACCGGCATAGCACAGGGTAGTATACTTGGGCCCATTTCGTTTGTAATTTTTTCAAACGATCTCTGTTTTGTTACTAGTGGTGATCAGAGCAAGCATATAATTATCTGCTATGTCGATGACAAAAATTTAGTGCTGGGTGGGACAAGTGTAGAGGACCTAACTGCTAATGGGAATCTCTTATTCAGAAGTGTGAATACATGGTTTTCTAAGAACAAACTAGTGCTGAATAAATCCAAAACTGATGCAACATTATTTAGAACTAAGCAGAGTAAAGTCGTTAAGCCACAATGTATCGATATAGATGATCATCAACTGCAGTTGAGTGAAAAAGTAAAATTCTTAGGCATCTATATTGATGAATTTTTAGATTGGACAACACATGTATTCGAACTGCTGAAGAGGCTCAATTTCATTTGCTATGCTTTTAGGGTAATATCAAGATATCTAAATAATACGAGTATGAAAATATTGTACCATGCTAATTTTGAAAGAGTTCTAAGGTATGGGATTATTTTGTGGGGATGCAATAGGTTTATTCAAAAAATGTTTGTGGTTCAAAAAAGAGCAGTACATCTGCTAAAGGGACTAAATTTCAATGAATCTTGCAGGGGGGTGTTTAAAACTGAAAAAATCATGACTATGTATGCCATCTATGTGTATGAGTGTCTTATATTTTTTTTCAACAATAAAAATTTATTTGAGCTTGAGGTGCAAACTGTTTATGATACTCGAACAGTCAATGTTACTTATCCGATACACAGATTATCCTCCACAGAAAAAAGCCCTATTTACATGTGTTTAAATTTTTTTAACAATCTACCAAATGAAATTAAAAACATAAACAGTTTACATAAATTTAAAAAGACTATTAAGCAATTTCTAGTACAGTCAGAGCCTTATACAATAGATGAGTTCTATGGGAGTTGTAATAGTTTAAGATTGTAGCTGTTTTAAGATCATGCAACACAAAAAAAGGTCTCAGGTAAACTACTATAGTTATGGTGATAGTGACGCAACATTTCATTTTGTAGTGGGTATACAATTTTTGTAATATCATTGTATAATTTGGAATATAGATTATTATTATTATTATTATCTTTTGAAAGGTGTTTCATCTATTTCTATATCCGACCACCATGAATTTGCACATTTTCACTATTTCAACACCTAACATTCCCGCAAACCTTCTCATGACTAGGAATGTGTGGCCCAAGGTGAATTTTTGGTCGAATATGGATGAAGCCAAAACTTCGGTCGGACAATAATGACTACACTAAAAACATGGCGTCAAGTAGACTGACTTTATCCTTCGTACACCTTCGTTTGAGGTTACAAAGATAAGAGATGAGTCATATCGTTTCAAAAGGCGAAATCGAATCATGATTAGATAGGTTCACTTAGGTACGATGAATCTTCAACCTCTGCATATCAAACTATAGAAAGCAAATCTATCATATTTCTGCTTCCATAGCAGATGTAGGGGAAATATGTGTGACTTATTATGTCTAACATTAAATCTGCATAGTATCATTGAGATAAGCAGCTTCTTAATAATAGAAGGTAGTTCACTGACACCAAATATGCAACAATTTACAACCATAGTGTCTCTAACTCTTATAGCGATACACGCCATACACCGGATTCACCTCTGTTTGCTTACTCCTTACTCAGCAAGACATCGTCAATATAATCTCTCACATTAAGTCTACGGCATGTGGCTCTGATGGTCTAACTTTAAATATGGTTTGCTTATGATTGCCTGATACCATAGGCCATATAACTCACATTATTAATGTCTCTCTCAAAACAGGTTACTTTCCTGCCAGTTAGGAAAATGGTATTATTATTCCAATAGCTAAAATTAATGATCCAGAACAATATTCGGATCTCAGGCCAATTACCTTATTATGCTTTCTATCAAAAATACTCGAAAGAGCTGACTATTCACAACTAGTGGAGTTTTTCGAACAAAATCACTTATTTCCTCTACATCAATCAGGTTTCAGAGCTGGTTACAGCATAACTTCGTCTTTATTACATCTTACTGATTCCATCATTCACAATTTAGATAATCACATCAACACCGTCTTGGTACTGTTAGATTTCTCGAAAGCCTTTGATATGGTCAATCACCAGATACTACTGAGTAAGTTATCTCATTATGGAATGTCAGATATAGTTCTAAGGTTCTTAGGCCCGTATCGTCAGTCGTCCCTACAATTGTAGGGCGCCTTTATGGGCTCCTTGATTGTCATAGTTTTCTACTTCTCCATGTCAGAACTCTATTTTGAGGTTATGTCACAAACATCTATTTGCATCAAATTGTGCTTGCTTTTGAGTTATATCATGTTTTATCAGCCTGAAATTTCCTACAATTTAAAAAGAAAACATATCTTCACAATAGGAGAGCGCTGACGCTGACACGGGACAAGTGTAATCTAGAAATTTTTGAAGGAGACAAAAGGAGTATGACAATCAAGGAGGCCATAAACGCGCCCTACAATTGTAGGGACGACTGACGATACGGGCCTTAGAGTCATACTTGCTAAATCGTCAACACACAGTGAAAGCTGATCAGGGAATTTCCTCCACTGAGCCAGATCCTTCAGGAGTTCCACAGGGCTCAGTATTAGGTCCCTTACTATATCTGATTTATACGATCGATCTGCAAGACTGTTTAGTCCACTGTAGTATGCAGACTTATGCAGATGATACTCAGTTAGTGTTTGGTTTCGTTCCATCAAAGGTTGATGAAGTTTCTTTTAAAGTTAATTTAGATTTGGCTAAAATCAGTGATTACTGTAACAAACACTGCTTGAAGATCAACCTTAATAAAACTACTGCAATGTTGTACTGTTCGAAGAACTCCTACCGTGAAATGAAGCAGAGGATTTGTGTTGTTTTGGATGAGACACTCATCCCTTTTGTGGATTACGCCAAGAATCTCGGTGTTACCCTTGTCTTAAATATGAGATTCGATCGGCATGTCTCTTTCTTATCTAGAGTAACGTATATGCGTTTGAAACTCCTCTATTCCAATCGATTCATCCTGAATTTTAAAACCCGAAAAAAGCTCGCCCAAAGTCTTGTGAGGTCTGTCATTTCTTACTCTCTTGTTCTTTATTACCCATGTTTAGACTACGTCCACAAAAGGAAACTCCAGAAAATTCAGAACAGCTGTTATAGGTTTATTTTTGGATTGCGCAAGTTTAGTCGCGTCTCAGATAAAATCAAAGAACTCAACTGGTTGCGAATTGATAAGTTATTTTTATATCTTTTGACCGTGTTCACTCATAAAGTTCTATTATCTAACAGACCAGCTTACCTCGCTAGCAAATTAGTTCACCGTGGTAGTTTTGTTACCAGAGCTCTTAGATTTAATGCTCATTTTAACATGCCTCGTCACAATACGTCAGTCTTTGAAAGAAGTTACACCTATAATGCTGTCAATCATTACAATGCAGTGGCTATCGACCCAAACAGGTTGCTTCTTTTAAGAAATTAATGAAAAGTCAGCTGCTGGAGTCCATTTAGTTCAGTTTTTCTTGTGTTCATGTGCTTTTTTTGCCTATTTTCTACTATTTTTGTTTCAAATTTAAAACTCTCACAATACTATCTGCATTTGTCTCGTGCAGTCAATGTTGTCATTCTTATGAACTGTATTTTTTTGGTATGTTATTATTTTGTTTATGTGTCTAAGTATTTTTTTCCTGTTGTGGGGTTGGGTGTAAGAGTAGCCGTCTGGTTAAACTTCGCCTCACTGCAGCTAATAAAGGCATTATTATTATTATTATTATTTAACGCATAGGACTTCCAACCTACAATTTTCATCCCCTCCAAATGATGTCTGAAAATGAGCAGGAATCTCTCAAATGTTGTAACACTATATTCCAGCGATTTTATTGTCTCTGAATCAATTTTCAAAATCTTCGAGTACCTAAACGATGGCAGTATTAAACTCGCGATAATATTCGATCTTCGGCTCACAACTGTTCTGTTGCTTAAAGATATGTGCATTACACAAGTTCGTGTTTCTCATTTATGTTGGTTTGTCTGAGTCTCAGTACTGAATCCACACACAAATTAAAGGTTAGACGAAATGTGAGGTATATTTAAGGATCAAAGTTCAGAAAAAGCATCGCAGCACGCTAAAGTGGTACATACTACTAATATCCAAATATTGCTAAAATATACAAATATTTCTCCAGGAGGGATGTGTCCGTGATGATACCATCGCAGACCAGTTGGAGTGTGTAACCCTTTGCATGCAACGCCAACGTTTGTTACTGGAATCAGAAGCTTCTTATTTTTATGCGTTACATTTACAACCCCCAAGTTTCAACCCCTACAAAAAAATCCGAAAATAGAGCCTCTGAAACGTCTAAAAACGAAGTTTAAGTGATTTTTGTTTTTTTCTTCCGACGTATAATGTACTCATAATTTGAAAAAACTTGCAATCGTTGGCGTTGCGTGCACGGCGCGATGCTGCATCGTCCTGGTGGCCACTCCCGACTGTGCAATGGGTAACAAATTCCAATTGGTGAATCTGCGGTGGTGTCGTCAATGACACCACTACAGGAAAATATTTATATATTTTAGCAATATTTGGATATCAGGAGTACGTATCACTTCAGCCTTCTGCGATGCTTTTGTAAATGATGGCTTAACTGTTTTATATCTACACATATATTTTTCAAAATTTCATGATCCTTACATGTACCATCCGTTTCGTCTAACCTTTAATTTGCCAACGATTGTTACTGGAATCAGAAGCTTCTTATTTTTATGCGTTACATTTACAACCCCCAAGTTTCAACCCCTACATAAAAATCCGAAAATAGAGCCTCTGAAACGTCTAAAAACGAAGTTTAAGTGATTTTTGTTTTTTTCGTGTTTCTGCCCCTAGCTTCGCCACCACTGGGCTGACTTTTAAAAACTACAAAGCGTGTTCATCATTAGGACAGTACTAACCTTGTGTTAAAATTTCTGCAAAATCCGACCGGCGGAAATGAGTGACATGGTTTTTCGTGATGTCACATAACATATAATATCACAAATTAGAAATTTTTCACGATTACAATACTTCCTCGTTAGTTTTGGCATAGAAAGTAAAAAAGTTTCCCCATATGTGTATCCTTACCTCAGTACCAGCTTCTTGCACCCTTTTCGTAAGTGCGTCCAACTTATCCGCAGGAATAGTAACTTTAGGCGTGGCCCTGGAGAAGAGGGGCACTATAGTGATGCCAGAGTGACCGCCGATCACGGGCACGTTCACTTCTTTCGGATTGACGCCGCACATCTCTCCGACGAAGGTATTGGCTCTGACGATGTCCAGCGTTGACACACCGAAGACACGACGGGGGTTCAACTTGTTGGCCTATCAAAAAATAGTACATTGCATTCCTGGATTGAGAAGGAAGCCATTATCGGTCTTAACTTTTGAGATAGCAGGCTCTTATATTAACAATATTCAAATTATTTATATTTTATTTATTTATTTATTTATTTATTTATTTATTAGCAGCAGATTCAACATGTATACAGTTTTTTACATCATATTAACTATATAGACTTTACAATTATTGTATAATATTTAAATCCAGCTATCTATTCTTAAAATTACCCACTATTGCTAATAGTTTTAGATGCACAATTGTATTCAAAATACTGTGTGTGCACCCCATTCACATTGTTAAGTGTAACTTTTTCATTGAGGTTCTTAATTCTAGTTTACAAAGAGAAAAAGAAATATAAAAATAGATCAAACAAATTCAAAGCTATTATGTTTTATCTTAAATTTTAGGAACTTAATACCTTTAATGCTACAGGTTTTTATATTACATAATTAATGGCGTGTTGACTATCAATAATCCATCTTGTTAATTCCTTTTTAACAGTAGAATATCTCAATCTCTTAATACTATTTGGCACATCATTATAAACTTTTGGACCTATACAGTAAACGTGACTCTGGCAAGCTGTATGTCTACGGTTTTGCAATTTTACTTTTGCATGAGCAGCACTTCTTGTATTTTGGCCATGCTGTAAGTATTCTTTGTAGAAATCATATTTCATCATAAATCTTATAAGTGATTTTAAATAGAGCTGCTCTAGGTTCAGTATTTTACTGTCTCTAAAAACAAGTTCAGATGAATATCGTTTCTGTGTGAAAATCATAATTTTTATGATCCATTTCTGAGCTACCTGTAACTTGGATAACGTTGCTAAACTTGTATTTCCCCAAACTACGAAACCATAATTAATTACAGATTCTGTTAAAGCAAAATAAACTGTTTTAAGAGTTCTGAAGTCTAATATTTCCCTTAATTCATAAAATTTGTGAATAAGTTTTCTAATCTTTGTTGTAACATACTCAACATGATCTTTCCAAGTAAGAAATTCATCTATAATTATTCCTAGATATTTCAAGCTCGATTTCTTATTTATATATTTGATACATGCACACTGAGGTGCAAAGTCACAATATGAGTCATGAATCTTAATGCAGTTTAGATTAGGCAAAGTACGCGAGGAAAGGGAAAAAGTCATAAAATTGGTTTTCTCAATATTTAGAGAGAGCAAACTAAAATCTAGCCAATTTTTAATTGCGTGCAATGCTCTTTCAGCTTTTAATTTGACGGAATCCCAATCTTCACCACTTACTAAAATACTCGTATCATCTGCAAAGCAATAGATAGTTATGTTTGCATCATTTAATTGTTCCATTATATGATTTATGTACATTATATTATAAACAGCAAAGTTGAGAGAACCGTACCTTGTGGCACCCCGCATTCTACCTTCAAAATATTACTTTCCTGACCCGAGACATTTGTGATTTGTTCACGTCCAGAAAGATAGGACTTTATAAGTTTATTTGGAATGCCCCTTATTCCCAGATTATCCAAACGACCTAGTAAAATTGGATGTGCCACTGTGTCGAATGCCTTTTTTAGATCTAAAAATATACCCATCACCTTTTTTCCTTGGTCTAGCCCTTTCAGAATACTTTCAGTGACCCTGACAAGTGCAACTTCAGTGTTAGAATTCTCTCTGAAACCAAACTGATTTAAGTTGAGTAATTTATGCTTTTCCAAAAACTGCATTAATTTTCTTTTCAGACATTTCTCAATAATTTTACTTACTGTACTAGTTAATGCAATGGGTCTATAGTTGTTCATGTCTTTTTTATCTCCTTGTTTGTGAAAAGGTATCACTTTGGTTTTTTTTAATATTTGTGGAAAAATACCAGTACCAAAAACTAGGTTTATTATGTGTTTCAATGGAATACTAAGTTTTTCTTTATATTTCTTGATTATATTTGATGAAATATTATCCTCCCCGCCTTTTACCCCATTCTTTAAACAGTTTATCTCCCTAATTACATCATCATTCGTCACAGGACACAAGAAAAGTGATTCGTTACCTCTTTTTTCCCGCACTTCATTCCTCCAAGTACCTCTAGCAATTTCACTTGCTAATTTTTCACCAATGTTACAAAAATAATTGTTAAATTCATCTGCAACTTCTTTTTTATCAGTTATTTCTGAATTAGTTTTGGTAGTGATACATTTTATTTCTGGTTTACTCTCTTGGTCATTGGTGGCCTCTCTAAGCACATTCCACAATTTTCTGGGGTTATCAAAATTTTTTTGTGTTAAATATTTGTAATAATTATACTTCACTTTCTTGATAAGTTTACTTAAAAATTTCCTGTATTCCTGATACCTGTTTAAAACTACGAAATTGCTGGGATTTAGTGCACATTCCCTTTTAAGGAGGTTTCTGTTTCGAATAGATATTAGGAGCCCACCAGTGATCCAAGGTTTTAATTTCTTTTTTTTATTGGGTATAGGCCTAGTTATAGTGGCTTTCAAAATGATGTCTTTTAGTCTATTAATGAAAGCCTCTGTGCAAAGCTCTACATTATTTTCTTGTAGAACATCACCCCACAACTCTCCGTTTAGTTTTTGTGTGATATTTTCATAATCTATTTTTGTAAAAGTATTAATTTCATTTGTAATGCCCTCACCTAATCTATCTAGCTGAATATTAAGGAGAATGGGGTGATGATCTGTAAGGTCGCTCTTCAAAATCACAGCCCTAACCTTTTCAAAAACATTACTCTTACATTTAATAAAAAAGTGATCCAAACAATTCCCACTGTTATCAGTAATTCTTGTTGATTTATTAATTGCACTCATTAACCCATAGCCTTGCAATAAAGTCAAATAGTTATTTGTTGTATCTGTTTCCCTATCTAAGAGATCAATATTAATGTCCCCAGCAAATACATAAACCTTGTTCCGATCAGTGATGGAACGTTGAAATATTCTTCCTAGACTATCAATGAATTCATCCTTTGAAATACAAAAACACCTATACGTAGCTAGGAGAACAACCGTTGCATGATTTTTTTGCAAAGTGACACTAATAATCTTTAAATTATTTTCTTGAATTATTTGATTTGTAATATGATATTCATTTTTAACAAAAATTATTGATCCATCACATCGATTAAGACTACTTTCGTTAAAGAATATTTTGTACCCAGGAATGTTAAAATCGTCTATATTGTATACATAGTGTGTTTCTGACATAATTATAACATCGAAAGATTTACTTAATGATTCAAGATACACCAAAAATTGGTCAAAATTTTGATAAATACTACGTATGTTTACATGCATAAAATTAAGGTCACTTACAGAATTATCAAAGATGTCTACTTTACATAAATTATCACATATGTTTGTTTCTAAGATCTTATAATCATCAAAAATACTTTTTATAGCCATTAAAAAAGGGAAAATTATTACTTACAAGTTCTGTTATAGATCTCCTAAAACATTTACTATACCTATACTATCTTAATTTGTCCAAATCAGACTCACATTTAATTTTTATGGCTTGCTCATTTTCATTTGTTTTGATGTAAACAGATCCATTGAGATAAAAAGCTGCCTTATATCCCTTTTGCTTTTTAAGTTCCCTTGCCATCTTGAAAAGTACCCTCTTAGACATTGGCAGATCCTCGTTGAAATAAATATTTCTGTCACTTCCCTCTAAGCCACATTGCCTTGTAGATATACCCTTTAAATCCTTGATTCTTTTGATGACATCCCTTTTTGCCTGCTCACTTTGCATTTTTAACAAGATAGGTCCTTCACCATTTTTGTCCAATCGAAAACTCTCCATTACCATGTTTGTAGTTTGTATTTGCAAATTTGCATAGCTCTAAAAATCTTCATTATACTTCCTTTAATGTCTAAATTGGTTTGTTTTGGCACTCCTGCTACTATCAAATTCTTGGTTCTTTCCTTGTTCTCAAAGGCTTCGACTCTCCCTTCCAACATCTGAAGTCTCTTCTTCAAGTCCGCAGTTTCCTTTTTTAGTGTCTTATTTTCCAACAAGACACTTTCCAATGCCCGCTTTTGATCGTCAAAAGAGTCTGACATGTATTGAATAGATTCACTCAGGTCTTTGATTTTGCTTTCAATTTTCTGCTCTACTGGTCCTAAGTATTTCAGAAAAGACTCCTTGATAATATCCCTCAATCGCTTTTCATCAAACTCCCAAGCAGAATCACATTTTTCATTTTTTCGAGTTTTTGTTGCCATAACCTCACTTTTCTTTTCAGTATCACAACAAAAAGAAAACGAACGAATGAATATACTCGGTGGCACTGAATTTGTAGCGTCATGAAGGGGTAGGCATTCTTTGACTGAACTTGGATAATTATTTCACTACCAAAACGTCGCAATTTATTGAGATCTTATTTCGTTATACAGAAGCCCTAACAGCGATTTCGATACATTCCTTAATAAGTTATGCACTACACTTTATCGCTTAAATTACGAGAGGGATATAGTCATAGCAGGCGATTTTAATGTGAAATTCACCACCAATGACACTCGAGCACACCAAGTCGAAAGTCTATTTCGCTGCTATGGATTGAATAAAAAAGTCAACACCAGTACTAGGAGGCATAACTGTCTGGACAATATATTCACAAACATAGACAGGCCATCCGGTGTCACAGTTTTTGAGAGCTATGTGTCTGACCACCTAGCAATTGAATTTACAAGTGAGCAAAGTAAGAACTTACGAACGTTTAACAGAGTTACTTTTAGGCCAATTACGGATGAGGTCTTTTCAATCTGTACATCGAAATTGAGAAGGTTGACTGGTCATTCATCGGGGGAAATGATAACATCGAGCAAGCCTTTGAAACATTCATTCATCTAATCAGCAGTAAAGTTGAAAAATGCCTTCCATATAAATCACGTATCTGTGGTAGCGATAATAAAGCGGGAAGAAAAATAAATTGGTTTGAGGCTCCTGATGGATTGGTACAAGGAATTTTAGAAACAATATAATACTTTTAGGTGATTTTAATTTAACTTATTATGGTAAAAGCATGAAAACAAGAAAATTGAAAGAAACCATAAACAACTATGGGTTCAAGCAAAAAATTGAAGAGAGTACCAGAATAACATCATTATCTGAGACTTCGTTAGATCTTGTTATTGTAAATTTCGAATGTGCAGGGATTAAAGCTGTACATACACCTAAAGTTAGCGATCACAGTTGGACAATGCTGCCCTTGGTAGGGCATTTTTCTGATACAAAAATTAAGAAAATCGTAAATACTATTAAGTACGAAAAACTTGAACGAGAACTTGCTGGCTGCTATTGGAATTTTGGTGAGAATATGGAAAAAATATATGACAACATAATAGGAAATATAAAAACTTGTTTAGATCTTGCAACTGATAAAAAAGTGATTTGCTCGACAAAAAATACACCCTGGTATAACAAGAATATTAAGGCAGCTCAAAATTTGAGAGACAAACAATACAATAAATGTATATTCACAAAATCAAATGATGATTGGGAGGTATATAAAACTCTTAGGAATAAATGTGTATATGTAATTAGAGAAGAAAAAAGAAAATTCTACGATAAACAAATCGATAATAACAAGTGCGACAGTGTAAAGATGTGGAAGACTTTAAAAAGACTGATCAATTCGAAACCGCATGATTGTGTAAATCAAGTTCAATTCGAAAACGGTACCGAAACAAATTCTTTGGTGATTGCAAACAAACTAAATGAATATTTTGTGGAAAGTATTGTTTATATTGTAGGTACTGCCAATGCTGCACCTGACTATATGAAAATCAGTTTCCAGGGGGAAATGTTGCATACACTTTCAAAATTTCACAGCGTATCATTGAATTATCTAAAAAAAAAAGTAAACAGTTTAAAATCAAATAACAACTGTGCCGAAATGACTACTAAAAACGTGCTGAAAAACTGTTTCGAAATTTTGGGATATCCTGTATTAAATTGTATCAATTGTTCACTGAGAAGCAGTTCTTTCCCTGAAAATTTGAAATGCTCTACAATAACACCAGTTCCCAAAATAAAAAATTCTAAAAGATGCAGCGATATGAGACCAGTAAATGTGTTACCATACATTGAAAAATTATTAGAGTCCATAGTGCATGACCAATTAATGCAGTTTATAGAAGAAAACAAAATTTTAGTGGAGGCGCAAGCAGGCTTTCGAAAAAAATATTCCACAGAAACAGCTTTCCAGTTGGTAACTGAGAATTGGAGAAGAGCCATAGACTCAGAAGAAGTTGTCATAGCAGTATTTTTGGATTTGAAGAGGGCATTTGAAACGATTGATAGAGATATTTTGTTAGGTAAATTGAAGGCATATGGTATAACAGGAAGTGTTTTAGATTGGCTTAGAAATTATTTGTCTAAAAGGATGCAAGTTACAAAAGTTAATGACACTATTTCATCAAAAATTGAAAATACGTTGGGTGTTCCACAGGGCAGTATCCTGGGACCACTTCTTTTTATTTTATACATAAATGATTTACCTGCCATAGTCAAAAAATGCAAAATTCAAATTTTCGCCGATGACACTATGACTTATATAAGTACTGAAAATATTCAGACTGGTATCTCTTATATGAATGAAGACTTGAAACTTATCTCAAAATGGTTAGCATCTAACAGACTAAAATTAAATACAAGTAAAACGAAAGCTATGTTAATCGGAAAAAACAATGTACAAATGTTCAACTGAATATTGATGGTGAAAATATTGAATTCGTAGAAAATTTTAAATACCTGGGAGTTTTTGTTGACTCTCGATTAATTTTTGATATTCATTATGAAAAAGTTATAAATAAGATTAGTAGTAAAGTGGGATATTTATCGAGAGTTTCTGGATGTCTGAGTTCATATAGCAGAAAAATTATCTATAATACCATCATTCTTCCAAATTTCTTGTACTGTTCGACTATTCTATATTTAGCAAATAATTCCATTTTTGAAAGACTGCAAATTTTACAAAATAAGTGTATGAGAATAATACTAAATAAAGATAAATATACTCCAATTAGGCAAATGCTTAGCAAATTAAAATGGCTCAATGTAAAAAATTTTATCAAATATCTTGTAATGATATTCATTTATAAAGTAAAAAATAATATATTTCCATCAAATCTAACTAATTTAACATCATCAAATGTCGACCATCATTTACATAATACCAGAAATAAAGATGAGTTCCATTTAATGACCAAAAAGTATAACATATGCTACAAATCTGTATTCCATCAAGGGTTGATTGAATATAATAAATTATACTCGGAGATAAAAGACCAGAAAACGTTGACAAAATTTAAAGTAAAATTGAGAAATCACTTGTTAAATCTACAATTATAGGTTGCCCAGCATTTACATCATACACCATATGGCTTGAATTTACTAGTTCTAAGTTGTTTACAATCGTTCTGTTTATGTAGCCAAATGTGCTAAATAAATCTTTCTACTACTACTACAAATAGTTACCAAACAAGCTGTTAACGAGTATAGATCACAATATCGACAGGCTATCACTAATAGCAAAAAACAAGCACACGACTTGTATATAAACAATTCGAGCAACAAGCAGCTAGCAATGTGGAATATTATTAGATCCAATGTTCCAGCTAATAATCAGAACAAAAGCAACATCTTGAATGCCAACGAATTCAATTCATACTTCTCAAGTATAGCGCAGACGCTCATTGACAATATTCCTCCAGCAAATCGTGATGCACTAGACTACTTGGTTCATATTGATAACATCGACCTTTTCTTGTTCAAAGAAGTATCCTACAATCAAGTCAGATCAGCGATTTCATCACTAAAAAATTCTAAGAGTACACATGTACATACATTGAATTCAAAAATTATAAAGACCATAATGAATCTGATTATCGTTCCACTCGCTAAACTTTTTAATATTTATATTCGAAATAGTACTTTTCCTAAAATTCTCAAGATATCCAAAGTCATTCCAATACTTAAAAATGGATCGGGTGATGTGCTTTCCAACCATCGACCAATTTCTCTAATCTCATACTTTGCTAAGATTTTTGAAATTCTGCTAAAGGATCAACTAACCTCTCATCTAGAGTCAAGTCAATTATTTAATGACAAGCAGTTTGGATTTAGACGGAACAGATCTACCACTACAGCAATCAATTGTCTTATAGATCTTGTTAACGAAGGATTTGAGAACCATCTACATACCAAGGCGGACCTTTTCGATTTATCGAAGGCTTTTGATTGTCTGCAACATTTTAATAAAAAAATTACCTTATTATCACATTCATCCTTCTAGCAAAAGATTTAAGACTCTTACTTATCCGACAGAGAACAACGAGTACATTTCAATGGCTGTAACTCTGATACCAGATCAGTGATCCATGGAGTTCCTCAGGGTTCCGTACTTCTTATATACTGATGACACTACTTTGGTAAATTCTAATAAATATGTAAACACCCTTGTCGAAACTAGTTCATTGTGTAAGTCGGACCTTGAGGATTGGTTTGCTGCCAATATGCTATTTTGCTCAACACTGATAAAACTCAGTCTATAATACTAAGCTTACGCAGTCATGAGTTGGAATCTCCTCAAACAGTGAAATTGCTAGGCGTTCATATTGACTGTACTCTGACATGGGAGGTGCATACTCGCTGTGTGGTGGATCGTTTGTCCTGAGTTATATATCTCATACGTAGTCTAAAGGATAGAGTATCTGATAAAGTTTTATTAACTGCTTATCATGCATATTTCCGCTCTAAAATGACTGGTCTGGGGACACTCTCCACATATGCAAAAAGTGTTTGGCATAACAAAGGCGTTGTACACGATACATCTCTGGTTTGAAATATAGAGACCCCTGCAAGGCTGAATTCATTAAATTGGCCATACTAACCCTTCCATGCGCGTATATTTTGAGTTGTCTCCTATATATCAAAAGTAACATTAGTACCTTCCCCACTCATAGTGATAACCACAAATATGAAACACGAAATAGAAACAACATTTGTCATAATAACTACCGTCTAGAAAAATCAAGAACTGGAACAAACTTTTATGGCATTACATTTTTTAATCTGCTGCCCAACAGGAAACAAAATGACTTTACTGATATAACTTAAATGTTTATTTATTCATTTCTCTCTCCAACTTATGTACAGTTGTTATTGTTTTGTTTGTCTATATGTGTATAGTTAATTGTATTATACATATATTTTTCTAAGCGATCTTCTTTTATCTCATGACGACATTTTTGTATTGTTTTTTTTTCAATTTGCTTTTGGTAATTATGCGTTACCCAGCATTGCATTGTTTTTAACTTGTTTTATTCATGTTTGATGTACATTTTTCTAAGCGTTCTATTAGTATATATTGACTTGTGTAAACACAATAAATTATTATTATTATTATTATTATTATTATATCCTGAGGCACGTACTGCACAGCGTGGCCAACTAAGAATCTATTGTAGAGGCTTGCGACAAAAAAGTTCTTACCAAAACGGAGAAGAGAAAAACCTGGAGAATATTTTCAAGTTTCTGGAATGGTCGCTAGGGGGCGCAACTGCAATCTTGAATCTAAAAAAGTGATGTTTCTGTGAATTCCGCTATGTTAATCTCACAAAGAAATACCTGATCTTTAAAGTCGAGGATAATGTGAATTGATATTGACAATTTTTGCTATATGGCTAAAAATAAAGGTTTCCGTAAAAAAATCTTCGACACGGCTGAGCCGATTTCAACAAACTTAGTCTAGTTGTTCTTTTGCTACAAATGTTAAAATATTTGAAGTTTTGTTAGTTTCCCATGTGGCCGCTAGAGGGCTTTTTACGTAATTCCGACAGAAATGGTCAATTTTCTCAAAGGAATTAAATGCATTGGTATGATATTTTTTTATGAAAAAGTAGCTAAAATGATGTTTAAACAAGCTCGCGCTGCCCACATCTCCTCCACCTAGAATTTAGTTCAAAGATAAATTTATACGGAAATCCATTAAATTTTTATTTTTTTAAACTAATTTTTCTGGAACTCATTTTTATTCATCAGAATAAAATCACCCTTTTTGAAAATATTACAAAATTTCGCTAAAAGGTAAGCAAGTGATGCTAATAGCAAAAGGCATATTTTTTGTTAAAATGCATAATATTCACTATGGGTATATGCGAAAAAAACAATAAAAGCGGGCCATGGAATACAACAAAAAAAAAACTAATCAAAACATAAATAATCCTCAAATTATCAATAGTTGATCATATTTTCGTGTTACTTTGAGAAATTTTTCTGCTTGAAAAATGCGTTTTACGAACGATGAAGCGGTTGATATGCTTGCAGTTTATTTTGAATGCAGTGTTGCCATACGTAGCGGAATTCCGCTATTTGTAGCGGATTATTTTGAGAAGAGCGGCGTAGCGGCGGTAGAGCAAATTAGCCCAAAATGTAGCGGAATTTATTACATACAAAACTATCATATTTATTTCACTGTTTTAACGTTAATAACGTTCTAAATCCTAAATAGGCAGTGGCTAGAGTCTGATTTATTGTCACATTGATAATAAAATTGGTGCATTTGGTGCCGATTGAGCCATCTAGGAACAGAGAAGAGAATTATTCCACTTGCCTTTTTTTTCAATAACAGATGGCGTACGTACTGCTTTCAATACTAATCGTTTCTAACAGGTCTCAGCAGGCAGACATAATTTAGGTTTCTCGCTTTGTATTGTATTTTTCAGCTCTGGGTATATACTGTTTAGTTTCGTTTATATTAGTGTTCTTATTTTTGTGTTGATCATTTTATTGATATATCATTTTCTGCAGATTTTAATATTAAATCTACTGGTAAGTAACAAAACTGCTTAAATATCTAACATATTATAGTTTGATCCAGAAATAAATCTTAGTCACGAAATTTGTTTTTAACGCTTTTTCTTCTGGAAAATAGGAATAATGGAAAGGCGACAGCAGATTTAACGATTTTTTTGATAAAAATCCTTCTAACAAACAAACGGTGAAACCAAACGTGGCCGTACCATCCACTTCGACTGCATCTGTGTCGGACTCGGAGCATCCCGAACCTGAATACAGACAAAATAGAAGAGCGGAATCTAGTGGAATCAGGTCTGAGCCTGATAATTCGACTTGCGAATCTCAGGATAACCAAGAGCCAGAGCAACCTGTTAAGAAAAAGACACGAAAACAAATTTTACTTCATCATGGCTAGAAGATTCGTTATTTAAAGGCTGGTTGGGACCTATTGAAAATGACAAGTTGAAAGCAAAATGTAAAGCTTGTAATCAAATAATGGGTGCTAAAAAATCAGATTTAGTGAATCATTCGAAATCAAAAAGGCATGCCACTAATGTACAAGCAATTTCGAATGTAAGAACGTTAGATAGCACTTTTCAGTCTCGGGAAGCACGTGAGTTGGAAAAACGGCAAATATTTGCTTGCTTAAGATATAGTCTTTTAGTTGTAAGTCATTACATAAGTTTTAGAACTGTTGATCATATAACAGGTGTTAGTCAATTATGTTTTAAAGACCCAGATCTCTCTAGCTCACTTAAATTAAAAAGATCCAAATGCATAAGTATAATTAAAAATGTGCTGGCTCCTGTTATTAAAGACGAAGTAATTTCAGAATTGGAAAATAAACCATTTTCTATTTTATTGGATGAGAGTACAGACCTGAGCAATACAAGACTACTATGCATTCTTGTAAGGTATATTCATAAAAATTCAATCAAAACCCATTTATTAGATATAATTAAAATAAACGCAGATAAAGGTACCGCCAAAGGTCTATATTCTCTTTTTAAAAACTGCGTTATATCCAATCAAGTAAAAATTACCAATATTGTTGGATACTGTTCCGACAACGCTAGTGTTATGATGGGCAATAACGAATCTTACAAAACTTATCTTTTAAAAGATAATCCTAATATAATTGTCAATGGCTGCATTTGCCACTCTGCTCATTTAGTGGCGGTGGCGGCAGCTGAAAAGATTCCAAGCAACGTTGAAGCTCTTTTACAAAACTTATATTCTTACTTCTCAAGAAGCCCAAAAAGGCAGTGTGTTCTTGAAGAATTACAGGAATATTTCAAAAAGTCAAAATTAAAAATTTTAAGCCCTAGTAAAACAAGGTGGCTTGCTTTATCCAAATGTGTTGATAGAGTTTTGGATCAGTGGGACATCTTGCTTAGCCTATTTAGATTAGCTTCCATTGAAGACAAAAATCCTGTAGCAAATGTAATACTTAATGAGTTACAGAATCCATCTGTTAAGGCGTATTTAATGTTTTTTAAATTCGTGTTGCCCATTTCTAACCAATTTAATGTTCTCTTTCAATCAGAGAAAGTTATGCTCAATATCATATCAATCGAGAGTGAGCGATTTGTACGTCATCTATGTACAAACTTTATGCGACCAGAATATTTTAAAAATGAGAAATTATACAGGGTGGCGCAGAGGAAACGCATGTTTTCTGACCGAATGGTATTTCGCACAGAATAGGGATATGACCTCGCCGCACCGCCAGCAGCGAACACATGCGATGCAGTTTCAGCCATGGCACCGTGGATGACGGAGCATCGTGTGTTTGCCCTCGAGCAATTTTTTCGAAACGATGATTCTGTAGTGATCGTGCAACGTTTATTCCGTCGACAGTTCAATGTTGAACGCCATGGGCCAATTCCAGATCGAAACACAATACTCCGATGGGTTGAAGCATTTCGAAGTACTGGATCCGTAATGAAGAGGAAGCCACCTGGCCTTCCCCGTACCGTGCGGACTCCAGGCAATATCGAAACAGTGAGAAGAGCGGTCCTTGATAGTCCCCAACGGTCCACTAGGCGCCAAGCTCCAACTCTGCGTATGTCCCGTCGGTCGTTACAACGCATTCTGCATGACGATTTACAATATCATCCGTACAAGATAATGATCGTGCAAGAGCTAACGGAAAGCGATTTTGCACAGCGTAGAGAATTTTGTGCGAGAATGCGGGCCATTTTTGCTGACGATCCTGACGTCGTCATAATGATGAGTGACGAAGCACACTTCCATTTAACAGGATATGTAAACAAGCAGAACTGTAGGTATTGGGCGGCCGAAAATCCAGGAGAGCTACACCAACGACCCTTGCATAGTCAAAAATTAACTGTGTGGTGCGGAATCAGTAAATTAGGTATCGTTGGTCCTTACTTTGTTGAAGAGGAAGAAAGAGCAGTAAGTTACTTCAGCACGTTATGTTCACATGTTACAAAATTTTCTGTTACCCGAACTTCAACGGCAACAAGTAAACATGGGAGAGCTGTGGTTCCAACAAGACGGTGCCACAGCTCACACAGCGAGAGCATCAATGGAATGGATTCGACAGATGTTTCCTGAACATGTGATTTCCCGTTTCGGCGATGTCCCTTGGCCCCCACGCTCCCCAGATTTGTCCGCATGCGACTTCTTTTTGTGGGGTTACCTTAAGGATAAAGTGTACCCTCACAAGCCTCGTACGTTACAGGAACTGAAAATTGCTATTCGTCAAGAAATTGCAAGAATACCACAAGAAATGATTTTACGTGTAATGCACAACTTTCAAGAGCGGTTGGAGATGTGCGAGCGTGAAGCAGGGCGACACTTGAGTGACGTTATTTACCATCATTAGTTTAAAAGTGCACTATCATTACTTTATTTAGCTGTAACTGAAACAAAGTTATCTTGAAAATAAAAAATGTTATGCTTAGGTGAAAATCGTGCGTTTCCTCTGCGCCACCCTGTATAATCTAAATCCTAATGATCCCCACTGCTTATTACCAATTGAACAAGTGAATGTTGGCCCGCATACAATGAATGCAATAAAACACTGCAATAAGGCGGCAATCGAACAATTTAAATTAAAATATGTCACATTTTACCAAACATCGGTAGAAGAGTCCCTTAAAAGATTTCCTATCAAAGACAACTTCTTTTCAGAGCTAAAGTTTCTCTCACCGGTTGATGTGATGAACAATCGTCTTATTATAAGTGATACCTTTCATGACGCCGTTTTAAAAAAAGTTGCCCTTCATATTGAAACCGAAAAGGCAATTTTGGAACTAAAGAAAATATGTATTTATTTTAGTGATGGTGAGAAAGAGGGAATTTTAAAAACAAAAAGTAATGTCATTGAATTTTGGTCGTTTGTAAACGACCTCAAAAATTTTAATGACGAATATTTATGTCGCAATATAGGTAAACTGGCTCTAATCATTTCAACATTGCCTCATGGAAACGCTGATGTTGAGCGAACTTTTTCTTATATGCTTGATTACAAAACAAAAAAAAAGAAATAAAATAATACCATCAACTTTGTCTGCACTACTTACAATTAAATTAGACTTGGAATCAAAAAAACAGTGCTGTTTATCCTATGGTTTTAATGAGAATCATTTAAACAAATATAAAAAGAATTTATATAATGTAAATAAGGAAGAACAAGCTGAAGAAGTAATTTCTGATTCTGACTGTGAATAAAATAAGCAAACGTAGGCATTTCCACGTTTCCGCTTCTTCTTTGTCCTTATTTTTTGTTTTTTTTTTTCTATTAAGATTAAGATATTGGTGATAGTTTCTATTTTTTTATTAGTTCCTAATTCTAAACCAAAGACAGTTTTGTTTTTTTAGAGGTATATTTTTTATGTTTTTACGAAAAATTGAAATTATATTATGTTACTGTTTGTATTTTTAGTAGGGTTTTTAGACAGTGTTTAAAAAATATATTTGTTGTTTATTTTAAGCCTCCCCCCCCCTTAAATTTTTAGGCCGTAGCGGCATGTAGCGGAATTTTGCGATACGTGTGACGGATATTGTAAACTTCGCTCTGGCAACACTGTTTGAATGTCTTCAGAATGCCGCATTAGCAAAATGAGTTTACGCGACTCGACATCCAAATCGGCGCCTTTGCGTTGTGAGAGTTTTGGATTGGAAGAACACAAGAAAATATTAACTGCCTAATGGGATATATTGAAGGAAATCCTCATGTTAGCACAAGGGCATCCCTTGAGTTGGGCATATCAGGAACAAGGGTTCAACATAATTTGAAGGACCATAGGTAAGCTCTAAATGGTCAACAAAATATAGGGATTTATTTGAATTTAACTGCTTTTTAATTACTTTTAGAATGCACCCATACCATGTCATTTTAAATCAGGCCTTGAAAGGCGAAGACTTTGACCGGAGGTTGGATTATTGCCATTGGACGTGAAGCATGCGAAAATTGAGAATTTTTATTTCAAATTCTTTGGACCGATGAAGCCACCTTTAATAGTGACGGGAGAGCCAATATGCATTATTGGTCTGCAGAAAATCCGCATTATAGCCGGTGCACACAGATGTATTTTGACGGTGCGTCGACGCAACGACCACGTTACGTCGACGCAGACCGTGTTTTTGAGAGAAGTTTACACGAGCGTTACACGTCGGGTTTTCAACGGTGCATTACCATCGACCGTTGGACGTCGACGTCCTGCATCGACGACCCGTGTGAATTGATCCATTTACGGCAATTTTTTCCGAGACATGCGTATTTTAACGTTGCGTTGCCGCACCGTCCGTGTGCATCGGTTGTTAGTTGAGTGAAGTTCAGCACCAAGTTTAAATATGTGGCGTGGCGTACTGGGAGGCAGAATTATTGGGCCATAATTTTTCGACCAATCCCTAAATAGCAATGTCATTCTTGACTTTTTGGACAATCAATAACCGTTATTGTCGGAAGATGTGCCACTGGAAACAAGGTAAAACTTGTTTTTGCACTTGGATGGTTGTCCAGAACATTTTGCCATTATTGTGCGAGAACATATTAATGCAGTACTTGCACAACTTGATAATAAAAAGAAATTCCAGAAGAATTAGTTAAAAAAAACTTAATGGATTTCCGACTAAAATTTTCTGTAGCCTAAATGTTAGGTTAGGAACAAGATATCCAGTTGCTGTTTTCGCAAGCTTGTTTAGACATCATTTAGCTACTTTTTCATAAAAAAACAATGCATTTAATTTTTTGAGAAAATTGACCATTTCTGTCGGAATTCCGAAAAAAACCTCTAGCGGCCACATGTGAAACTAACAATTATTACGGAAACATTTGAATATCCCCCACCACTTTATTTTTAGAAAAATTGTTAAACAAAAAAGGTTCAAACTATCCTCGGGTTTAAAGATCAGGTATTTCTTTGTTAAGTTAATATAGCGGAATTCACAGAAACATCACTTTTTCATATTCAAGATTGCAGTTACGCCCCCTAGCGGCTATTTCAGAAACTGGAAAATATTTGCCAGGTTTTTCTCTTGGCCATTTTTGTAATAACTGTTTTTGCCACAAGCCTCTACAATGGATAGGTTCCCAGATACAGTACCTTGCATTTTTAGTTGGCCACCATGTCAAAAACAAAATATTATCTGACCCTGTCAAATGTGAATCACATATCATCATAGTCTTGTGACATATGTAATAAATATGAAAATTTTGTTGGGAAACCCAAATACCATATAATCACCCATGAACATAATTTCAATGAATCTTACCTTTTTCAAAACCTCACAGGCAATAGGAACACATGAGTTAACAGGGTTGGTGATAATGCAGAAAATAGCATCTGGACATGCCACCGAAGCGCACTCAAAAATTGTCTTCACCACACTTGCATTTGAACCAAATAAGTCATCTCTGGTCATACCTGAATTCAAAATCAAAAAATCAATGTCAGCGATGTTAATTTGTGCTCCCGCTAGGCGGCGCTTGTGTGGTTGGAAGTCAAACCATTCAAAGTATAAGCGAAAAAAATATTTGACAGGAAGGTAACTTAATTTTCATGACTTCACATAATGTTTTGACGTCTAATGATATAAAGTGCTGATCAGCAATTGACACCTTTGTGAGTTTATAACAGAGGTTCTCAAACATATTTCGTCTACTGTCCACTTTGAGAATCAATCATTTAATAGCACCCTCAGAATTTCTTTAATATGAATATATACTAAGTGACATATAAATCCGAACACCCAGTTTAAATGGTTTTATTTTAATAAAAGTTGGTGAGTGTATTTATCTTACTGTAAATAACAAGTGAAAAAATTTTCAGCCTTATCAATTGGACATTCCAGTTTTTATACTGCTTTTTTTTAATTCACTAACGCTCTAAAAATGAATATTTCAGCCGCAGTAAAGAATCAACGTTGGCGGATTTTGGTTCTTGACATCCTTTACGATCGGTTACGATGCCTAGAGTACGGAGACCTGTACGATTTCGTCAACTTAGTGAGTTTGATAGGGGCCGTATAGTGGGACTTCGGGAAGCTGGACTTTCTTTTCGGGCAATTGCAGTTAGAGTGCAAAGAAGTGTAGACACTGTGGTTAGGTGTTGTCAGGCATGGCTTCTAGAAGGCTGTACGCAAAGAGCAAGGGGCACTGGACGCCGCCGTAGAACAACAGACCGTGAAGATCGCCGCCTAAGATTATTGGCCTTAAGGGACCATTTCTCCACTACCAGGTCCATTGCAAATGAATGGTTTGCAGAACACGGAAGACCTATTGGCATGCGAAGTATTTACCGACGAATGAGAAATTTTGGATTGTTTTCATACCGGCCACACTGGGTCCTCCCTTTAACTCGAGAACACCGAAGTAATCGCCTTGAGTGGTGCAGACAACGGTCACTCTGGGATCAGGAATGGAACAGTATTGTCTTTAGTGACGAGTCTCGATTTTGTTCAGGCATGCACGATGGTCGTGCCAGGGTTAGAAGGCGACGTGGTGAAAGGAGGAATCCACAGTTTTTTGTTGAAAGACATGTTCATCAAACTGTTGGAGTTATGGTTTGGGGTGCTGTAGCTTATGGTTCCAGGTCACCTTTAATCTTCATCAGAGGTAACATGAACGCGCAGCGTTATATCCACGATGTTCTAGAACCCCATCTTTTACCCTATCTTGACACCCTGGCAGATCCAACTTTCCAACAAGATAATGCCCGACCACATGTTGCAAGAGTCACAATAGACTTCTTTCAACATAATGATGTCACAATGTTACCATGGCCACCAAGATCTCCCGACTTATCCCCAATTGAGCACGTGTAGGATATGATGGGTAGGAGATTGCTCAATTTGCAATGTCCTCCTCAGACTCTAGAAGCACTTCGAGAGGAGTTGGTGGTTGCCTGGAATGAGATACCACAGGAGGACATTGACCACCTGATCAGAAGCATGCCTAGGCGCGTTGGAGAATGCGTAGCACATCATGGTGCATCCACACATTAAAGGTCAAAGGGCTTTAAAGCAGTGCAATCATTTTGAAATTTTTATCATTTACTTATTATGCTTCATTAAGTACTTATACAAAATTTTATTAAAATAAAACCATTTAAACTGGGTGTTCGGATTTATATGTCACTTAGTATAATTGGTGTCATATGTCATTCCCTTTTTGTGAGTCAAAACTTCCCTAAGAAGTAATTCATCCCCCCTCAATTTCAATTGAAATTATGTATGTTTTTAATGTTGAAAGTTTATCATTACCATATCAGCAACAATAGAGATAGTGAAAATATTTAATTCTCAGGTAACCACAGGTACACAAAATGTAATTGTGGAACTTGCATAATGATAAAATAAATATGAAAGATAAATATTGATGCATTCATTGAGTTTTTTCTCTTACCAGGCTTCCTAGGTACACCAGCAGGGATAACCACAACATCTGCACTGTTTAAGGCATCTTTAAGACTTTCTTGTCCAGCAAATCTGTCAAAAAAATAAAAGTAATGGTAAAATGCTTTCCTAAATATATTATTTTGAATATGGAATCTTTGTGTAATACATTTTATCATATTATAAAAATGAATTTATGAGGAAAACCATAAAATAGATGAAATAAAATTTCTATTTTATTTATAATATGCTACTGATAATATATCCATCAGCTTATGGATAAAACTGTTTAGTTTATATTTTCTATCTTCTAATTTTGTATTTGAATAACATCTTAGGTCACTGTAATCCCCATTTTTCAACCCAATTTATTAAGTGCTGTCAAACATGTAAATGCTAATTACTACAAAAATTATTTTGAATGTTATCTGGTATTTGCAGTAACATGATGATTGTTACATAAATGAGGGTATAAGAAATATGTGAATATAATTCTAAAAATTGTGACCTTGTAATTATATCTATAATTACTAAACAGTTTTTAAAACCATATTATAAATACAGCATTAAAGTGATTGTAATTGCATGTTTAATAGCTTCAACTATCCTTAAATTTATCTGAGAACATGTGAAAAACAAGCCATACCCCTTAACTTTACTAGCCGTCTCAATGTGAGATAGATCGCAGGCAACTCCAGGAGTGAAAGGGGCAATATCATAGCAGTTGAGCTCTGTTACTAAGGGGTTGAGTTTGAGCAGTAAGGACAGGGGCTGTCCTATTCCACCAGCTGCCCCACATACTGTCACTTTATAGTTGTTCTGAAAACATATTACATAAAATTTGAAATTGGTCTCCAAGATGCTCCATGGGCTAAAAATATAGCCTGCGAATTCCTGAGGATTGCATAAGAGAAAAAAGCGTACGATTATTTTCCAATTATACAACACCTCATGGAAATATTCCTACATGGATAAGCAATTTTCAAAATTAAAAAATATATATATTTCTACCTGTTGAGATGTGCTGAAGTTCCTTGCAGCGGTCAAAGTGGGTCTTACAATTCTGGATAACATTTTTTGGTGATTTTATACGTTATCTTTTACTTTTTATTGACCTTCTAACACCGGTGGAGGACGTACAAAAAATACTTTTTCCTGAGCGGTTACTGAAAAACGTCACTTTTTTATCAATCACGTGATTAACATTGACGTCAACGGTCATATATTGGGCGGTAGGGTCACTAACATGTTTCAGACAGCAAGTGTTATAAATTATATGTAAGAGAATCAAGGTTCGGCTGCCGTTGGACAGATGGCGACGCAATTGCCTTAGGATTAAACGTCACCTATGTCAAATAATTGTCAAACTTTGTCAATATCCAAAGAAAAATAGAGGTAAAAAAGTATTGTTTCTAAATTAATATTACACGAAATACAAATGATCGTAGTTTTTATGTGATAACATAATACAAAGGTGCTATCAATGTAATTGTGCATATATTATGGCTGATAGCGCCAAAGATCCTGAAGATATTTTGAAAGGCTTTCAAATGTAAGTGCATCGTATTTATTTGTATATTGTATATACATTATTACCTTCGCAGGTAAACAAGTTCCAGTTTTGAGTACAGGTAGTAAAGTTCAATAATGAAACAGTATTTTATATTGTTGTCCTACCCGAGACTGGCCCGTATCGTCAGTCGTCCCTACAATTGTAGGGCGCGTTTATGGCCTCCTTGATTGTTATACTTCTTTCTCTCCTTCAAAAATTTCTAGATTACACTTGTCGCGTGTCAGCGTCAGCGCTCTCCTATTGTGAAGATATGTTTTCTTTTTAAATTGTAGGAAATTTTAAGCTGATAAAACACGATCTAACTCAAAAGCAAGCAGAGTTTGATGCAAATAGATGTTTGTGACATAACCTCAAAATAGAGCGCTGACACGGAGAAGTAGAATACTATGACAGTCAAGGAGGCCATAAAGGCGCCCTACAATTGTAGGGACGACTGACGATACTGGCCTAAGCCCACATCATGCTAACGAGTTGCTATATAGCACGAAACAGCTGTACATGGTGTTGGCCGTCAGCGGTTGGACGAACGAAGGCCATATTACTAGTATTTTATACTGTTCTTATCATATATGAACAAAATTTTTACTTTTTTTTTACAGTAACTGGATTTGTCTTCGTGACGCAGATGGTGGAAAGATCTTCTGGCAAGGTTCTGAAGACCTGAGCTATCCTGACATTGAACATGAAGCTCGCGTCCCGAAGTCGATCCTCAAATGTCGTGCAGTATCTAGAGAATTTAATTTTAGCTCCAAGGAACAGATTGACAAATTCCGGCTGGAACAAAAGGTAACTAGACATCAACTTTCTTGGAAACCTCAAAAACACAATAGTTTTCTTTATAACGAAACTCAGATTGAATGAGTTTAGACTGTCTTCTCTGCTGTTCCCTGCAACTGCATTACAAACAGACCAAGCTCAGCTTATACCTTATTTTATGATTATCCATCACGCTAGAATCACAGCTGATTATCTAGTAATATCTCAAAATTCCCCATATTGGCCCAGGACACATAATTCTGACAGATCTGTCAATACCAGGTAGGCAGAGCCAAATTTTTTTTTTTATGCTACGATTCATTTTGTACTTGCTAACAGCTCTTTGTATTTAGAAAAGTTCATTTGCATACAAACAACAAAACACCACAAACAAGTTTTACTAGATTTATACCCAATTCATTATTTCTGTTGCAGACTAACACAAAAATGTCACTTGCTGATCAGCTGTTAACCTTGGTAGACATCAAAGCGTGATGGATACTCGTGAAATAGGGTATAGTGAAGATTTGTCCTCACTTGTAGGTTATGTATTTTTGTGGCAAAATCCACCAAATTCGACATGTAATCACAGACTTGAGTGATTGATATAAAAAATTCAGTGACAAATTTCAATGCTGTCCCTATAATATACAATAGGTAAACATTGTCAGGAATTGACTATGTTTAGGTTATGTATTGCTCCGCTGTTCTTTTTGCACTGTGAAGTAAGCCACACATTCACTTAAACTACAAAGTCTGTTAAATGGGGGAAAATTGCGCATTTATGTAACTAAGAAAATGGCACATAGAAAGCTTCACAATCCCAAGCATTTCCGGAGATAAACAAACAAAACTGAATTTTCCCAAAATCATTTTTATTACTCCCTGGCTTTATTTGAAATAAGATTTCAATTTTCCTCAATCATCAACTTTACTTCTTATAGACTCCATATTAGATTTTTGCACAGGTGAATATAATTTTTAATTCTGATTCCAGAAACGTATAATATGTCATACATTGAGATTGTCTAACCTGTTATTTTGAAAAAACTAATATTGTCATAGTTGGCTTTGAAAATAATTTGCTCATTTAGGGTCGTATCATTAGTCATTCCTAATTCCTAATTGTAGGAGGCCTCTATGGCTTCCTTTATTTTCATATTTTTCTACTGTTCTGTGTCAGCGCTCTATCTTGAGGTTATGTTACAAATTCCTATTTGCATCAAATTGTTCAGGCTTTTGATTTATACACCAGTTATATCAGCCTTGAATATCCTACAATACAAAAAGAAAACTTAGCCTCACAACAGAACAGTGCCGACACTGACATGGAAGAGTAGAAGTCTAGAAATACCCCAGCCTTTCTGAAGGAGAGAAAAGACTAAGAAAATTAAGGAGGCCTGAAAGATGATATGACTTGATTTTTTAGGTATTATTTAAAGGTAGGTGCCTGGAAGAATGGAACTTTGAATTTGGTCATGTTGTGCGAGAATCGACAAATACATGGCAATCGATCATGGAAGCAGCCCCAGAGTCGCAGATGATGCCTGCATCTGTTTTAAAGTGAGTCATTTGTTGAGATGACAGAGCAAAGTTACTATAATAATTTTTTTCAGCGGGAATGTTGTGATAGAAACGAAATTCTATGATGATGATTTGCTGATAACGACTTCAAAGGTTCGCCTATTTTACATCTAGAGATCTAGATTATAATACATTTTATATTAATTATAAATGTTTTGTATATTTGTATAAAACGGCGCTTATCACTAAATGTAATTTGCTCTTCCATTCCAAAGGTTGTCGGTTGAATAAAATATTCTGAACATTTAGGGTTTTTCCATTTGTCACCTAACCGCATCACTCGTTCGACTTGGGAAAAAAATGAAAATCGCTCGAGCTTCGTTATTTGACGTTTCCTATTTTCATGCTAAGCTTTTGAGGGGTAGAAACTGAGTAGGGGAGAATTTGAATCGTGCGCTTGGCGTTAAACTGTATCTAAACAGGAATGCCGCAAAGCTGACGCTAAACTTGGCGAAGTTCTAACTTTCTGTCGCTCCCGATTGAACCAATGAGAGGGAGCCTGCAAATCGTGTTTGTTACCACAGATCAGATGGTTTTTTGCGTGCGTTTCGCTCTATTTGACAAACATTTGTTTTGCTTTTGTAATCAGTGTGATTTTCCTTGAGATTGTTTGCTATACAGCAGACGCTCGATAATGTAAACTAATTTAATCCAATAATTAACAATTTTTGTCTGCGTAAATTTGCGCTTAGCATTGTCTTCCAATGCCTGCGCCCGTAATTTACGAAGAACTAAAATATCCGTGTATGACACTTCTTTTCATTCAGCCCAATCTAAAGCTTGGTTAAAAACTTGTATAGCTTGCGCGTCAATCACTACACTTCTGACTTCAATGGGATCGTTCTCATCATCCTCACTGTCCATATCCTCCTCCTTATCAGCATCATTCGTCTGCTTATCTTCGTTCCATAAATTAATATCAGCAGGAGTACAAACAATGTTCTGATTCACTGTTTTCAATAAATCAACAACATCCAATGACACACTAATAACATTATCATTATTGGATCGCAAACGTTCTCTAATTACGCTTAAGGGGACATCGTCTTCTTCATCATCTTCATTATTGGTACAAAAGAGACTGTTCCAACATTTTTGAATAGTTTGCTGGTTAAGTTCATTCCAGGCCATATGTAAATCTAAAACAGCTTCTCGTAATGTTACTTTTTAAAGCCTCAGATAAGTTTTCAGGATTCTTTGATAAGACAGACGAAAGTAGAAACTTCCTATAGTATAGTTTGGTGAGTCTTATTATATTCTGGTCCATCGGTTGAATTAACGGTGTTACGTTGGGCATGTACATGACGAAAATTGACCAATCCCTGCTCCTCAGTTGTTGCTCGGGAGGATGACTTGGTGCATTATCCAATAGTAACAACGCTTTTATTGGAAGCTTCTGTTGTTTTAGGAAACCTTTTACCTACAAATTGAAAACACATCTTCAAATTATGAATAGAGCATTTGTGATAATTGTCATACATGAGGGACAAAATACCTGCGGAACCATTTCAGGAATATACTGCTAGTCATCCAAGCGGATTTTGAACAGTCATAATTACAGGGATATTAACATTTTTAAATGAGCGCGGTTTTTTTGCTTTCCCAATTACCAGTGGCTTTATTTTGTGTGAACCATTAGCATTAGTGCAGGCAAGAAACATTATTCGTTGTTTCTCCGGCTTTCTTCCCGGGGCAGATTTTTCAAATGATGCAGCATAGGTTATCTCTGGTAACATTTTCCAATAAAGGCCACTTTCATCTGCGTTGTAAATTTGTTCCATTCTTAAATCTAGCTCGGTAATTGTTTTCATCAATTTTTCTTTGAACGGTTGCACTAATTGTGGTTGTGCTGATAATTTTTCACCAGAGATAGACAGCAGTCGAATTCCATATCTTGTTTTGAATCGTTGTAGCCAGCCATCACTAGCTATGAAATTTTCAGTTTCTTTCAGTTTTTCATTTAACAGTCTCGCTCTCTGTTTAAGTACTTCGCCACTAACTGGCACATGATTTTCCCGTTGTTTTAAAAACCACTTATACAGGGAATTTTCCATTTTAGGTGCCTTCGCATTGTTTAAAGTTTTTCTTTTTTCCGGACCTCCAAATGTATTGCACGTTCTTTGTAAAATTTGAGTTTTCATACGCTTAATTTTACAGATTGTTGCTTTCGATACTCCATATTTTTTTGCTAACTGTGTCACTCCCGCACCTAGAGCAACTTCGTCTATGATTTTCACTTTCTCACTCAACTTTAAACACTTTCTTTTATAGGATGTGGATGCCATAGTCGTAAAATATATTAACGCGTGCAATGTATTCACTTAAGTTCAAAAATGAAATACATACGTACGTATAAACGTATCCTAAACGATCATACGACTGACCGAGTTTGTCGTATTTTATCGCAGAGGTGAATCCCCTACACTCTACGTCATAAATCGGGGACTCCCCGACACCCGACATAAATCATCGAGGCTTCAGCATTTTACTGTCGCGCTGTTTCCGTGCGCCGAGAGTTGTTTACGTTATCGAGCGTACACATTGTTTACGTTATCGCGCGTTCCGTTTGATCCTATAGAACGAACTTTGTGTTTACATTAGCGCAAGTTTTCATTATCCCGTGTTTACGTTATCGAGCGTCTGCTGTATTTAGTTTAGTTAAATAATAATGTGGATTATCAAGAGATGTTGTGTTACAAGCGATGAAGACACTGCATCTAGTTTTGTAGCTACAACTATTTATAGGTCTAATTTTAAATCATCCTGTTTGTCGCTCTTGCAGTGTTTTCGTCTTCAGAACGCCAATCATTCGACAAAGTAACGCAAAGGATTGCGAGATACAGGGTGTCAGAGATACAATTTTATTTTCTATTTTTCCTTATTGATTGAGAAGTATTTCAGATTTTGGCATAAAACTCGGTATAGGGACGATTTTTAGTATGAGAAACAAGAATCCGTTATTTTTTATGGAAAAACTTCTAGAGGGCGCCACTTACTATTTCGGTGAATAACTTATCATAACTTTTTTGTGCTACCCTGTATACAACAACTGACCGAAAATTTTTATTTTCTTGTATTTCCACAACAAAAAAGGTTTACTTGTTAGAAGTATCTGAAGCTAATAGTTTTCGAGATATTTGCTTTTAAAATTTCCAATGCATTATTTGTAACATGATGATAAAACATTTTTATAACATAATCAAGTTGGATATCTGAGTAGCATTGCTATAGTTTCTAATGCTTGTCATAATAAACTTCATGAATAATTTTAAGTTGGCAATAAGTTGTTAAACATCTTGGGATGTGCAGAGTGCAGAGTCGACATTCTTGACGCCGTTTTTATATATTTTATTTAGTATTTTTCATACAATCTACACTTTAAAACTCTTACAAACTTTTTTATAACTAATAGAAATTCGTTGTGGTGCTACAAAAAGATGCCTGATAGAATAGTAGGGATAAGCATGCTTATGTAACTCTGGTAACTCTCCTGGTAAAGTGAGACATCCAAACATTTGTTCCGATGTTGTAATACTCCTAACATTCCAAAAATCGTCAATATCCCCAACCACGTCTACATGTCTATAATATTCTTGCAATGTTTGAGTTCCTCTTCTGCTCAAAATTCTCATGTTGAATTGTGGATTAGACACAAACATAGAAGGTCTACCCTGCTTGTCGAGAAGATTAGTACATGACACTATTTTCGGTAACAGTTGCTTAGCTGTTTTCACAGTTTCGACAGCTGCTTTCAAGTCTCCTTCAAGGTCTCTGTCTGAATAATTAGGCTTAATGAAATCGTCAGGGTTTTTCAGGATGGGATCTTCGGGAGACCCAGCCCAAATAGCGCCAGGCAAAGGACAGTTCTTATAAAATTGTTTACGATACAATTGCAAAGTGTTTCTGTCCGCAAGTCCTGAAACTGTTTCACGCAAATTCGTCAGAGTTACATGCTCAGATTGCGGTACTAACTTTTCATCATCATCGTATACGTTCGTCGTAAAAATTGGACAAAAAGTACTGCCTTCGTATTCCATAACTCCCAGCGATTCAACAAACTTTGCAATAGGTAGAAACGTTTGCCAGTGGTAGACGAACCCTAAGTACGTCTTGAAATTGTACACCGGGTCGTATCTTCTAAGATGTTCGTACTGTTGCTTAACAAAGTACATCTTGGCTTCAAAAATCGCCAAAGAGGCTCTATAGAAGGCGTAGATGTCATGGTGAGGTATCGCATCGTTTTGAAGGTTGTACAGTTTCCCGAAGAATTGTGCTGTAGAAAAGCCGATGCAACGTGTTGTTATCGGCAGGGGTATGTGTTGGGTGGCTTGGTGCATGTTACATGGTGGGGGTTCTCTTCGATGTCTGCACTTTGAGTGACTTGGAGAAGGCATTCTCGACCTACAAACAGAGAAACTAGCAATAACATATATATGTTTCAATCAACCCCTTAACTTATTTTTTGACGGCGTCAAGCTGGCAAGCTGTAATTCCAGGAGATGAAATTATTACACAAATATACAGGGTGTCCATGGACATAGAAGTACCACGTATTTTTAGACTCAAAATAAGTCGATTGGACATGATTTACCTTTATGAAAAAGTGTTTCGTTTGTCAGTTAGATTGCGTCAAAGTTTTCTTTTTAAAACACATTCAGATATTTTTGGAACCAATAGTCCGATTTGTATGAAATTTAGAACACATGTTATTTGCTAGACGTCCTAATATTTAACTTTTACAAAAACCAAACTGGTTCGAGAAAGTTGAAAACTACCCCCAATTCTACATAAATTATAGCAAACTTTTTTTTGCAACTCTCCTAACGACTCTGAGTTTTTTTATTAAAAAGATCCATTTATTTGCTACATTTTTGTCTCTTATAAAAACAGACCACCTCGAATAGTTTTCGAGAAAAAAAATGTTTTTTGGAGGTGGTTTCTAAAAAATGTTCTTACTACATTCTGGAACATTTTTTTTGTCATGTGAAGCGTCATTTAAAAGCTTCTTATAGATATAAATAGAATATTATAAAAAAATTATAGAATATACATTTACTATTTTTCAAAATGGCGGGATGTAAAAGGCATTATCTGGATGTGCAATAAAATATGGGACACATAGAGGTTTGTTTGTTTAAGATTTATTTAGCATGACTGCTACAATTACATTCTTCTAAAAATTAAACAATTACATAACATACAGATATTAGGAAAAACTGAATTTGCATCTCTAAGAATGTTCACACAAATATTCCTTTGATTTTCTTTTAAACATCTTTAAATTACAAGTAGACTTTATATTCTGAAATATTGATTTGCTGGTTATTGCATTTTTCTAAATGAACATATATATTTCCTCTTGTATAATAATTGTGGAAATGATTATTCAATTCTATGTAGTGTTCTAAATGTTGTGGCAAAAAATGATATTTTATTTTAAATATAAAAATAAGAACCAAACATGATATGAATTTTTTTATATTCAACCACTGCAATCCTTGTAACATAGATTTTATTTTGGTGTACTTATTTTTATTCAATATCATTCTCATAGCTTTATTTTGCAAGACTTGTAATTTTGAGAATACAGCTTCATTGTCAATGGACAAGATAGTCGAACAATATAGTAAATGCGGTAGAATAATTGTATTATAAACTATTTTCTTGGAATAGGTACCAAGACTATGAGAAGCCCTATAAAAGTAATTTGTTTTTTGGCAATTTTTGAAGTAATGTATTCATAGTGATCCTCAAACTTTAGTTTACTATCAATATATTCACCTAAATATTTAATTGATTCAACATTTTCAATTATTTCTCCATTTATCCTGTTTGTTTTTTTGTTTTAGAAATATTCAATTTCAGTTTATTTACATTTAACCAATTTACGATTTTTGCAAAGTCAGAATTTAGCATGTTTAAAGCAGTATATATTTTCATCTTATATGTATATTAATGTATCATCTGCAAATATCTGAAGTTTACGATAATTTAAAATCTCACAAATGTCATTAATGAATAAAATAAATAGTAGTGGACCTAGACTATCTTGTGGTATAGTAACAGAAATATTTTTTGATCTTGATAATGTAGATCCAATTTTGGTTTTTTGACTTCTGTCAATTAAATAGTTTGTAGAATTTTGAATACAGATCCTTTAGAGGTTAAAAAAGATTTGTCAGATTTTGATGATTTTTTAATGGAATGTTCCATATTCCTCTCCGCCGTTTGGAAGATAATGATTTTATATTCAAGAATTACAATGCGACTCGTAGGAAGCTTCAAGATGAGGCATCACATGAACCCCAATCCGCTATAGGAATGCCCCAAAATAGCGCACAGCCAACATCTTAAAGTTTTCAGTTGTCGCTTTACGTTAAAATGTTCAACTCGTGCATCAATTTCATCACTGAGAATTTCAACTTGCTAAGTAGACCTGTTTAAAAAATAAGTTGGCATTGTATCCAGTGCTTTGCAGAAAGGACCCCCCTACTTATTTTTTGAACAATAATTTTTTAAAGAGTAATGTTCCATATTCTATTACATATTCGTATAGATCATTGAAAGAGAAGATTGATATAACAAATTATAGCACTTTAATGATTGTTGAGAGCGATTCAATGCACGAAATCGCTCAATTTTGACAGTCTGTCAGTTCGCCATTTTGAAGGATGGTGATTTATTTTATTCTAGGGTCATACAATACTCATTAGAAGCTTCAAACACGACCCGCCATTCCATTTACAAAAATGTTCCACAATGGCACCTAGCCGCCATCTTTATATGATGAACTGCCAGTTCTACGCTGAAATATGATTTCATGCATCCATTTCATTACCAAATTTCAGCTCGCTAACTTCAGCTATTCAAAAATAAGTAGGGAGGGGGCTTTTTGACAAACACTGTATAATAAATGGTGGGGCGGAGCTTCAGCACAGAGCCTTAACATTTTGTTACGCTAAACCTACCTTTGATGTAATCTTCACTAAAGCTATTGCACCCTCACACAACTTATCGAATTGAGAATTTACGTTTAAACAAATCTTTTGATGCCAACGTCATTTTATTAGCATTTATTTGCACTCTCAGTTGAGCTGTTGTGTTCATAAAAAGGTCAAGACCAGCATGCTTGGCTTCGTGTCAAATGGTAGACCTAAATACGTGCCTATAGACATCCGCAAATCTGCCGCGTCATTCTAGAGATCAGATCGAAAAGTAAGACGACTTTCAATGGCGGATCTAGGAGCTGGCACCAACTATATACACCGAAAACTAAAGTTGTCTGATGGCTTGAGTTCAATGTGTGCGAGAGAGAAGTGTGTATAGACCATCGACTTTAAAACGAGTTTTAAAGTCGATGGTATAGACAGATATGTTAGAAAGAGATAGATGCCGGATGGATAGCGAAGCCGATAACTGCGTAGCCTAGCAACGGTCACGCGTTGCCAATATGTAAAAAAGTCCTTAAATTAAGATGAATGTTACGAACAGCGCTTCACTTTATTGGTTCGTTTGACAACACCGCATCTTGTACTTTCCAAGGCAATATTTCCAACTCGATGATCATAGTTGAGCGATTTTCGTCAGTACCCATCTAGCGCTCGTAGGGGAGTGTCGTCCTGGTTCGAAAAGGCTTTCACCTGCGTACACGCAGGCAGTGATAATTTCTATTGCGTAACGTTATTCGTTGCATTTACCTACCGCTGCCGCAAAATGTAACGATAACCTCAGGGTGTGTTGATTTTATCACCATCGGTGGAAATCAAAGATAATTTATTCCAAAATAAATTAAAACACTGAATCGCATCAAAATTGAAATAAATAATACTAATCAAAATGAAAACAAAATAATATTAAATGTAATACCCGGACAGAGCTCAGTCTTAGGTTTGACAGTAATCTAAGCTATTGTAGAAGCTTGTGCAAACATTTTCTGGAGTAACATATTAGCAACGCGGCAGATTGCGTCACCGTCGCTAGGCAATGTGGTGACGACCTTCGCTCTTTAGCTGGCTTCTATCTCTTTCTAACATGTGTTAATACACACTTCTATTTCGTACATATTGAAGTCAAGCTGTTAGACAAATTTGGTTCTCAATGTATAGGCACATCTACGAGACACTAACCTTTTCAAAGTAGACTTTTAATTATTGCGGAGAGTAGAAACAGGCTGTGACAAACGTTATTTATTGTTAGATATCAAAGTTGAGGAATCCTACACATATATCTCAATGTCTAAAGGACAATAAATAATTTGAATTCCCATAGATGATGGTACGGTATTTCATTTCATACCAAACATGATGCTTTCGTCCGACCGAGCAAAAAAGACAGCCAACCAAGGACGGCTGTTTCGTGCTTCTTGGCTACTCATCAGCCTTTTATCTCTGGAAGAAGGAACTAAAGCATCACAACTATCCTGCACAGGTACGGTCGAAATCGAAATAAGATATCGCAAAGGACCATCTATCACTATTCATTTCATCTCGGATAATTTTTCGGTCGCGCGTCTATAGTGATGGGTATCTTCAAGTAGAATACGTTAATCAACGATTTTATTTACTTTGAAGGTCCTTAAGAGTCTCAGGGCCTCTCGCACGGTACGTCATCTTGGATCCATCCTTGACTAGTATTAAGACGAGTTAAGGCGGAAAATTCATTGTTGTCTTTAAAATTAATTTTCTATATGTATTGAGGGTTAACGAATCCATAAAAAAAGTATCGTGGATAAGTTGATGGTGAGTATTGTGACCTGAGTATTTGATGTACGTTAATTGTTTTTTTTTCCGTTTTTAGGATTGCTCTTTTTGTAAAATAACTTCAATGCTCACCTCTTGAGAAATAAAATAAACAACTTCGAAAGCTTGGCATGAACACAAACCAAACATCTTCTTTCGGGCATGATATTCATTGCGTGTATCTTGGCATCTTAACTATTAGTCCAGGCTAGATAAAAAAAGGTGAAAGTTTAGCAGATACCTGAACTTTTTAAATGGAATGAGGGTCTTTCTACTGACAAATACATAAAAAGATACAGCCAGATATGCGATGTTTTTTTAAAAACAGTGGGAAAAGCCCAAAATTCAGTATTTTGCTTATATAATTTTAAAATTAAATTTTATAAATAATCGAAAAACTGGAGATTTTAGAGCATAAAAAGACCTTCAATTTTGTTTTTTAAGAATTAAAATCGATAAGCAATTGAGCTCAATACGGGGTTTTTCAGCAATATTGAATATATGTTTATAACAATTTCAATAACAATTGCAAATGGTTACAAATTTGTGAGAATAAGGGCATCATTTGAGTTAACAAGTGCGCTAAATTTCAGCCGGATCGGTTTAATAGTTTATGTAAAAAGCTAATTGTTTATCCCAGAGACGAATTATTTAAACACCTGTTCTTGCCTAAGATATGGTCCTAGAACATTTTACAAAGGTGGAATGGATTCTTGAAGGTTTCAACTTCAAAAACTTAATTGTTTATTTCAAAATTGTTAAAAATGATGTTTTATAGTTATAAACATTTACAATAACATCGTTATTTTTCAATATAACTAATTTTAACAAGTTGATCTGGATACGTGATTAAAACCTTCTACAGGTATATTACCAGTGACAGACATGATTAGGCATTAAATTAAATCCAATCAAGTACGAGTGGAGGTGAAGTGACGTTTTCGAACCGATCTATATTATGGACAGTTTAATACCAAACGACACTGTTAAACAAATTTCCGGCAAATGTACTACTGATTGCCAAACGGGTAGGTGTAGTTGCAAAAAACATAGGTTAAATTTCACACCGTGCATAAATTGTAATGAAGGTGATGACATGAATTGCTACAACCTTGCTGTAATTGGAATTCACGATGATGAAGAGCAGACTGAGAAAATCGACGACTTGTTTGCAGAAATGAGTTATACAAATAAAGAAGAAGTAGAGCGTCAGAAGATTTAGAACTGAGAATTAAGATTAATTAAATAATAAAAAATACATTATATAATATTATTATAACAGAAAGAATGCAAATAAAATAAATATAAATGAAAGGCAAACGTGAATCAATATTTTTTACAATTTATTAGAGTATATTTTGTTAGGAGTATACTAATTAACTGAATTATGAATTGTTTAAACAATTATGAAATATAAATTATTTTATCAGAGTGAGAGTAAAAGTAAGCGAACTATTGTTAATTTATTATTATTTCATAGTAATTTAATTTTGAAGAATACAGCGTGTTAAGTTTTCCGGGATTTTCAGATTTTCTAGGAAAAAGAAAATGTACCAGATGTGATTTTTTCGACGTGTTAACCCGAATTAAAAAAGACGGTTCTACGTTGCTTAGAAGCCGAAGTAATGCAAAATTTTACAGCGCGCTGCGATTTGACGACTCAATTTCAAAAAATAAATCGAGCTGAAGCCGATTCCCTCACCATCTCACCCGAAAATACTTACGCGAGTATACTTTATCTGAAGTCACTTGAAACACTGTGAAATACCGGGTGCGTTTTATATATCTATATTTAACACGCTCTGTTGCTGCAAAAATCGCCAAATTTCGCAGCAAATATCCCCCGTATAAGATCAAAGGTAGTTTCACCGGTCCGAACAAGTGCAGGTGGCTACTGAAAATTGAAACAGTTTAGCCAGTGCCGTGTAGCGGTGAATAAACGTGTTTTCTTTAGTCTGTCCGTGTTTTTTCATAGATTTTATTAGTTTGTGTGTTTTTGACTTTTGAATACTCAGTTTACTTGTTGATTTAATTGTTGTGTTGATTGTTCTTGTGTGTCCTAAATGTGGCTCTTTGGAGACCTTGGGAAATGCTCCAAGCCACGAGGAGATGGTTGATGAACCTGTACAGGCAGAATTCTTTCATAAAGGTTTAGAGGAACAGACCCAAAGAGTAATCCTAAATATGTATGATTGTCTGAAAAACGAAAATCCAGATTCCTCGCAAAATCAAATTTTAAACAGAATTTGTATCCTGACAAAAATCAGTCGGTCTACCATTTATCGGGTTATAAAAAGGGGAGATGTAGTCAACCATTCCTTCCATAGAAAGCGCATAGGGCAAAAATTAAAAAGAATAGACGTGGATTTTCAGGAAGATATTCGTCGTATAATATACGGATTTTATAAAGAAAATTTGGTGCCCACGTTGGAAATGATACGGGATAAATTAAAAGATTATCCTGAAGATTTTTATAATTACAAATGCTTAGACTCACTGCACTGTATTGTAAAACTGTGTGGTTTTCAATACAAAAAATTAGATAAAAGAATGGTGATTATGGAGTCGTCTCGAATCGTTGAATTGCGCCAAGAATTTTTGCACAAAGTTAAAATCTATAGAGAGCAGAAAATAAATCTGATTTACCTGGATGAAACGTCGTATGATACCCATGATGTTGTGCAGTACGGCTGGGTTGACGACAGCAACAAGTGCATTTTAAATGCACCATGCAACCGTGGAAAACGAATCATTATTCTCCATGCTGGCAGTGAAAATGGATTTATACCTAATGCCTTGCTGTTATCTGCCAAAAATATCAAAGAATCATGTGCCGACTATCATGAGGACATCACCTCCGACTTATTTGAAAAGTGGATAGAGCAGCAGTTAATACCAAACATTTCCCCAAATTCAGTGATTTTTATGGACAATGCGCCATACCATTCCCGACAAAAAAACAAAATTCCGAATACAGGCACAAAAAAACAAGACATTATTGATTTTATGAAGGATAAGGGAATGGAAATACCACAAAAATCAACCAAAGCCATATTATTGGTACTTATTAAAAGACAAAAATTTGAAAAAGAGTATGTTGTTGACAATCTGCTTCAGCAAAATGGCCATGAAGTATTACGTCTACCTCCCTATTACTGCATTTTTAACCCGATTGAGTTGGTCTGGGCTGCTTTAAAAAAAAGTAAGAAAACATAATCAATTAAGTGAATCGCTATTGGCCACAATAAGAGATGCAGTATCTCATATTGCTGCCACAGACCTATGGAAGCAGTGTTCTAGGCATATTATTGAAAAAGAAAATGAATATTGTGTTTTGCCTCCTGTAAATCCCGTTGTAATTCCTCTACAAGATGACTCTAGCGACAGCTCCGAAGGCGAGGATGATATATAAATACCTATAATGTAAGTCTTTATATACCTTTTTATATACCTACCTGCTATGTAAATATTTGCCTATGTCAAACGTTGGTATTCTGTAATTTTTCCATTTCTTAACTTTCAGTCAACATAAATTAAACTCCCAATATAAGTATTTTTTATCCCAAATCAAAAAAATAAGAAGATAGTAAAATCCATTTATTGTGATATAAAAACATTATTATTATCGTTCTAAATAAATGACCGCACGCCTATGATACGTCATGAAATTACAAAGGACGCGCCGACCAAAGGTTTTTATGCTACTTCAAGTGACTTCAGATAAAGTATACCTTCACTTTAGGTGGGTATGATGTTTCAACTATTAGTAAAATTATAAATTGGATCAGAAAATTGAGATCCTTGCTTAAAATCTGTGAAAATTCCGAGTCTTAGTTTATAAAGGAGATACGGAAAAAATCATCTTGGATCCTATTGGCATAGAAAGTTTTTTAGAATATGCGTTTTTTAAACACCTATCCAGATCAACTTGTTAAAATAAATTATATTAAAAAATAACGACGTTATTGTAAATATTTATAACTGCAAAAATGGCTATTGTTTAACAATTTTGAAATAAATGCTAAACTTTTTTACACGAAATAATTTTTTTTTCTCTGTAGCCGAGGCTATATGTATTGATTAATCTATAGTCTATACCGAGTTGAACATGTATAATAGGTGCGTTGATATACACCTTAGGAAAAACCATTGTTATACATGGGAAATCATTTCTTGGCAACAGCGCATCGGCTCGTCTACTTTCATCGCTATTCGTACATATTTCCTACCGTTAACCCCAGACCTGTATCACGAATGAGAATAATAGGCAGATATGCTGTGTTGCCAATTTGAGTAGAGCTTCCCGAATTGTGGGGAATTTAGAGTTAAGTGTTGATTCATTCAAGCTTTTAATCAGCATGGCCTAGACGTTAGAACTTCATAAAGATAACATTGAAGCTGAATGCTGCTGGAGTATAGTGTTTCGAATATTCAAGGCGGAGCGGGACACTATACTCGTTCAATGGGTCATCAAGCCACAGTCTTTTCAACAAAGAAATTATTTTACGAAAATGCGTTATATTTTTACGATTTTGTCGTCACCAAATCTCTGTTTCTCAAAATGTACGTCTATTGTAGAATTTTCAGCAAACTAAGCAAGAAACGTGATCTAGTATTTACTCAACATTACGGATTTCTCGAAATACATTAAAAAATGTGACCTAGATACCTAACTGCCCCAAGCTCTTTAAATATAACACCTTAAACCAGGGTTACCAGGTGCTCAGTCACGTTGATTGTCATGTTGTACTGCGCAAGTCAGCAAACAATCTGGCGTAATAAACGTTAGGAATCATCAGGTATTGCCAGATTCCCGAATACCGGGCACCATAGTAACCGTTATAGTTGTCCTTCAAAGTTGTCAAATCGCCCCTATGGCGCAAATTCGCCACACCAGGCAACTGTGCTATAAACAAACATTATTTATCACTACTATTTGATAGTCATATGGTAGTTGTAGCCCTATCTAGCGGTCCATGATTTCTCTCAATACTGTTGTATCTCTACTGACAACAAGAATAGGGATTACAAAATCATTTATACAACAATATACAAACATGAAAAATATGATTTGAACCATGAAACATTAATACAATTTTAATAGTTGTAATGTCTTAGTTGGTATCAATAATACCCGGAAGTATACTAATGGTTTATTATATATCACCGATAACTGTTACAAATACGGAACCCCGACATACTGTGTGTTAAACGTATCCCGGTGAGAGTACTCATCGTACATGCGCAATTTTCGGGGAACCAGGGGCGTACTTAATATACTACATTCATCTCCCCCGAAAATTGTTAACAGTGATCAGATGGGTAACAATAAAAAAAAGAAACAATTAATGAATGGTTAGTATTGGAGCCTATCCGGTACCTTACGGATACGTATGGGTCGTGTAAGTTCAGCCTGTTCACCAATGGAGCTAGAATCCGAGTCACTGACATCCACGCGTTCACTATCCGCGATTCCGGCATCCACAAACACATCATCAACCGAACTACCGGCAGAAGTATTGCTGGCGCCATCACTATTGGAAAAAACGTTTACAGTGTGCGGTAGCTCCACGCAGGGTGGGTAGACCAACGAATAATCATCATTTAGTTCTCTGATCTGATTAGTATGTCTTTTCCAAAGGAAATTTGAATCTAGTGGTCGAACAACGTAAACGTTTTTCCCTAAAATTTTAACAACTTGTCCTTTACACCAAGTTACTTGTTTATCGCGATAATCTTTAACCAACACAATTTGGTCAATATTAAAACATACTTTCCTATTTCCTCTGAAGTATTTTGCGTTTCTTCGTTGAGAACGTTGTATGTTTTGGTAAACATTTTCAAGTTCAACTTTTTCATTGTCTTGGACTGAGCTTGGTCTAAGCATGTCAAATCGAGTTCTCAACGAACGACCTAAAAATACTTTAGCAGGAGAATAACCAGTAGAACAGTGAACAGTATTCCTATATGTCATAAGGAATTGAGCTAATAGTAAATTACAGTTCTTTTGATCACTAACCTTTTTCAAAAAATTTTTTACAGTTTTTACGCTATTCTCAGCTGCACCATTACAATGAGGTTCATAAGGCGGAATAGTTATTAGTTTAATACCATTAACATTTGCAAATTGTTTAAATTCTTCTGACACTAACTGGGGACCATTATCACTTGCAATAGTCTTAGGCAATCCAAATCTAGAAAAAAGTTCTCGCAGCTTTGTAATAGTCATGTTAGTGGTAACAGATGCCATCGGAAATACTTCAAGCCATTTGGATAAGGCATCAACGACAATCAAAAAGAAATTGTTTTTCTTCGGTTCAAAAAAATCTATATGTATCCGCGACCAAATGCCCTCGGGTATTTGCCAACATTGTAACGGTGCCTTGGCCGGCGATGATTGCAAGCGTTGACATATGTTGCACTGCTTACTAACACTTTCAATATCATCATTCAAGGACGGCCACCAAAAGTAAGATCTCGCAAGATACTTCATTTTAACAATTCCCAAATGGGTAGCATGCAACTCCTTCAATATCACCTCTCGTAACTGAAATGGTATGATAACTCGATGTCCCCAAAGCAGGACATCGTCTTCAACATTGATTTCATTTTTCCTACTGAAATAAGGTTTCAATTCATTACTTTTATGATTTGCAGGCCACCCCTTTTTAACAAAATTGAGTACCTCAGAAAGTACTGAATCTGAGGATGTAAGTTCTCTGACCTTGTTAACATCGACTGGTATACTAGAATCGGAATTAGTGAGATAATTTAAATGAATGGGGAAGTCGATCAGTTGTACAGACATGTCATCTTCAATCGGCATTCTGCTTAAGAAGTCAGCTACATTTTGAATGGATGACACATGCTTGATATCAAAATTGAAGCCACTCAGAAAATGTGCATATCTCTGCAGTCTATTTGCTGCCATCACTGGAACACCCGTTTTAGGTCCAAAAATTGACATGAGTGCCTTATTATCTGTGACCAAGGTAAATTTTCTACCCCACAAATATTGGTAAAATCGTTTAATACTCCAAACAATCGCGGTAGCTTCTTTATCCAAAATAGAGTATGCCAATTCGTTTTTCGAGAGAGTTCTTGACGCATAACAAATTGGCTTTTCGACATCATTTTCAAAAACATGAGATAAAATTGCTCCCACTCCATAGTCCGAGCTATCAATAGTCAAAGTAACTGGTAGGTCAGGATTATAATGCACCAACACATCGTCAGAACATAATGCACGTTTAATATACTCAAATGAATCCTGACATGTTTTATCCCTTGACCAACTTACATCTTTTTTCAAAAGATTATATAAAGGGTGAAGTATATCTGGGAGATTTCTGATGAAACGATTATAATAAGTGATACTGCCTAAAAAATACTTAAGTTGAGTGACATTTTCTGGTGGAGAAATGTCGCGTATTGCCTTAACTCTTTCTAAACTTTTATGTAGGCCTGTCTCGTCTATAACAAACCCTAAATATGAAATGGAATCAGCCAAAAACACACACTTTTCTTTTCTAACAGTGAGACCACATTCGGAAAGACAAAGTAAAACCCTTTTCAAATTTCTAATATGATCTTCTTTATCGATACCTGTAACTAAAATATCATCAAGAAAAACACATACACGGGGCATTTTATTGAACAGCTGCTCCATAATTCTTTGAAATTGTGCTGGAGCGCAGTTTATTCCAAACGGCAATCTATTGAATTCGAATAAACCTTTGTGAGTCGAAATAGTCGTAAATTTTTTTGAAGAGTCCTCGAGCTCTATTTGATTGTAAGCCGATGAGAGATCAATTTTGGAAAATTGCTTTCCATTTTTCAGTTTTGTGAATAAGTCGTCAATTCTAGGCAAGGGAAATTTGTCCACTAGAATAGCTGAATTAATAGTTACCTTATAATCACAACAAATTCTTATTCCTCCATCTTCCTTCAAAATTGGTACTATTGGGGTACCCCATTCTGAAAACTCCACTGGAGATATTATACCATTAGAGACTAATTTATCTAATTCCTCCTCCACTTTACCTTTAATTGCAAATGGTAACGGTCTAGGTTTATGGAAAATGGGATTTGCATCAAGTTTAATATTTATGGAGATCTTACACTTGTTGAACCTTCCCAAATTGGTTGCAAAAACGCCAGGAAACTCATTACATAGAGCATCAACAGCATCGTTGTTCAAATAATGAATTTCTCTAAATCCCATATTATAATTCCTAATAAAATCTCGACCTAGGAGCAATGGATTATTACCATCAACAACAAAAAAGCGTAGGATGCTATCTTTGAAATTAAATTTAACATTTAAGTTGATTGTGCCATGTGGGATGATCTTATTGCCAGAAAAATTAATCAAGGAAACTTTTGTTTTTTTCATGACGTGAGCACCAAAATATGTTTTGTAAACATGAAGTGGCAAAACACTAACAGCTGATCCACTGTCAAGTTCAAATTTCAAAATGACGTTCTCAACTAAAATATCGATATATAGTGGCACATCATTGTTGCTTCCTAAGCTAGAAATACTTAGAACTGTGGATGAAAGAACGTCTGTATAATCCTCAGCAATATCATTATTAGGAAAAACATAATTAACGTGCTTAGGTGAGGATTGTTTTTTCTTTTTACACACCACACTGAGATGACCCCTACCGTGACAAGAGTTACAAATATATTCCTTATAGGGGCATACATTACTGTTGTGGTTCCTCCCGCAGCGGAAACAGCCCGGAGAGCGACCAGACGATGTGAACTGCTGTAGCTGCGGCAGCGCCATGTTTGAGCTGTTGCCCCCACTCCTGCGCGTGCCTCCTTGGCTCCGCTGCGCTGCAGGTACTGCTGTCCCTCTATGATACCGTTGAGGATCTTGATGTTGATCGGCAGTGGCACCAACATTTGAATTATTTTGTGTAATTCGAAAAACATCGGATTCTAAGACCTCGCTTTTAACTTCACCAACTGGGTCTCTTATTACTAGCGTTGCTTCGATAATTTTGGCCTTTTCAACAGCGTTATTTAAGGTGGTGTTCTCGTTTAGACTGAATAATTCAGTTCTCACCTTCCCAGGATTGAACTGCGTAACAAAAATGTCCGTTAGCTTGGACTCAAGCTGCTGACCAAAATTGCAATAGCGAGCTAAACCTTTAAGTCGTACACTCCATTCTAGTGCCGTCTCTTTTCCTGATTTGGATGCACTATAAAACTTCTGCCTTTCGACCCATACAACAGCAGTTTTACCATAGTAGTTAGACAATAACTGAACTATGTCTTGGTATGGGGTTTCTTCCGGCTTTTGCGGCATACATAAATTTTCTAATAAAATATACGCCTCCTCAGACAAACTATACAGCAAATGAGCTCTCTTGTCAGCTTCTTCAGTGACCCCGTGTACTATAAAATACTGCTCTAACCTTTTGAAGAAAACTTCCCACTCGTTCTCCTTGGGATTGAATGTGAGCACGGGACCCGCTGCTGCAACTGCCATCTTTCTTGTGCACAGATTGGTTCACCAACAACTGGAGGTTTCAACACAAACGGGGAGTTTACACACACTTAACCTCACCCGGCGAGTTCTTTAATAACCCTCGTCGCCATGTAATGTCTTAGTTGGTATCAATAATACCCGGAAGTATACTAATGGTTTATTATATATCACCGATAACTGTTACAAATACGGAACCCCGACATACTGTGTGTTAAACGTATCCCGGTGAGAGTACTCATCGTACATGCGCAATTTTCGGGGAACCAGGGGCGTACTTAATATACTACAATAGTTTTAACTTTTTTCATGTGGAATCCGCAGCTATTTTTCCCGAAATTTGGGTAGACTTAGATTTCTTAGAAATATGACATATTGGTATCGGCAACTCTGCGAATGGGAGAAACAAATCGCATTTGTGAGCGCATCCGTCTAAGCGGTAGGCGCCAGCGCCCGTTCTGCCATCTCTCTCTTTTATCACTCTTCTACTTTACCCCGTTGTCCGTCACACTGCGACGCTGCCGATAGGATCCTACAATCGAGTGTCTTTTACGCACCTACATACTTTTGTATATTTCCATCTCTCTTCCTCATCATAATGTATAATAATGGTTTTTCCCAAGGTGTATACACTCCCTCACCACATACGACACCGATATTTAACCCTACAAAAATGTTTCTAAAAACGATTAGGAACCTCTGAAACGCCAAAAGAAGTTTGAGCGATTTTGATTTTTTCGTTTTTTGCCGTTAGCTCTTCCGTCACTGGACCGGTTTTCAAAAAGTACAAAGCTACTACAAAAGATAGGCCAAGGATTAGCGGACAGACCGACGGAAATGAGTGACATGGTTTGTCGTCATATAACATTCAAAAACAATTTTTCTGGATTACAATACTTCCTTGACAGTGGCGAAGTGAAAGGCTCAAAAATGAGTTAATCAGTTTGAGTCACTGCAACCAAAGCGCATTATGAAATACTTTCAAAAATCCTGGTGCTTCTTAGAACATTAATCACATGTAGCCATCGATAACAAAAATGGATTTTTAGCATCTTAAGAAAATATTTGAAAAACTCATGTTCTACCTACTGAGAAAAATAAAACACAACCTTAATTTTACATTTTATTGAATATATAAAATTGATAGCAACATTCTTTTCTTAGTTACCTGATAATAATAAAATACTAAAAAAGAACCACAAAACTTAAATAACAAAAAAAAAGCTAATATAATTTTTTATTTAAGTTCTCGTTACGATATTGTAACGCATTATAAATTCTTCAATATGTACATCTTGGATTTGTCAAAAAGCTACGCGTTTTATATTTTTATTATGAAATAACGGCTGGGAAAGGCATACAATCATTACAAGTTACGTTTGGGTTTATTGTAAATTTTTACATCTCAGAGAAGTTGAAGGTATTTTCAACAATATTTTCAAAACTGCGTTAATTTCTATACGATTCAGCACCAATAAATACCATAATAACATGTCACAGATGAGAGATGGTACTCATAACCACGTTTGTTTTGAGATCAAAATTCAAGTGTCAAAAATATTTGATCTAGAAATATGCGCGGTTTTAATATGTTTGACCCACAAAGCATGCTAATTAAAGAAACCCGCAAAGCATGCTTATTAAAGAAACCACCACACGCTCAGTTCCAGAAACTATTTGTCACACATTTAGCGTGTATAGCAAAAATACTACTCAACAAAATCGCAGTCTCAAAAATTGTAGTTACTTTTAATTGGTCTTTCTGAAGGAAAGTCTTGCGACTTGGAGACTGTTGATAAATTCTGTAGTCAAGCTCCAGCCAATTCTACAGCGTCCGCCTTCTCCTACCGTCGTCTGTGAAGGTTTCATTATTTTTTACGAAAATACTTCGCATAAACCACCACATACTCCCCCAGAAATTCTTTATCACACATTTAGCGTATATTATATACCAATAATATCCCCATTCAACAAAGCTGCAGTCACTTCTCTGATAGGACTCAGAAGTTGCAGCTTCTTTTAATTCGTCTTCCTGAAGGGAAAAGTTTTGCGTCTGTTAATCGATCCAGCCAATTATGGAGGCTCCACCTTCTCCTACCGTCGATTACGAAGGTCTCGTAAGTACTTCGCTAAAATTATAAGCATCCCCTCAATTCTTTGAGTAGTTATCCTAAAACTTTACAAAGCTGCACGTCCAATAATATCAAATTGAAAAAAACTAAACGCGTTCGATAGGCCGATTTAAATTAGGTAGCAAAATTAAATAGAACAATGTAAAATACCTTCATCTCTTCACATTATGAATTACAAAAATAATATAAGCACCACAAAAAATAATTTGTATGAGTAACTTAAGCCTGGATGAAAAATGTAATAGTTAACAATATATATGATGAAAAAACACCACACAATTTAAATATCGATAATAGCTCAGGTTCGTAGGATAAACGTTTTTGAACCACAGGCATGATATCAAAATTTTTTAAGGAACGAAATGTTGCACATCAATTTTACTGGTATATTCATTGTAATGTTAAGAATTAAGACCCTTTTTGCCAATGCTTTTTTGATAATTGCTCATTTTCAAACACCTGAAGCAAGTACAAAGTCGACCTACGTTACGCGCGTTTTGAAGAGGTGAATAATGGAACATATATACCAAGAGAATCGAAGGCAATGGTGTAAAAACGGCCTCAAAACTTGACATCTGGAGTACCAGTGGCGCTTTAACACGGTTACCATGTTGGGGGATATAATGTTTCGCGGATAGAAAACATCCCCCCACTCTTTCAAACAAACCTACCCCTTTCCATTAATTTATTGTGATTTGGGGGATTTTTTAAAAAGTAACAATTCTACGAGATATTTGAGCTTATTCTGTGAAAATTCTATCCGATCTGCCAACGCTGTGCTTTGACAGATCCGCTATATTAACACCAACAAACGGATTGCCATTTAACTCATTGTAAATTAACTCACCTATTTTTGATAATTTTCTGTAAATCCTTGGTGTAAAACGCGGAAATCTGTTGGAAGTTGTTACTATCATTTAGTTACTTGAGAAGAACTTGAAAAGCGTTCCTTTGAGCAATGATGAATTATGTCCAAGAATAAACAATATGTGCAAGAATTTGTTCCAGGTGTTTTAGAAAAGGCAACGTCGTGAGAAACCAAATTGGTGGAAATAAATATTGTTTTTTCGGTATTTCTATCGAAAAGAGACATTTAGCGAAAACATTCTCATTTTCCACGATTTTTTTATAAAACAGATGTTTTATCGAAAAAGAGCTAAAAAACTAAATTCTATGTAGTCTTGTAGTTTTATGCCGCATGCTAGTCACACGTGCACTTGGGCAGTCGGATACACGAGGGACGTAGATTGCCTACAATTATTATATACACACATCCCTTATTCTGCTCTCAATATATTGCTTTTTATGTATAACAGGGGTACAGACTGGTATATCACCGTCATTCTCACATTACCAGACAGCAATAAGGAAACCAAAGTGCGTCTGTATTTGATTGAATTAAGAAATTAAAATGTCGGTGATAAGGATTCAAATTCAAGAATGAAACAAAAATATTCTTATAAACAAAAATTGCAAATCAAGTTTCAATGATGGTTGCAAAGGAGTTTGAAGTGGGACCAGTATGCCTATTGTAATAAATAACTTTTTGTTGGTTTTTTCCGGTATATACGCTCCATGAAGTGAATTTTGTTTTTACAGAAATCATTTTTAACATAGTAGCTTTATCTTATGATACCCTGTATGAAAAATGAAACAAAAATTGATATAATGCCAGCGGTTGTTTTATCCTCTGAGCCGATGTTCTCGAGTAAAAATGATTCGCATATATACAATGCGTCCCTGTCCGTCCAGCAGCACAAAAAAATATTAAACAATAAAAAATAATTCTTTCCACCCGCTGATAGAGTATATCTCAAAAGACCATTTTCATATGACGTCGCTAGTTCGGCCTTTATTTTGGATCAAGCATGGTTTTGGTTCTATGGTTTCCTTTATCAGCATTATTAAAATTGACAGATTGTCTTTTAAATAGACGAGGAAAAAACCTCGCGTCCGTAGGAGAAATTTTCCTCGATGAAACGGATTTCTTCAATGTCCATCACAAATAATTCTTGTTGAATAAAACAAGAATTTTTTTCAATACATTTTTTTTTCGCTCCTCACCCAAAGATGTTTCACAACAGAGAGCTCACAAGAAACGAGCGAGCTACAAGACACTTAGCTTTGATAACAAAGCCAGATGTCTTAGGGCCCAGATACAAATTTATTACAAAAATATTATGATAATCCTTGAAATTGAAAGAGACAAATTTAAGTCAATTAAAGCCATACCGGAAGAAGAGGTTGTAAAAGAATTCAAGTTTCAGGAAGTAAAGGAGATATCTCAAATATTATCCTCTTCAAACCCGAAGACCATAAACAAGTTGAACGGGCTAAATATCACCACTATTAGAAAGGAAATTGCAGATTTACTCAAAAGCAACAGAACCGAATCAGAAAAACAGGAGTATTTGCAAAATATAATAATAGGAAGACACAGTTAATGACTGAAGATCATAAGTTTCATTAGATATAGGCTTTTCGGATGATTCTAAACAAAAAAAAGGTCCTTAGTTAGCTTCTCTAGTTACCTGTTCCTGAGTTATAGGCAATTTTAAGTCTGAAAAAACTAAAAACGGCCATTTTCAATGCTTAAAAATTCTATTGAAAATTAATATATTTAAGGTTGAGAAGTGTCTGAATTAGTTCAAGCCTTCTCCTGCAAGACACCGGCACAGCATTTTGAACCTAGTTTATTTTAAAACATTTAATTGTCGATAAATAAGCTATTTTTAGGTTTTTTTTAGTAATTGGCTACTTGACTCATTTCTAATTTCATATAATAATGAGTATTTTTTACAATATTTGGCTTAGAAAAACGAAATATACCTGTTTCAATGTTTAAAAGTGCAAGATGGATATATAAGTTCAAATTCAAAAAATATATTTCTTATTTTTAATACGAAACGACGAAAACACTATCGGCCATGATGTGACGTTATACAAGTTCTAAAAAACCCGCAATCAACGTAAAAATTTACCGTTTTATCGTTGTATTAAAAAAAAAAATCCTGGAAGTTGGATTCGTAAAAGCAGAAAGCACAAATTTGCCGAAAATTGACACATTGATGGTTGATCATACTTCTGCCTTTTACCCAGATTTCTGCTCTGCTTAGATGAGGAACATCGATACTTCTATGTAAGTACACCGCATTTGATACAATAAGACATAAAAAGAAAGAATAACACACTTATATAATCTTCCTTTTCAGAAGACATTCAAAACTAACCTCATGCGTCATAACTTCTGAATAATTTTATCTAATACTGTATTTCTTGCAAAATCTGCACAGTAAAATGTAAAATATGGTCCAAGCAATACACAAACCTGTGTACATTTATTGCCCTGGGTCCTCTAATCCATAGCTTTCCCGGAATCTTTATTGATGAGTTTTTACATTATTGAACGATAAAATAACGATTACTGTATTTTTCATGTAAACTAGATGAAATCATGTTTTAGTCTAATCGTATTGAACGAAAATACCTCCGGTTTGCTAAACAATTGTAAAGTCTGGTTTTAGTGCTGCAAATTGTTCAAGGGGGTATTCAAAACACGGATTCATAAAATGGGTACGTCAATTTTTATGGGAAAACTTTTTATTCGACAACAAAGACTGAGAAAACGCGTTTTTCGGGATTCAATCGAAAGTGTTGGCAGGAATAAAAAAACTCTTTATATAAGCTTTTTAGGTATTTATGAGTCCTACAAGTTGAGACCAAACGTAAAAAGATCCGACTAATAGTAAAATGTTATGGCCGAAAACCGAGGCAAACTGCAGGTTTTGGCACTTGTTGGTAATGCGACGATGGTTTCTTGCAGATATGTGAAATTCTTCAAATTCGCAGGATTCGTACTTCTTAATAACCACAACAAAATTTGAGTAGATTGGTCAAGTAGTTTTTGAGAATTTCGAATTGTTTATAACAAAGCACCTGCTTTCGTGCCATCACTACTAGTTTATTGAGCAATATACAGGGTTAATTCAAAGGGCATTTTATAGCAAAATACACTAGTTTACCTTGCCGATATAAGTCGCAAACCACTCCGGACGATCAATTTAATTTTTGTGGATGGGTTACGTTTTTTCTTCTAAACAAATACAAACATTTCTCATTTCTCTCTTCATTTTCTCATTTCATTTGCTCAATTACTCACAAATTCGAAATGTTTGAACTTGTTGATGGCCGGAGAACAGGTGTTTTGGGATAAACTACTTGACCAATATAGTCCAATTTTGTTGTTGTTATTCAGAAGTATGAATCCTACGGATTTGAAGAATTTCACGAAGTTGCGTGAAATTATCGTCGCATCACCAAAAAATGCCAATATCTGCAATTTGCCTCGTTTTTCGGCCTTAACATTTTTACTATTAGTCAAATCTCTTTACGTGTGGTCTCATTTTGTAGGTCTCATAAATACCTAAAAATCTTATATGAAAAGTTTTTTCGTTCGTGTCAACACTTTCGATTGAATCCCAAAAAACTTGTTTTCTCATTTTTTGTTGTCAAATAAAAAGTTTTCCCACAAAAAGTGGTTTACCAATTTTATACCCCCTTGAAAAACTCGCACTAATAAAACCAGACTACAATTACTTAGGGGAAATTTGCAAATATGACTATATGTTTAAAAGTTTGAGAGGTTATGCTGCTGTTTACAAATGATATGGTGTCAGAGCACATTAATATGGCCCAAACATGGCGGACAGCGTTTTCGCCTGTCTAAGATAAATACAGTATTGATTTTGTAGTCAAATAGAACAAACATAAACTGTCAGTCCTACTTAAAAAGAGTGTCAACTAGCTTATTGAACGTTTAAGCAAATTTGTACCAGGTGACCGTCCGAAAATCTTCATTCATGTTAAAGGCATTAAGAGGAACAGATTGATTTATAAATAAAACCATAGCACCAACATTTCTTGTCCTCTAGTCGAAAAAGTCGTTCACATGTCACAATCACTTGTTCGAGAATGATCATTATACAATATTTTTACCAAAATTACTGTAGAACTCAAGAATCGTAAGAAGTGCGAATCGCAACAATTTCAACACCGGTCGAGTTTTACCATAAGTCGGCAGCACCGTTGCCATTTCGCGGTGTTAATGCCAAAAAACGTTATCTAGCAATTTTTATGAGATCATCAATACCAGTTCTTGCCCACCGTAATATTTTATTTCATCATTGCCTCAATGTCATAGCTAAGAGCAGACTGCAGGTTGTTCAGAACAGTTGCGTAAAATGTATATTTGGTCCAAGACGTTTTGATCATGTCTCAAATATGTTTACTTTTTTGCACTGGTTGGAAAATGCCCTATTTGGTGAAGCGTAATTATTTTATTTTCATCCACAAATTAATGCTTGCATCTGGACTCAATATCTTTGAGAAAAGTTCATTCTTAAAGCTAGTCCGCAAAATAAAACCATCAGGCATAGAATCACAATCACTATTTCCCATCATAATACTTCTTTAATCCAGTGCAGTTTCACCTACAATGCGCTAGTGCTTATACCGGCAAAGCTGCTAACTCATAGTTAGGAAAGATATAAGGTTTATTATTAATGAGTAATAGTGGAAAACACTATACATAGTCATTGCATAATATTGATGCCAACCTTTTCCTTATTTTTTTTTTAGGTGTGTAACATGCTCTACTTTGCCATTCATGCTATTATAAAATATCTTGTATTTTGTAGTTATTGTTCTTCTCATGCCATCATATACTTTGTATACCTTTCCACACTAGTGGATAACTGTAAGAATAGCCCACGGCTAAACTTAGCCACTGGTGTTACATCGGTTTGTATTTGCATATGTTTAATAAAGACGAATTTATTAATATTATTATTATCCTCACCATACTCCATTTCCTTCAGTATCAAAAAATTGTGTCTCAACCCTAATTCTTGATTGAGGAATTAAAACTGAGATTCGGTTCTTTGAGGCAAGCTTGAACACCAAATGGTTATGGTGGGTCTAAGATCAATGAAAAAATAGGTGTTTTCCAGACTTGACAGCTCGAGGAACATTGAAGATTGAACATAACCTATAAATTGTAGTTGGCGAGAATTATTTTAGCATTTCCAGTTAAAAATCAGTATTTGTGAATTAGTGTTCTGATATCAGAAGTTTGGACTATAAAAATTCTTCGTTTTGTGGTTTTGTCAAATGCAACAGTAATGCAGGTAAACAAGCCTCAAGATTTCTCACATATTGATAATTACTCAAAGTATATTGAAAACATGCACAAACCAAGTAAACAACATAAAAAAGTCTTCAAACTCAAAATGAACGGTGCTAATACGGAATATAAGGTTATGTTTCACCCTATTGCAGATAACGTCTTTTGAAACTAACACTTCGATTTATGATGTTCGACTTTTATGGTACTCGTGGTAACATTCTGCACACTATATCAGCACCACCTTTTTTACAATACGACAATCGTCTTCGCGTTTAATTAATTTCCGTTATTCTTTTTTTCAACTAGGCGACATTGTGTGGTGTTCGCCTTCAAAAGACGATCAGTTCGTATGGACTTGTCCGGGTAAAATATTTTTATAAATCGTCACGATCTACGACAGTCTCTAGATTGAACATGGGCCACGAGATGGCGTCGTTTACTCCACCACTTTCAGGACTTTTCCGATAGCAATTGTCCTATCTGAAAACAAAAAAAAATAGGTGAAACGAGAATAACTCGCACAAAATTCATTGGTACTAAGGTGATTTTTTAAGAGCCTTCTTTTTGAAAGAATAAAACCGCTAAAAATGCATTATGTATAAAAAATCTTTATTGGAATCGATAAACTGGTTCTTGCCATTTACTTTTTAAAGATTACTTCATGCAAATGTTTCAAATAGTCTATACGGAAGGTCCAATTTTTCACTACTTTTTCCAGCATTTCGGCCTGAATTCCGCCAATAACACGTGTTATGTTGTCGTGTGAAGCCTCAATAGTGTTGGGCTTTTCCATATACACCAACGATTTCACGTAGCCCCACAAAAAGTAATCTTGAAGCGTCAAGTCGCATGTGCTTGGTGGCCAATTTACAGGGCCAAAACGAGAGATAAATTCATTCCTTAAAATGTCCATTTTTTTAAGTGCTGTGTGGCATGTGGCGCCGTCTTGTTCAAACCACGTGTCAACCAAGTTCAGATCTTCCAATTTGGGTAATAAAAAGTTAAGGATCATTGATCGTTATTGTTCACCGTTGACGGTAACGCTTCGTCCAAAGCCGTCAGTAAAGAAAACTGATAACTCCACCAGCCCATAAACCACACCAAACTGTTGTTGGTTGGTAATTCTTGTATCGCATGTGGCTGCTCATCACACCAGATGCGGCAATTGTGCCTATTAACATATCCGTTTAGCCAAAACTGAGCCTCATCGCTGAACACAATTTTTCGATAAAATAGCGGATCTTCTGCGAACTGTTGCAAGGCCCATTCATTTAAAAATTGACATTGTGGCAGGTCATTTGGCTTCAAATGTTGCACAAATTGAATTTTGCAAGCCTTCAAACCGAAAGCGAAACGTAAAATTTCTCAATAATAGTTGCTACGGAGGCAATATTCTCTTCGTATACGCACCCCCCCACGCATGCGAAACACATTTTTGGTTATAAATTTCAACGATTTGCATTTCCATGATGAAATGGCATAGTATACTGACCAATTTCGACTTTGACAGAATACGCTTGGACGCCAGTACATATCAGTTACATATTGTTAATGTTAATAAACTCTTTGTTGTTGTTCAACCAATTTAATAGAGTCTACGAGCCCCTTCCCACTTCAGTTGGCCCAACTACTGAAATCTTAGTTTTTATCTTATCAAACACAAATAATAAAAATGCAGCAGGGTGTTATAGGTTTAAAATATTAATAATGAATATTTTAATAATATATAGTAGAAAACACCAACTTTATCACTCCCTAATCAAATTTGCAGCATAAAAATAACACATGTTGCAATTACAACATATCAACCTATTTTCATTTCAATGCAAAATAAGTCTATAACGCATAGGTGGCTGTGAAAAATAAAAGCCATGACAATTGTTTTTATTAATCACAGCTGTCAGAATACGTTTAAAATAGTTTTGGGTAGTCAAAATGGGTAGAGGAAAGGTTATTAGTGAGAAAATTCGGTTACTGATAATTAAATTTTTTAATTCTGGGAAATTAAACTCAGAAATTGCAACGTTGTTAGACTTATCGCGGTACAGTGTGAGAAATATTGTTAGAAGATATAACGTAGTTGGTTCAGTTAATATTAAGCCACGACATGTGAAAAAAAGTAATATCACAAATGCCGACCGAAGAGCATTAAGAAGAAGAATAATCGTGAAAAACAAGCGTGCCAATTATTTACAATTAAGTGCTTTGTGGAGTGACGCTGTTGGAAGGAGAATTTCGAGGTCCACAACTCATAGAGAGACCCACAAACTGGGATTTAGCACTTGCAAGGTAAGTTTTCTTATAAAAAAAGTGAAGTAAAAACCCTAAAGTTGCACAACTTGTTTATAGGCCAAAGAAAAGCCACTATTAACTCCACTGCAAAAGAAAAATCGGCTTAGATGGGCTAAAGAACATAGACAATGGACACCTCAACAATGGTGTGCAATACAATGGAGTGATGAGGCCCGATTCGAAGTTTGTGTTGGTGACAGTCACAGTAGAGTTATTCGCAAAAAAATGAAGCATTTAATGTTGACTGTCTGAAGAGAAAAGTGAAATTTCCAGCATCCATTATGGTTTGGGGCAGTATATCATCAAAAGGACTAGGAAAACTTCATTTTATTGATGGAAATATGGATACAAACAAATATTTGGCAATTTTAGAAGAATCACTTTTACCAGTGATGGAAGAATGTTTGACATCCGGCCAAGATTTGGTGTTTCAGCAAGATGGTGCAGCGTGCCATATCTCAAAAAAGGCTATAAAATGGTTGGAAGAAAATAATGTACCACTTTTGAAATTGGTTTCTAGCATTCCATATCTGTCACCTATTGAAACTTTGTGGCACGAGATAAAAAAGGTTCTACGACAACATCCTGCTCGTACAATCACCGAACTGAGACAAAAGCTTCAAGAAATATGGGATTGTTTTACACCAAATTTTTGCCAAAACTTGGTTAACACAATGTCCCAAAGAATTTCAGCCGTAATAAAAAATAGAGGTGATGTTACCCAATGGTAATCTTTCAATTGTTGCTTTGTTAACTTCGCGCGTTTATTCGCACATTGTTTATTTGTTCAGATGTTCAAAAGGGTTGTCCAAAACGGACGCAGGAAAGTAAACGCATATTAAAACAAGAAAGATTGATATTCAAATCAAGTTGGGTACTTTATTTTGAAGGTTCATTTATTACCATTTATGTATGAAAAATAATATCGCTCAAATGTTCATCAGGACTGGATTTACAGACGTCCACGCGATGGTCGAAATTTTCAATGACATTTTGCAACATGGTCGGTTCTATGGCATTTATCTCGGCAATGATGTTGTTTTTGAGTTCTTGGAGGGTGGCTGGTTTGTTGACGTAGACTTTGCTTTTCAAATATCCCCATAAAAAGAAGTCCAAGGGAGTCAAATCGCACGATCTTGGTGGCCATGGCACATTTCCTCTGCACGAAATCACGCGATCACCGAAGAAGGACTGCAATCGATGGATATTGACGTTGGTTGTGTGGCATGTTGCACCGTCTTGTTGGAAATAAACATCGTCCATATCCATTCCTTCAAGTTGCGGCAAAAAATAGTCCTCTATCATCACGTGATATCGCTCAGAATTGACGGTAACGGCGTCCAGGCCGCATTTTCGAAAAAGTAAGGTCCGATGATGCCTTTTGACCACAATGCACACCACACAGTCACTTTTTGAGGATGCATCGGCTGCTCTTGATACTCACGGGAATTTTCGTTCGCCCAGATGCGGCAGTTTTGCTTGTTTACCGTCCCATTCAAAGTGAAATGCGCTTCGTCGCTGAACATGATTTTTGATGAAAAATTGGCATCAATTTGGCGGTGTTCAAGGAGCCAATCTGAGAACGTTCGGCGCGAAAAATGGTCGGCCCGACGCAGCTCTTGCGTCAATTGGATCTTGTAGGCGTGTACATTCAAATCCTTGTGGAGAATGCGGAGCAAACTGGTTCTCGAAATGCCCAATTCTTGGGATCGACGCGTTGTTGATTGTTTCGGATCGTCTCTCACACTCTCCTTCACAACAGCAATATTTTCCGGTGTGCGAAAGCTCCTTGGCCGGCCAGAGCCTGGCAGGTTTGCCACAGAACCTGTTGCCTCGAATTTACGCACCACACGACCGATGGTTGTTTCGTTTGGGCGGTTGTTGCGACCGAAATGTTCACGAAGCGCTCGAAACGTGTTTTTTATTTTTGCACCATTTTTGTAGTGCTCTTGAATAACTTTAATGAGGTCTTCAATCGAATACGACTCCATAGCGATCAATGGTAAACATTCAACTAACAAAATGACATGTCGGTGACAGAAAACAAAGATGGCGTCTATGTCAAATTGACGTTTACTTTCCTGCGTCCCTATTGGAGAACCCTTTATTAGATATAGGTCTAAGTGATTTCAAATATGTATTTTTTACGACTAGAGTGTATCTAAAATGTTTTTGGGAAAATAAATTGTTTTAGAAGTAAATAGTTTCGTCATGTTTAGTTTATAAAGGCATATTTTGGTACAAATCTTGAAGTGGGCCAACTGGAGTGGGAAGGGGCTCGTAGTATTTGAGTTCTTTAAGATTGAAATTCCAGGCATACGCACTGTGGTGCCGCCATCCACTTATGCTTACAAGTATGTAGCATCTTTAGGCGCCAGTGTTGCCACATCTTGGAGTACTGTGGCAGCTAATGGGATATCCTTTTTCGGAATAATTAAGAGGAAGGTTGGAGGGTTATATATTATTGAAAGGTTGTTTCATGTTTAAGGATAAACAATTTTCTTTAAAAGAAAGATGAGTCATTTTTATTACTTGTAAGGGAATCACTGCGATGCAACTTGGCATCATGATGACCGAAATTGTATGTTTGTCCAAATACAACATAGGGTTGATTATTTTCGTTAATCAATGATTATACAGAGTGCTCCAGAATACGTGATAAATGTCTGCAATACAAAAAAATAATGGGACAAACTCCTATAAAAAACGCTACCATACTTTCTGTAACAAATGACGCCACTGAAAATTCATTTTTCTCAAAGAATCTCTGGAAAATACTACATATATAATTCAACCAAATTTTGAAAGCACAGTAGCCAGTTGTCTAGCCCTAATGCACTAATGCTAATTTTTCTGAAACCCTATACAGGATTTGCGAAAGGTTGGGAAATCTCGAAACCGGAAATACTACAGACCAGAATATGTGAATTGACCTGAACATACCTTTGTCCAAAAGTTGACAGTTTGCGAGATATTTGTTTTTAAAAGTTCCAAATTTATACCATGATGACAAAACATTTTTATAACATAATAATCAAGTTGCTTTGGATAATATCTGAGTAGCGTTGCTATGGTTTCTAATGTTTGTCATAATATTGCTTTAAACTTCATGAATAATTTTAAGATAATAATAAGTTGTTAAACATCATGGAGTATACGTTTGATGAATATTCTGATATGCATTTAATGTACGGATTGGCAAGATGTAATGCTTTAAAAGCACGAAGATTGTACGCTGACAGATTCCGTAATAGACACCTGCCTAATTCAAAAACTTTCCAACGAATCTATCAGCGGTTACAAGAAACTGGTAATAAATGATTATAGTTTTATTTTGAGTAGTAAAAACCATACTTGATACTGATAAAATGAACAGTATATGCGAAAAACAGTGCGTTTGAATACCATTCCTATAGATTCGCACTGCAGCTAATCCTCAAAAAGTTCTGAAACAATCTTAGGCTTCGTCACGTCTCTGATTATGGATTTTTTATCAGAATTACTGCATTTTCAAAAGTGACAGAACCAGAATATTTGATTCAGCATCATTTTTTTTACCGCGCATAAGGGCCACCCTTCTGCGAGATCCTCATTTATTTGTCTTCTATAAACTTGTATGTGTTGTGTATTTTGCAGACAAATAAATATTGCTATTACTATCATAATTGATAATTACGCAAAATTGATCAGACTGGAAAAAAAAGTAGTACTTACTTTCATCTCTGAGCGTAAACCTTCCCATTTGTGGCATTGATTTAAAAGGTTCTAAACAAATAACTCCAGCACATTCGATTCGCATTATGGCTACTTGGTCTTGTTTTACGAACCGCGGACGAGTTTTACTTTTATCTCCGGTTTTCTTATCTACTAAACAGATTAAGGCCTGAAAGAAAAAATAATTTTACCTCAAAAAGAAATCTATAAAAGCGATAAGTAATTATCAATAATTCCAGTTTCTAAATATTTTCATTATGTCCGTAAGATATTATTCTGCGGTTTCCGGCGTTTTATAGGATTTGTATGCTCTATCTGAGCGATATTAAAAAGTATACCATTGTATACTAAGTGGCATATAAAATACAACACCCAGAATTATTTATTGAATTTTGATAAAAGCTTGTAAACATATTTGCTATCATGGAAGTATAAGCTGATAAAATGTTGAAGATATTCCGGCCATGCTTTTTTGGCAAAGGCTTTGTTTGTCATACCTGGATCCGAACAATATGAACATGTCTACTTAATATTCAGTGATTTTTCTGTGTTGGTTCCATTTGTTTAATTGTTATTTCATTGCATTATCATGCCTAGAGTTCGCAGACGCGCTAACTTCACTCAACTTTCCGAGTTTGAGAGGGATCGGATAATCGGGTTACGTGAAGCCGGATTTTCTTTTAGCCGAATAATGTGTTTTCATACTGTCCCCATCTTGTACTACCTCTGACCCCACAGCATCGTTGGCAACGATTGGTATGGAGTGGGGAGAGACTTAAATGGAATACTGAATGGAACTCAGTCGTGTTCAGCGATGAGTCCAGATTCTGTTTGGGCACACATGATGGCCATGCAAGAGTAACGAGGAGGTGTGATGCAAGACAGAACGTCCAATATTCCATCCAACGGCATACTCATCGCGTTGTGGGTGTTATGGTATGCGGTGCCATTGCACGGTAGCAGCTCACGATTACTGTTCAGTCGAGGATGCCCAGCGGTATATCCACGAAGTTTTACAACCACATCTGCTTCCCTTTTTTAGAAACATTGCATGATCCACTTTTTCAGCATGATAATGCACGTCCTCATGCCGCACGTGTTAGTTTAGACTTTTCAGAAGCATCCGGAGTAAATCTGCTCCAGTGGCCTCCTCGATCTCCAGACCTTTTCCCCATCGAACCTGTATGGAACATGATGGGAAGAAGGTTACAAAATTCACACTACCCTCCACAAACATTGGAGACTCTACGAAACCAAATACAGACGGCCTGGATACAATACACGAAGAAGATATCAATCACCTCATCCAATCCATTCCGCGACGACTCAACGAATGTGTAGCAAACAGAGGAGCTTCAACACATTATCAACATTAAGGTGGGATATTTCAGCTATTTTGCAAAATTCCGGGTTAAAATTTTCACTTTCCATAAATATATCAGCAGATCTAAAACTTGTAAAGGTATGCTCAAAATTACAGCACTCTTAGTCGGAATTGCACTTTGTAAGTCATTTAGTATATTTGAAGTTTTAGAAGAAAAAAAAAGTATGGCATCCATAAAATGCTATCTAAACTGAATCCAAATTCAAGATGAGATGTAAATAATAAATTCGCCATTAAAATTCAAGCGGTCGCCTGGCGGAATAATGCGCGGGGCAGGGGCAGGGCAGGAGTTGCATTCAGGCCACCGACCGTCGCGTGTATCACAATTTTAAGTTTCTGTTTGTTATTGTTATTCCTCGTTATTATTTGTTTTGAACCAATCCTGAACATGTCCAGTACAGATACTGCTGACGAGGCTGTAGGCTACTCCCTTAGCCCTCCTAGAAAGCGATAAAAAAGACATCTTAGCGTAGACATGAAAGACATATTAAATACATTCAAGATAGAGCGGAAGGAAGACGAAACATCAACTAACCCGAAAATAGCTCTGAAAGTGGCAGATAAAATTGGTGTATGCCAAGCGACAATGTACAATGTTTTGAACGAACATAAGAAAAAGCATGCCTTTTTCAAGCCAATGATGGGTAGAAAGTATCATAAGATCGTTGGATGACGCTGACAAGCATGCGATTCGGAGGAAAGTGTACGAGTTCTTCTTCAGAAACGAAATACCGACAGTTGATAAAGTACTACGGGAGGTTAACGAGGATGCTATGTTACCAAATTTCAAACGTTCGACTATTCATAAACTTTTGAAGCATCTTAATTTCGAATGGAAGAAACGAGGTCGTAACAGCTTACTTATGGATAGCGAAGAAATTGTTCTGTGGAGGAGAGAGTACCTGACCAAAATTAAATCATTCAGGGATCAGCACAGGAAGATCTATTACCTGGACAAAACCTGGATTAACGCTGGGCACACTACTCCGAAGGTATGGGTTGACAAAACTGTGACTTCATCCAGAAGGGCATTTCTAGATGGACTGTCGACCGGATTGAAAAATCCAGCAGGTAAATAGATCGAAGTAGTTCACGGTATCAATTTTTGCGCACAATATCTCTCTATCTTCGTACCTACAAGACGTGCATGTGTACTTAGCGGATTTTATCTTTCTAGGCAAAGGAAAAACGCTCATTATTTGCCTCATTGGGGGTGTAGATGGCTTCATGGATGACGGCTTATGGTCTTTTGAGTCAAAAAAAAAACGACTGACTACCATGAAGAGATGAATGGGGAAGCATTCGAGAAGTGGTTTTCAGGCATTTTACCACGTCTCGAAGACAATTCTGTGGTTGTTTTGGATAATGTTCCCTATCATTCTCGCAAAATAGAAAAAATCCCAACTTCAGCTTCTAGGAAATCAGACATTCAGAGCTGGCTCCGTTCCAAAAATATAACTTTCGACCCTTCCTTACTGAAATTACAACTATTAGATATTGTTAAACAACACAGACCAAGACATGATAAATATGTCATAGATAGATGAAATGGCCAAAGCACACCACAAAACAGTACTCCATTTGCCACCTTACCACTGTGAGCTCATCCCCCTTGAGCTCATATGGGCAGATGTTAAGAATTTTGTTGCACACAATACAACATTTAAATTTTCTGACATGCAAGAGCTGTTCAGAATTGTTATACAGAGGGTCACACCAGAAAGATGGCAAAAATGTGTACAGCATGTTCAGGAAAAAATGTAGGTAGCAATGTGGGAGCTGGACAACATAATTGAGAGAGATTTTGAATCCATCATCATAAACATTAACGACGATAGCTCTTCTGAGTAAGTTTTGCGTTTTTGTTTTGTCACAGAATACATATTATGGGAATCCTAGTTATAGTGAAATATTAACTTACAGATAAACTACAGACAATGCAAGTCCGAAGTGCACCTTCAAAATCTATTTTAAATTGACTGAACAGCCTTATATTTATTCCATGTACAAAAGTGTCATCTCTACCCCTCATTGACTACGGATTCATTGTGCATAGTGAGCAGCTGGTTACCTCTGGTATGTATTTCTCCATGTTGTCTAGTTTGAAGAATCTGTAGAAAAACTTAGCACCCCTTCAAGAATAAAAAATTGATTTTGCGACACCCTTAACTATAACTACTTCACTATATTAGATAATTTCGTTAAATACTGTCATCTTTGTTTTACAACACGTTGGTGGTAGTCTATCATTCGGACGTAGCCCTGAATGCGGCCCGGTACGCCGTCCTTGCTTTTTGCAATCACGCATCCATTCTATCTTGGGTGTAAATACACTATAGAGACTACAAAGTGTTCGAATGGAACCAAGAAGTTATATTACTTTTTCTGAAATGACATTCAATCCTTCCCCCACCCTGAACGAAACAAAATATGAAAACATCAAAAGATAAGTTTGAAAACTGAGCATTCAAAATAATAGTATCAGTAATCAGTACGCATTTTTGAAAATTAATGGCGTTTGAATTTTTTGAAATTGAAAATTCGCCCCCTAGCGACCATTTTAGGAAGCTGAAAACAATTTTCAGCAATTTCTCTGGTCCACTTTTGTTATGATATTTTCCAACGGATGACTCTAGATTAAGCCGTTGTTGAAATAGAGCCGGCATCTTTTATTATTGGGTCACCCGGTACACAAATGCGCTCGAAAAACATAACCCTCCTTCTGAGGCGGTAGGATAAAAATATCATTACATTGCTCCAAAGCTAAGGCAACCTCTTTTATCCATTTCCAGCAACAACTACATAAATCAGTATTTAGTATGGACGACCTCATCGGCGACTACAAATACGATCATTGGAAGTTTTACTTACTTTGACGGTGACCTCCTCGGCCGCGCAATGTATGTGCATGACGGCGCTGTATCCGGCGCAAATGATCGATTTGTGCTCCAAGATGACCAGCTGAGCATCGAAAATTCGACACGTCTTGATGGGGTTCATCGAATCGCAAAGGACGAAACCAGGACTGACGTCCTCCTCTTCGACGCCTTTCACTTTGATCTTGACGTTTTCGCCCGGCACCACCGACGTTACTTCGTCGTCGTCCGACCACAACATATCAACTGTCACCTGAGTCTGGAAATATATATTTTTTTTAAATGTCTGGTCAATTGACCTTGTAAGTAGTATTCATGACTCGGCAACCATCTCTGCACCATGCCTTCAGCGCCATCCATACTGTTTTACAAATGCATAGTGGTATCACTGGTAAACTTGTGAGAAATAAAAAACATATTCAGATGGCATATTAGACCATTGATTCCCAAAGTGGTCTATATCGACCCCTAGGGGTCTATGAGAACCTGCAAGGGGTCTGCGTCAGCGAAAAAAAATTTGGGGGTCCACGAAATGAATATGGGGGTCCACGATAGTGGATCTCAACACATACACTGATAGTACCTATTTACTTACATCATACTATTTTATAATATCAAAACATATACATTATTTATAAAAGTACCTATCAAGTAAAAAATGTATTATATATGTTTATAAAACTGTGTAAGTTGTAGGATGTTGGTGAACTTGTAAAAACCTGAGAGTCGCAGTCTCAGAGCTTCGCTACCTTGCACTGACTTGTTCAATTCGTCACTCTATAAATATGAATGTGGGACAAATACGTTTATTCGTTTCCTGAATCTTGAAAAGGAAAGTGCTAAGAATATATTTTAAAAAATATAAACAGATAGTATATCACACAAATTATAGTGAGTCAGTGTTATTTTGTTTGAGAGTGCTGGAGAAAAGTAAGTACATTATTTTTTATTAAATTTTAGTTTTGTACTCGTAGTTAGCAAAGATAGATAAATTACGCCAATCATGACTTTACTTATTAGTAGTTAAATATTCAATCATGCAAAATTACACGAGTACTCCTCAATAGTTTCTTTTTGAAAGTTTTAGCAATCGGTAATATAATTACAGTGCAATCTCCGTAATTCGAGCTAATTGTTGCAAGAAGATGTTCGAATTATGGAATGTTTTCGGAAAAATCAAAAAATATTTTTAATATACAGCTGCTGTCTTATTTAAATAATTTAATTTTGCCCACAGATGACTGATGCCATGTCCGAATCTAAAAAGAAATGTAGACAGTACACTGTTGATTATTTGAAATTTGGCTTCATTCCATCATTGCCGGACAAACAATCGCCTATGTGCCTTTTATGCAAGAAAGTTTTGGGCAATGACGCTATGAAACCATCTAAACTGCAAGATCATCTGAGAAGATGCCACCCTGATAAAACAGAAAGATTTGAAATACTTTCAAACACTCAAAGATAAATTTCAGAAGAGACCTACACTGGACAGAATGTTCACTTCGACGTCACAAAGAAATGATGATGGTTTGCGGGCGTCTTACAATATCTCGTTACTTATAGCAAAATCCGGAAAACCGCATACTATCGGAGAGAAGTTAAGCCAGCCGTTGAAGAGGTTTTAAAAACTGTTTTACACAAACCTGCATCTGATATGATTAAAAGAATTCCCTTAAGCAACAATACTGCTGAAAGACGTATTGATGAAATGAGTTCTGATATTGAAAGCTTCTTATGTAATTATTTGCAAACGACCCATTTCTCTATACAACTGGACGAGTCAACTTTACCTGATAATGCAGCATTATTATTGGCATATGTTCGTTTTACTATGAATCAAGAAATCTACGAAGAACTGCTCTTCGCAAGAACTTTGATAACCGACACTAAAGGTGAATCAATATTTCATGTTTTGAAGGATTACTTCATTCATAAGCTATTTAAAACAAAATGTGTCAGGGGTGTTAGCAATACATTGCGTCATCCATCGACAACATTTAGTTGCTAAAAATTTGAGTGTTAGATTGCATGAATCACTTCATTTAGTCATTGATGCAGTAAACCGAATCCGAAGCAACGCGTTGAATACGCGGTTATTATATATATTATATTTGCGCAGTTGTGTGAAGAAAATGACGAACACTTTCATCAATTACTCCTTCACACTGAAGTACGCTGGCTGTCGAAAGGCTTATGTTTGACAAGATTTGTTGCACTTTTTGAGACGATTTTAGAATTTCTGGATACTAAAGATAAAATTTTAAAAGAAAATTTAATGAAGAGGAAAACAGACATCGCCTATTTAACAGATTTGTTTACAAAATTTAATATGGTTAATTTGCAATTACAAGGCGACAGTTTAAATTTGATTGAAACAAAGTCCATCTTATCAGCGTTTCTTGCCAGAGTTAAACTAATGAAGCAAAATATTGGACGGTGCGAATTTTCTCAGTTCCCCAACTTGTCACAGACAAGCTGCCAGGAAGACGACGTTTCAACTTACGTTCAACATTTAGATGCCCTATATTCAGATTTTGAATCTAGGTTTGAGGATATTTTGACTATGGTAATACCACCGTGGATAAGTAATTTATATGGTGACATAGAAGAAACGAATGACATAATACAAGAGGAACTGACTGAACTAAGTACAAACGAATAACTTAAGGTTCAGTTTAAAAACGGATATCAGCAATTCTGGCTGCAAAACAACATACCCGTTACTTATCCCGTATTATGGAATATAGCGAGGAAATTTTTAATTTCCTTTCCATCGTCATACCTAGTGGAAAGGGGGTTCAGCACTGTTACCAATCTCCTAACGAAAAAAAGAAACCAACTGGACATCATTAGCCGAGGAGATTTAAGATTAAACCTTACAAAATTAACGCCAAATGTTGATAATTTATTATTAAAGCATCAGGTTCATCCTTCTCACTAAAAATATTGACTTATTGCTTATGTTATTTTATTTATAGTTTATTTTATGTTTACTGGTGTCTGACCAATAAATGCCCGCATTGGGAATAAGCATTGATTTTTTTAAAGAACCCCCCTTTATAGAAAATATTTTTTTTTAATTATTCTGAAAATTCAAGGATACACTAAAATTCGTTAATTTTTTGCCTATTTTTAGATAACTTAAACGTATAAGAAGCGGAATTTAATCAAACTAACAGTGAAATTATAGTAGAACATACGTTTATGTTAAAATTAATAAACGAACTCGCTTATTGTACTATTTTAAGTAAAACACTTTTTTTTAAATTATTTTTCGCTTTTTTTTTATTGTATCCCTCTTATTTTTTTTTTCAATGAGGGCACTTATTCCCAATGCGGGCACTTATTGGTCAGACACCTGTTTATTTAATGTTACGTATATTTTACATAACAGATACAAAATTTTATTTGGAGTAGTTTTAATTTAAATTCAATTAATAAATCTATAAATTAACATGTGTTTTTACTTTAAGTTATTAACACTAAACTTCACTACAGTTAGAAATTTACAGGAAATCAATATCAGGTAAGTAGGGGGTCTACCCAACATGGAAAAACATGGCAAGGGGTCTACGACACAAAAAAGTTTGGGGAACTCTGTATTAGACGAAGATATCCAGTTTGCGAAATAATTGTAAAGTCTGGTTTTATTGATGCAAGTTGTTCAAGGAAGTATGGTATGGACGCATAAAATGGGTACACCAATTTTTTGGGAAAATTTTTTATTCGACAACAAAGAATGAGAACACGGCTTTTTTGGGATTCGATCGAAAATGTTGGCAGGGAGGAAAAAGCTCTTCAAATTAAGATTTTTAGGTATTTATGACAGAATGAAACCACACGTAAAAAATCCGACTAATAGTAAAAAAGTTATAGCCGACAACCGAGGCAAGATGCAGGTTTTCGCTCTTGTTGTGAATGCGACACTATTTTTATCTTTATACTGAAAACTTACCCTATTAGGCATAATGAGCATTACTTGTCCCTTTTTGCATTCTCCTGATTCTACTTTTCCCATCAGTACTGTGCCCATATCCTTATATTTGTCAACGATAGGCATTATAAAAGGTCCATCTCGTTTCCTATTAATTGAGGGCAAACTATCTGTTGGACAGAAAAAAAAATAAACATGATTAGGTATGCCAACAACTGACGCCGAAAAAGTATATATTAGGTAGATCGGAAAGTTATTGCAGTTTGTAACCTTCAAATTCAAAGGAGCAGCTTTAACAACACTTTGCCACCGAGAAACCCGGAGTTATGGAGGCGATGAACTCATTGAAGGCATTTGTGGTATTAACATGGCTATTGAAGCATTTCTCGCAAAGGAAGTTGTCGAGGTGTTTGAATAAGTTACAAATTACATATCCAATGGTAAGATTATATATGTTATGTATATGTATGTACTTTGAAGTACAAATCATACATAGTTTATGTATGTCGAATTTAGTAAATTAAATAACAATAGAGAGCTTACGTTTTATTACAAAATTAAGCATAAATGCACATACATATGTACCAAAATAATCAAGAATTATTAATCAAAATCATTAATGAGTTTATCAAATTATGAAGCTTGGAAATATTCATCAATTTTTTTTTGTTTAAGGTTGTTATAATGCGAGATCAGAGCTTTGTCCCTCCCTTTGTCTTCTCAAAAGTAAAAGTTCGTGGTAGAATGTACCATTCTCTTCAGCCCATTGTAAACCTAGCTCAAAGGCGTTAATTGCGTCTTGTGCTGTGACTTGTGGAGCAGTTGCAATCACGTCGTCGTTATTTTCCTGATTGTTTGTTGTATAATTAGAAACCTCTTTTATAATCTCTTCGTCAGACATTTCATAAAAAACATTTTCCTCTTTATCCATTCCACGGCACCAGATTTCCAAATCTTCCGGACTCATCTGTGTTTCAGTAGCGACTTGTTCTATAACTTTCGAAGTATCACTCATTTGTGGAACGTTGCTAGGAGTGGTGGCTATATCTGGCCATAACTTTTTCCAAGACGATTTAATAGTTGATGACGGTAACGCATTCCACGACTGACAAAGAGCGAAAAACAAGTTTTTCATATTAAATTCTTTTAAAGTTTTTTCTATTGGTTGGTCTTTTGATACGGCTCTCAGAAGTAGGTTTTTCTTATAGTCTTGCTTGACAAACTGAATGATATTCTGGTCCATTGGTTGAATTAGTGCAGTGCAATTTGGCGGAAGAAACATCGCAGTGATGCATTTATCCTCAGTTGTTAGTTCTTCTTCAGACGGAGACCGGGAGCATTATCAAGAAGCAACAACGCTTTCTGAGGAAAATTATGATCTTTTAACCATTTTCTAACTTCAGGTATGAAGCATTCATCAAAACACTTTTTGAAAAGGTCTTTTGTCATCCATGCACTTTTTTGTCCGTAATAGTGTACAGGTAAATCAATGTTTTTGAATGCCCGTGGCTTATTAGATTTCCCAATGACCATCATCTTAAGCGCGTGTGTGACCACAGCATTAGCACATGGTAGTATGGTTACACGCTCTTTACGTACTTTTCGTCCAGGTACGGATTTTTCGTTACAAGAAACGAAAGTTTTGTTAGGCATCACACGCCAAAAAAGCCCTGATTCGTCTGCATTGTACATCTGTGACGGGTCAATATTTAAATCGTTCACCTTTTGCAAAAATCTTAATTTAAAGGGCTCTATGCAGGTGGCATCGTTAGAAAGTTTCTCTCCTGTAATAGTCATTAAACGTATGCTATGACGACTTTTAAAACGTTCTAGCCATCCTTTGCTGGCCACAAAATCATCTTTTTTGTTATTTCCTTATAAAAAAACTTAGCCTCATGGCCAACATGGGTCCTGAAATTGGTGCATGCCTATTTCTTTCCTGAAGAAACCACCTGTACAAAGCTTCTTCCACTTCTGGATGTTCAGCTTTCTTGAGTGTCAGTCTCTTGCCTGGCCCGCAGTCAGTAGTTGACAGTTGACACGAACTTCTTGATCTTCTCGTGGTTTCTTTTAATGTCATAAATTGTAGATATTCACTTGCTAAACTACTGAAAGTTTCATTGCGATTTAAGCGGTCTAAAATATCACATTTTTCTTTAATTGTCAATGTTTTATGCTTTCGCTTCGGAGTTTGTGATGACATTACTAGGTACTATACTTAAGACACAATGAATAAATAGTAAACAATGAACGCACGCTAGGCCGTACCGCTATCACCAGTAGTCAGATTCAAACTAAGTAAAACAATGCTTACGCGTCGAGCACGATAGCGGTGGCGCGTACAAGTTGTAACCTGTTCAAACCTGCGTGATCTATATTAGCGAAGATTGTCAAATTCGTATGTCTGTAATACATACATATTCAAAGACATGTCGGATTACAGGAGGCGCCGGATTAGACAGGGGCCGGATTATCGGGGGTCCATTGTACTTGATGTCTTCAAAACGAATACAACGACCAGATAGAGCGAAAAAACGCGCATTAAAAAGATATATAAGGTCGGAGTAAAAATAAATAAATTTTGATGCAAAATACATCATTTAAAGTATAAATAACAAAAACCGCAAGAACTTTCCGAACAACCCAATATGTAGTGCCTAGTACAGAGTTTTACCACTCGCCATATGAGCATATCTTACCTATGAAAGGTATAAATGGGGGGCCTCTATACCACGGACAAATTTTTTCGTCCACTTGATCCTTGAGACCTTGACCTGTCTGTCCCGAACACGGGAGGAAGAAAAGGTCTTTATTCAGAATAAAACCTAATTTTTTCAAGTATGGCAGGATTTTCTCTTTACACTCGTTGTATCTGAAAAGAAAAAATAAGAAATGTAGAAATATTTATTTTCAACAGCTGTTTGGAAATTACATCTTCTGGTTATCTTGTATGTTTGTGAATAAAATATTTATTATTTTTCCGCAAGGTATTTCAAAAGCAAGGTAAAATGAAATAAAGATACAGGGTAATAAAATTTTCAAAAAAGTAACCTTTAACAAGCTTTTATTAGCTTGACCTGCATGTACAAAGGCTACTATAAAAGTTTTGCAATACAGGCGTCCCTCGTTTTACGCGGGGGTAACGTTCTTTGAAAACACCATCGAAACAAAACATTTTATTAGATAAACTTTTATTAAATACATAATATACATAGGTATGTTTGTACATATTTATGTATGAGAACATTAAACGTTAATTTTTCAACAAAAATATTAATTTTTAGAAAAATAAGACGTACTTTTTGACTGTTTAGCTTCGTTGCGTAAATTCTTCTCAACTTCCTTGTATGGTGCCAACGCGGCAAAAACCTCTCGTTTAGTTTTTAAACCTCTTTCCATTGTAGGATCTTCCCTGATTAACAGCTCGGTGAGATCGTGTGCCATGGTAAAACATTTATTAAGCGTTTTCTTCGTCAACTCCATTGGTGCCGGGACTACTTCATCATCTTCACCTTTTTCTTGAGCTTCATAATTGTTCTCCGTCAGTTCTATGAGTTCTCTTTCAGTGAGTTCAACATTATGCGATTCAAATAGCTGATTTATATCGTCCTCATTCATATCATCGAATCACTCTCCAGGTAATGACTCTCCTAAATCAGCTATTTCTTTGATTTCGTCTCTGATATCAGGCCCTTCGCATGAGGCTTCACAATTTATGGCCATAAGTTTTTCCAGCAGCCATTTAATGTCGATTTTTTAAGTTCACCAATCGATTCTTTAATACTATGTAGGCAATCTGCAATTGTGTAATCCTTCCAGCATTGGCCTAATGTTTTTGTAGGGTCTCGTTCCAAGTTTTCTAACAGCATTTTAAACGTGCGTCGCGTGTAATAAGCTGTGTAGCTGGCAATGATTCCCTGATCAAGAGGCTGTAGGATTGATGCGGTGTTCGGTGGAAGAAATTCTACTCAAACATTGGGATTTATTTCCTGTAAACGGCCGGCTGGGTGACCAGGGGCATTATCTATGAGTAATAACACCTTAAATTCAGGATTTTTTGACGTCAAATAACGTTTAACCTCTGGTATAAAACCGTTCTCAAACCAATTTAAGAAAATGTCTCCCGTTATCCATACATGACCATTGGCACGCCAAAACACAGGCAATTTATATCTTTGTTTTTTAAAGCACGGGGATTCAATGACTTGCACACTAACAAAGGCTTAATCATACAATCTCCAGAAGCATTTGAACGAAGCAAAAGTGTGAGACGATCCTTTGCTACTTTAAAGCCCTGTGCGGTCTTCTTCTCTTTTGATAAAAATGTACGGTTTGGCATCTTTTTCCAAAACAAGCCAGTTTCGTCCGCGTTAAAAACCTGCCCAGGTTTAAAACCTTCTTCAATGAGTTTTAAAAGTTGCCCAGGATATTCCCTGCTAATCAGGTCATGCCCGATTACACGTTGAAACCACGCGGTGACGCGATGCATCAGAAGGCGCGGGCCGCTGAAAGGCGGGGAGCAACCGCGTATAAGTGAACCGCGTAAAATAAATCACTTTTGTCAAAAGCGCAAACGCGTATAAGCGAAACCGCGTATAAATATGCCGCGTAAAACGAGAGACGCCTTATTTATTGACTGACGTTCAAAGTAATTTTCACCATATTCAATACACTTTTACAGCCGCCAAGACCAGTCCTTGAACCAGCTATTATTTTTTCTTAACAGATCAGGATTTTCTGACAGCTACTGGTGTGTCTTCATCATCAAAGACAGAAACTTTGTTTTGGGCCTTGGTCGGCACATCGTAATAATAAAGCCAAGTCTCATCACATGTGACGATGCTGTTCACATACCGAGATTGCCCCTTATCAAACATTCTCAGCATCTTTTGGCATCAAGTCATAGGACGATTCTTCTGCTCTTCCGTCAGACTATGCGGTACCCAGAGAGAACAAAGTTTCCTTATGTGTAAATGGTCACGCAGTATTGAATGAATTGCAGGTCCATGAAGGTGTAAGGTCTCCTCTATATATAGGTATGTCACTCTCCGGTCTTCATCAAGCATTTTCCTCACAGCAGTAATGTTTTCCTCTATTACTGACGTTCGCGGTCTTCATTCCCTTTCAGCGTCCTCCAGAGTAAAATTGCCCCTTTGGAATTCTCTATACCACCTGGATATAGTCATACGATGAGGACAATCATTCTTTAATGCAAGCGTCATTTCTTCTAAGCACTGGTCTATGCTTAAACCACGCGTAAAGTTAAATCATAAAACTGCCTTTATCTCACTACGTGACCACCATGAAATAGTCCGCACTTTACACTGTCAAAACGAAACAACTAAATGCTGGCGGCTACTATGCACTCAAGGACATGTCTCAACATGCAGCCTCCTGCATCCGTTTGTTAAGTCATATTGCAAAACTTTTCTAGTACCCTTTGTATGTATGTATGTATGGAATCTTTTAACCTCATTTTCATCAATTTCAAGAAGTTTGATTAACTTGAAAGTTTGTACAGTGGCCAAGGGCGGATAACAATACAATCTTTGAAAAATGTTTTCTTAAAAATTTGAAAAAAATTGGATTTGAAAATTTGGAAATGAGAATTGGAAAATTCTGAAATTTGGAAAATAGTTTGAACTTGAGAATCTAAAAAAGTGTTTCGAAATTTGAAAAAAAAATTGATTTTGAGAAAATTTTGAAATTTATTCAGCGTGTTCAACCTCTCCTGCCCCGGGATTATGAGCCCCGAGTTGTTTTTTGTCGCACAATGTTAGAAAGACACAGGAAAGATCCACAGTTCTTTGAAAAAATTTTATGGTTGGATGAGACCACATTTAAGAAAGATGGGTACATGAACCTGCATAACTTACACGAGTGAAGAGAGAAGATAAATCTCAATATCGCTTCAAGATAAACCATTGGACAGGAATTTTAAATGGTAAAATAATCGGTCCGTTTGAGTTCCTAGAGACTTTGACTTCTGAAGTTTATTTGGATTTTTTTAAAAATCATGTACAAAATTTATTGGCGGACGTGCCACTGAGTATTTACAGGGACATGTGGTTTCAGCATGATGGCTGCCCAGCGCACTATGCACTTTCAGTGAGAGAGTATCTCGATCAAAACTTTTCAGGCAGATGGATAAGACGGTCTGGTACAATACCGTGGCCAGCCCGATCACCTGATTTGAATGCTTTAGATTTTTTTACTGGGGAACTGTAAAAGAAAAAGTGTATTTCAAGCCGATTCAAAATGTAGCTGAGCTACGGTAAAGACTATTGGAAGCAGCTGAGTTTGTTAATAACCGTGGATTCGCTCGTTTAATAACCCGATCTTTTTTAAGAAGATGTCGAGCGTGTATTGCGGCTGAAGGAAAACAGTTTGAGCATTTGCTGTAAAGGTAAATCATCATCAGCAGCATTTTGACGCCCACTGTTGTGCAAACAGTTATCCTTAAGGGTCCTTGAGCGTTTTCATAATCGCTGTTTAATTAGGAAATTTTGAAAAATTTTCATCAGTTTTTTTTTCAAATAAAAATTGTGCATAAGTTAACGAGTAATCTTCTAAGTGTTATACCATTTTGGAATCGTTATTAAATGCGCCAACTTTTAAGGTTACTTGCCAAACTCTCGTAGTACATTTTTTTCCAGTACAGCCAGTTAAAGTTGAGCAAAGTTTTACTTTGGAATACTTGGTTGGGAAATAAGTGGCAATTTTTCCTGAACGAGAAAAGTTGGCAGTAAGGTTGAGACACCAGTTTGAAGATGCATTATTCATCATTACATTGTAGAAATAAAATCCAAAAAAAGTTAATATTTGTAGTAACAGGAGTTGACAGACTGCCGTAGGGTGTGAAATTTCTATATTTTTTTCAAAGACCTATAATTTTCAAAACACATACATAAATTTTGTTTAAATATTTTTCTGATAGCTGTTATGACTTTGTCTATCACCCGGTTTCGGCTTGACGTCGACTTCTGGGACACACCCTGTATATAAAAATGATACAAAAATTACAAACATGTAATTTTGAATTTGGAAAGAGCCCTTTTGTTGTTTGAGACTAAGAATTCAGAAAATAGGTAAATTATAATTTGAAAAAGCTAAAAAAAAACGCCTTTTACACCAAAGCAGTCGCGCAAGCAGAAGCTTTGTTAATCCGAATTTTAAACTGCGTATCGCTTCTCACGCGTCACAATATGCGTGCACATTTAATTTAAAAGCTCACCTAGCCTCGTCCCAGTTGACCGTCGGATCGTCCATCTTATTCACGAGTACCACCAGATACTTGACCCCGGCCGTTTTGGCCAACATCGCGTGCTCTCTGGTCTGTCCGCCTCTGTCAAATCCCGTTTCGAATTCGCCTTTGCGCGCCGATATCACCAGCACGGCGAGATCGGCTTGAGCGGCGCCACCTATCATGTTTGGAACGAAACTCTTGTGGCCGGGCGCGTCCAGGATCGTGAAGTGTTTGCGGTCCGTCTCGAAAAAGGCTCGACCGACCTGGTTATCAAAAGTTACATTACCTTTTATCATTGAAAAAGACACGACGAAAAAAAAAATATATATATATATATATATATATAACTTGAGACGTGGTCATTGTCGTCTAGACCAGTTAGGTGAAAAATTAAAGCTTCCGCCTTTTGTTGGGTACTTCGACAAAATTTAAGCAAAGAGGACTCTTTATACTTTTTTAATTCTCTCTAGCTTTCAATGGACTTTGCCATCATCATCAGGAGAGTAGTATGTGAGGATGTTACTAATTGTTGTTTACGTATAGAATGAGGGAAACGTCCAGTAACATGGTGAAAGCTGGATAGATGGTACAATGGTCCAAATTATATAAAATATGACAAGAACAAGTTAAAAACAGATTAAAAATTTTTTAAAAACATGAAAGCATTACATCGTGACGCCACTTGATATTTTATATAATTTTGACCATTGTACCATCTATCCAGCTTTCACCATGTTACTGGATGTTTCCCTCATTCTATACGTAAACAACAATTAGCAACATCCTCACATACTACTCTCTTGATGATGATGGCAACGTCCATTGAAAGCTAGAGAGAATTAAAAAAGTATAAAGAGTCCTCTTTGCTTAAATTTTGTCGAAGTACCCAACAAAAGGCGGAAGCTATATATATATATATATATATATATATATATATATATGTATGTATATTTATGCTCCCATCATCAGGAGTCTATCAGTGAGAATGGTGCTAGTATTTGATATTTTGAAATGTAAAAGAGGCAAGGTGATCAAAAACTGGATTTACATTGAAAATACAATGCACAACATGGCTATGTTTTACTAATAAACTGCAGAAGGATTGGGACAAACATTAATTAAATAAATTTTCATCACTGAGAATTAAAGCTAATTGAATCCTGTAATTGTAAATTGTAGCTTGTAACTGCCAATTATAGCTAATTGCAAATTGTAATTTTCAATTATAGTAAGTTGCAGATTGTAAAAATCATCTTCTAGCAAATCAGTTTGAAAATTTAACTATGATATTAAGATGTTTCAGTTTGAAAATGTCCAAAGGGAAATCAGAAAAATATTTCATGAAAATCAGGAATTCATATAGCACTGATGTTCCATGTAACATTATCAATGCTAAATAAATCTACAACAATTGAACTGTCGTCAATAGCTAATCACAACTTGTAACTGGCAATTATAACTAATAGTTATAGCTAATTGCTACATGTCAGTAATCATATAGGCAATAGCTGGCATACCGCAAGGTTCCCATCTGGGGCTCAACTATAATTTTAACAATGCTTTTAGCTTTAACCTTCATCATATAGTTAACAATACATACCTCAACTGTTTTTCCTTTTTCTCTTTCCTCCTGATTAGTATCTAGTGCCCAGCTGAGGTACCAACTTTCACGACTCTTCTCTCTAGCTTCTCGTTCGTACTTTTCAAGTGTTCTTTTGTCCACCATACCAGTCAGAGCCATGATTTGACCACCGATAGTACTCTTACCGGCGTCAACGTGACCTATAAATAGAATATTTATTCATCAGATATACATTTATTCATATATCATTTAAGCTGCGCCAAAACAGAAATCGTCGTGAGATTTTCAATTTTTCGCGCTCCTATTGTCCAGCGAGTCATTAACGCCTGGGTACGTACCAGTATCAATTGTACTTTGAGATGGTATACCTACCAATGAATACAACATTAACATGCTCCTTCTTTTCTTCTACCACTCTCTCTTTGGGTCGATTCTTCTTCTTGACCTTGACAGGAGCCTCTTCAGAGCTCGGCTCTTCTTCATCCAACAAAGCTTCCACCTTATAAAGTCAATTTATTTACTAAGTAATATGTGGTAAGTGTTATTGCAATGTGTTATATTATATAACTGCACATTCAACAAAAACTAATTTAATTTTTCTTTTGATCTCACTGCATTTAAAAATTTGATTCTGCATCAAAAAACACATATAATATATATATATAATGTATATATATATATATGAAAATTCATTACCTTATCCCCTCCAGCTGCTTCATCAGCACTATCCTCATCAGCAGCATCTTCCCATGTGCCCCCCACATCTGCCACGCTTCCACCCACAGGGGAAATGTCTCCCCCATCTCCATCATCTGGGGGTGTGATGTTGCCTGCACTGATCACTGGGGAGGGACTAGGAGTGCCCCCTCTTGAAGAGGCGGGAGGGGGGTCAGGGGCGTCGACGGTGGGGGGCGGAGACCCGCCGCTAGGGTCCTCTGCTTGTTGGTCACCTGGATTCGTACCTGGAAATGAGTTAAATGTAGCCATCAGTTGAACACTCAAATTTGCATTGTGCATCCTCAGCTGTTTACACTTGAAACAATAGAAAATGAAAATTTGGCCCCATCAAGTTATTTATAATGACTCCTATTACATTCACTGTTGGTTATAGCCAATCTGTTTGTAGGAAGTACCAGATTATTGCAATGTCTTGTCTTGTATGAGTGATAATCTGCACATTTAAAAAAATCTGAAATATTTTTTCTTAGATAATCATAGAAAGTTATTATATTCAACAATCTAAAGCAAGGCCTACATGATTCATGTTGCTTTAAATTAGCAATGCACCTTATTGCAGATTTCTGAACATTAAACAATTTTTCAATATACAGTGAAAGCTCTCCTTGCGGACAGCTCCTATAAGCGGACATCTCTTTTAACCGGACAAAGTTCCTGGAACCGAATTTCAGCCATCAATTTTCAATGTTAAATGCATTCCGATAAACGGACGCTCTTATAAACGGACGCGGACACTAGATTTTCCTGTATGTGATCAAAAAATCTCCCATAAGCGGACGCGAAACTCTAATACCCGGACGATTTTTTAGTTCCGCTTATTGCAATGCACATATCTACATACATAAAATTCGGTAATTCCCCGATTTATATTAGGTGATTCCCCATTTACGCATTTCGTTGGGTAGCCTGTATGTAATCTTGTGGCTTGTCTTCAGTTCAGGCAAATTCGTAGTTGATTGAGTTACGTATTTTATTATTGTAACTGTAAAATGGCACCAAAAAAAAGGATGCTCTCGTTAAAGGAAAAGATGGAAGTTGTTAACGTATTAGACAGAGAAAGTGTTTCAGTTCGTCATTTGGCAAAGAGGTTTAATATTGGAAAAACGCAAGCAGCTGAAATTGCCAAAAATAAGGAAGATATCAGGAGTAAATGGCAATCAGGAACTAATACAGGGTGGCCCATAAGTCCTTTGAGCTGGAAAAAAAGGAATAAAACCAAACTAGTTACATTATGAAGAATTATTATATTTAGTTATCATCTTTATTGAATGGGAATTATGTTTTAAAAATCACATCGTCTAAATGCAGTCCATTACGATCACGGCACTCATATAAACGACGTCTAAAATTGTCGATGACTGCGCGGCAAGTCAACACTGTAAGGCTTGCCATTTCTCTTCGGATATTTTCTTTCAAGACATCAACTGATCGCGGAGTGGTGTCGTACACTTTACTCTTGAGGTAGCCCCATAAAAAGAAGTCCATTGGGGTCAAATCTGGACTACGTGGTGGCCAGGAAATGTCTCCTCTTCGAGAAATTACTTTGCTGGGAAAAAGTTGACAGACGACGGGCATAGAAGTGTTGGAGGTGTGGGCAGTTGCTCCGTCCTGTTGAAACCAGGTCTGCGTATTATAGCCTGGAAAATTCTGCAACGCTGGTGTCAAAAACTCTTCTATCATTGCTACATACCGCTCCGAAGTAACAGTTAATGCGCGACCTCTGTCGTCCTCAAAAAAATAAGGGCCTATGATGCCATGCGCTGACATAGCAGCCCAAACTGTAACTTTAGGGCTGTGTAAGGGCTTCTGATGCCTACGCCTTGGATTTTCGGGGCTCCAATAACGGCAATTTTGTTTATTCACATGCTCGTTTAAATGGAAGTGAGCTTCGTCCGAGAACAATACATTATTGAGCGAAGAAAATCGATTCAACATTTCATTCGCAAAGTTTAGTCTCTGAATAGCGTCATTATCTTTTAATTCCTGCACTAACTGAATTTTGTAAGCGTGCAGACGTAAATCTTTCCTTAAAATCCGCTGTAAAGATGTTCTGGGTACGTTTAGTGCACTGGAACGCTTACGAGTAGACTGGGTAGGATTTTGACGAACAGACTGTGCCACAATGTTGATGTTTTCTTCAATACGAGTTGTCCTTGGTCGACCCCACCGCTGTTTATCTAACGTCGAACCAGTCTCTTCGAACTTAGCAACCCAGTTCTTAATCGTTTGAGCTGTTGGACACTTTGTAAAATTGTGTAAATTGTGGTATTCTCGATATTTACGCCGCGCAATGGTTGCCGAATCATTATTTTGATAAAACGCGCGCACACAAAAAGCACGATCCGCTCCAGTGAAACACTCCATGGCGACTGAATTCCCAGACACTGAAGATACTGCCCCCACCTCGCCCGCGCCGCTCACGCTCACTCGTTAAATTTTATTCAAATTTGAAATTTCAAAGGACTTATGGACCACCCTGTATAAATCAAAAGAAGGATTTTTTGAAAAAGGAAGGTTTTGCTATAGACAAAACATGTTTTGAGTGGTTTGTGAAAGCTAGAAGTCAGAACATTCCAATCTCAGGGCCGTTAGTGAAAATGAAAGCTAAAGAAATCGCCACTACTTTGGGCTATAATAATTTCAGTGCGTCCGACGGGTGGCTGCAAAAGTGGCGCAAGAGACATAGTGTGAGTTTCAAATGCATATCTGGCGAAGCTGCTGCAGTAGATCAAGTTGATGTGTCACAATTTTTGGAGAAACTTCCGTCCATGTTGCTTGGCTACAAACCAGAAGATGTGTACAACGCAGATGGAGTGGACTTTTTTTTCGCGCATTGCCCGACAAAACTCTGTCCTTTAAAGGAGAAACATGTGTGGGTGGAAAGTTGTCGAAAGATAGACTAACCATTTTATTCTGTGCAAATATGGCCGGTGAAAAATGCGATTTGATTGTGATCGGGAAAGCGGCTCGTCCCCGTGCTTTAAAAAACGTTGCTATTAAGGATCTACCAGCGACTTGGAAATCCAACAAAAAGGCATGGATGACCCGAGAAATCATGTCTGAGTGGTTAGTCGAATTCGACCGGAAAATGAGAATCCAAAAAAGCCAAGTTCTTTTATTTTTAGACAATGCATGCTCTCATCCTCGTGATATGAAAATGAAAAATGTGAAAATTATATTTTTACCGCCAAACACAACTTCTGTTTGTCAGCCCATGGATCAAGGTGTCATACAGAACTTTAAATTTTATTATCAGCACTTGATTTTAAAACATATTTTAACAAAAATTGACGATGGTCAAAGCTTATCTGAGCTTACAAAGTCTATCAATGTGTTAGAAGCTTTGTATTTTATAAAAACAGCATGGAATAAAGTAAATTCCTCTACAATTAAAAACTGTTTTGGCAAAGCTGGATTCAGTAAAAGTGAATGTAGCTCAGAATTTGCTGAGCAAAATTATTGCGATGCTGAAGACGATCTGCCCTTAGCGACACTTGCTCAGTTACTGCGACATGCCAAACATTTAGGAGTAGCAGATCCCCAGAAAGTAGATGATTTCCTGGCCATAGACAATAACATAACAACAGAAGAAAATGCCATTGGCAACTTTTCGAATTTGGATGTAGAAAGCCCAGGCCAACTTGAATATGGTAGTCCAAATGACTCAGAAGAAGAAGTGGAACTGGTGGACTCACTAAGCGGTTCAAAAACGATAAATTCATATGGGGAAGCTCTAAATCATATTTCTATATTGAAAAAATTTGCTAAAGATGATTTCACTGCATTTCAACATTTGAAAAATTTAGAAAGTTATTACGAAAATTGTCTCCTTCAGCAAAAGATGGTGAAATTTCGTCAGACAAACATTTTAAACTTTTTTCAACAAGCTAAAGAATAATGTTTTTTTTAAATTCTTGTACCATGTATTGAAGCATTTATGTTTTTGTATGCGTATATGTACATATATTATATAGATATATAGCATAAATACATACTTTAAAAATGTGGCGAGTTTCTGTTACATTTTTCTCATGATTATAATACCTCATTTCCTCATGATTATATACCTCGTTATTTATACTCTATACTTACATACTCTCTTTTAAACGGACACCTCCCATAAGCGGACAAAAGTTACGGAACCGTGAGTGTCCGCTTATGGGAGCTTTCACTGTATATGTATATTAGCTGCAGAGCTCCAAACTAAAAGTCCATAATGTAGGATAGAATTAAAAAGAGAATAATAAGCTGTAAGAGCAGCTATTTCATTGACAGTATATTTCATTAAGTCAGTCCCATGACGCTTCATAATTTTTTTACTGCCATATTTATATCCAGTGGTCCAAATTTACTTGAACATTGAACAAGTTTCATTTATTTCTTATTGTAGACAAATAACATAAAATATTTTCCTACAGTTTTATATAGGTATAATTGGAGCTTAACCATGAAAATATTTTGCAAACCCCTACATGGCATAATAAGACAAAGTTTGTTTGTTTGTTCAAGATTCATTTTGCATTAATGCTGCGTCAATTTTGTATAATTGTTCTTTTACACATTTCTTGAATCAATTTTCTGTAATTTTACATTCTTTTCTATGAAAATTACATCTCTATTAATTTTGGGTATTCTAAAAATCATTCATTAATTTTGCCTTAAACATTTTTAAATTCGAACACCCCTTTTTCAAATACAGATTTGCTATTTGTGCTACTATTACATTTGTATGCGCATGAAAATCTATACTGTCTAGTTTTGTAGTTATGATAATGACTATTTAATTTTGTGAAGTTTTATAAATGTAGTGGTAATAAATGCTTTTTTTAAGTTTGAATATGAAAATAAGAACTAAATAACATATAAGAAATTTCTACATTCAACCACTGCATTTCTTGATTTCTTCAAACATAGACTTAATCTTAGCATATTTGTTTTTATTTAAGATGATTTTGTAAAATTTGTAATTTTGAAGATATGTTTTCATTGGCTGTAAACAAAATAGTTGAACAATATAAAAAATGGTGAACAATTATGGTGTTATTACACAATTTTTTTGGAATACATACTGAGATTATGGGAAACTCTACAAAAGTAATTTATCTTTTTGATATTTTTGAAATAATGAATTCATAAAGCTCTTGAAACAGTAGTTTCGACATCTATACTCAGATAATTATGCTACACTAGTAGTCAGAGTTAAAACGCTATTAATTTTGGGTATTCATAAAGTCATTCATTAATTTTGCCTTAAACATTTTTAAATTCGAAAACTATTTCATATCATTATTCAATGCATTAAATTCAAATACCCCTTTTTCAAATACAGATTTGATATTTAGGCTACTATTACAATTTTGCATATGAAAATCTATACTGTCTAGTTTTGTAGTTATGATAATGACTATTTAATTTTCTGAAGTTTTATAAATGTAGTGGTAATAAATGCTTTAAGTTTGAATATGAAAATAAGAACTAATTAACATATAAGATTTCTACATTCAACCACTGCATTTCTTGATGACTTAATCTTAGCATATTTCTTTTATTTATGATGATTTTGTAAAATTTGTAATTTTGAAGATATGTTTTCATTGGCTGTAAACAAAATAGTTGAACAATATAAAAAATGATGAACAATTATATTATATACACAATTTTTTGGAATAAACACTGAGATTATGGGAAACTCTATAAAAGTAATTTATCTTTTTGATAGTTTTGAAATAATGTATTCATAAAGCTCTTGAAACAGTAGTTTCGACATCTATACTCAGATAATTATGCTACACTAGTAGTCAAGAGTTACTGGCACATTCACCCTGTGTTTGTGAGAACCTTTTCTTGTTATTTATGTACTTTCTTCCCAAAATGATTGCCACTTTTTTCTGAAACACCCTGTATATTTAGACCTGAACTAAAAAACAATAAATATACCAAAATGGTAGAAAAAAAAACAGGAAACAATAATACCACATACCATTTTAATGATTGCTTTGTTTACATTCCAACTATACTCTTAAACCACATAAACTATTCAGTTTAAATTAGTTTTTTTATAAGAGTATGTCACTTGTTAAAATGCAGAGCAAAAAAACTATCCATATGGTACATTTTTGTAGATCTGGGTCAATTTGAAAATAGAAATTGTGAAGATTGGAGCATTATGTTTTCAAAATATGGTGCAGCTATGCTAGCAACCACCATTAACCAGTAAAAACTGGTTTGTTGATAGAAATGCATTGTGTATGAATTCTGGTATATGCCACTTCTTTATCAACAATGAATAAATTTGAAAAAATGTATAAATACAAGTATACATTCCATAAATAACGGGGCTTCGTTAAAATTACGAAGTTAAGCGTGAAAATCAACGAAAAAGTTGTTTATGTAACCTAAGCCTTGACAGATTTAGAACAAAAAAAATCACGAGACTCCACTAATTACCTATACTAAATCGGAAATGTACAAAAAATGCACAATACGTCGACAGTTTTGCGGAGATCTCGGCTACATGCAAAAAATAGGGTGTATAACCTAAATGCAAGTTGCTTGAACTCTGAATTTTTCTGAAGGGTCAACTCACCATTTAGTATGGGATTATGTTGTGGGGAACTGTCCTGGGACTCCTGCGACTTTGTGGGCGACGGTTTTTCCACGATATCGGAGGATTTCGCGTATGAAGGCACAAACTCGACAGCATTCACGTTCAACGTGGAAAAATGAGTTGTCACATCTGCAGTATGTTGTGGCGAGTTATTCGTCGATGTAGAATCGGCTTGAGATTCCCAACTGTCCGGAGCTGTGTTGTTTGACATTTTGTGCACTTGCTTTTTATAAATTATAACAAAATTACTTATAAAATTCCAAAAAATGTCTCGTTTTCAAGTTCTATTTCATCCGCGTGCGTTCTCTCGACTTGCCACCGGAACACAATGGCCGAATGTCAAAATCAAACGTCCAACTACTGACACCTGTCATTTGTCTGTCAAATTTCACTAAAAACCAAAAATAATGATCATTCATCAATTTTAATATGATCATTCTTGCATATTATATTGTTTTTCGTAAGAATTAATACTCATTGCTTTGATAATATTAGAACTTACTCCTTTTTTATGGTTTCCATGGAAATGATCCAACGGAAATGAAACGGCGGGAAATTCAAGCTTAGTTTCAGATATAACGGTGGGTAAAGGCTTAGATATACCAAATAATCAGCGGCGTAACCCGGTATTTCATTTAAGAGTGGCCGATTCTTGCGTGATCAGGGTGAAATCAAAAAATAAGTTTGAAAGTTTTTTTTCGTTAATTTAATAAATAACATCGAGTAATAAATAGAATTTATTCATTCAATATATAAAAACAGTGGCTAAGTGCTCATTTTCTGCTTGGCATGCCTATCTCTTGAAAGACTTCTTTCTCTTTCCAGTTTAAGTTGTCTTTTCACAGCCTTATGCTCTAATTCTTCGCAATGTTCAGCAAACATTGTCTTGAGAGCAGGATATAACAAGGGAAGTAACTGCAATTCATCCAGTTTTACCTGAAAAATTAATAGATTAATGTAAATATTGATTGCTAAAATTCCAGATACAGTGGACCTCCGGTAACCCGACAAACATTATGCAGGGCAGTGTCGGACTATCGAATTTGTCGGGTTATAGAGCACTGCCTACGACCCCATATAATCTGGAATTTTTTACGAAAGAGTACCTTGTAATCCGACAAATTACATATCCAATGGTAAGATTATATATGTTATGTATATATGTATGTACTTTGAAGTACAAATCATACATAGTTTATGTATGTCGAATTTAGTAAATTAAATAACAATAGAGAGGTTACGTTTTCTTATAAAATTAAGCATAAATGCACATACATATGTACCAAACTAATCAAGAATTATTAATCAAAATCATTGATGAATTAATCAAATTATGAAGCTTGGAAATATTCATCCATTTTTTTTTGTTTAAGGTCCCTCAGTCTTTTCAAAAGTAAAAGTTCGTTGTAGGATGTACCATTCTCTTCAGCCCATTGTAAACCTAGCTCAAAGGCGTTAATTGCGTCTTGTGCTGTGACTTGTGGAGCAGTTGCAATCACGTCGTCGTTATTTTCCTGATTGTTTGTTGTATAATTAGAAACTTCTTTTATAATCTCTTCGTCAGACATTTCATGAAAAACATTTTCCTCTTTATCTATTCCACGGCACCAGATTTCCAAATCTTCCGGACTTATCTGTGTTTCAGTAGCGACTTGTTCTATAACTTCCGAAGTAACACTGATTTGTGGAACGTTGCTAGGAGTGGTGACTATATCTGGCCATAACTTTTTCCAAGACGATTTAATAGTTGATGACGGTAACGCATTCCACGACTGACAAAGAGCGAAAAACAAGTCTTTTATATTAAATTCTTTTAAAGTTTTTTCTATTGGTTGGTCTTTTGATACGGCTCTCAGAAGTAGGTTTTTCTTATAGTCTTGCTTGACAAACTGAATGATATTCTGGTCCATTGGTTGAATCAGTGCAGTGCAATTTGGCGGAAGAAACATCGCAGTGATGCATTTATCCTCAGTTGTTAGTTCTTCTTCAGACGGATGACCGGGAGCGTTATCAAGAAGCAACAACGCTTTTTGAGGAAAATTATGATCTTTTAACCATTTTCCAACTTCAGGTACCAAGCATTCATCAAGCCACTTTTTGAAAAGGTCTTTTGTCATCCATGCACTTTTTTGTCCGTAATAGTGTACAGGTAAATCAATGTTTTTGAATGCCCGTGGTTTATTAGATTTCCCAATGACAATCATCTTAAGCGCGTGTGTGCCCGCAGCGTTAGCACATGGTAGTATGATTAAACGCTCTTTACTTACTTTTCCCCTTTACTTACTTTTTGTCCAGGTACGGACTTTTCGTTACAAAAAACGAAAACTTCGGGTCAAGATTTAAATCGTTCACCTTTTGCAAAAATCTTAATTTAAATGGCTCTATGTAGGTGGCATCATTAAAAAGTTTCTCTCCTGTAATAGTCATTAAACGTATGCCATGACGACTTTTGAACCACATGTACAAAGCTTCTTCCACTTCTGGATGTTCAGCTGTTCAACATGGGTCCTGAAATTAGTGCATGCCTATTTCTTTCCTGAAGAAACCACATGTACAAAGCTTCTTCCACTTCTGGATGTTCAGCTTTCTTGAGTGTCTGTCTCTTGCCTGGCCCGCAGTCAGTAGTCGACACGAACTTCTTGATCTTCTCGTGGTTTCTTGTAATGTCATAAATTGTAGATCGGCCTATGCCGTATTCACTTGCTAAACTACTGAAAGTTTCATTGCGATTTAAGCGGTCTAAAATATCACATTTTTCTTTAATTGTCAATGTTTTGTGCTTTCGCTTCTGAGTATGTGATAACATTACTAGGTACTATACTTAATACACAATGACTAAATAGTAAACAATGAACGCACGCTAGGCCGTACCGCTATCACCAGTAGTCAGATTCAAACTAAGTAAAACAATGCTTACGCGTCGAGCACGATAGCGGTGGCGCGTACAAGTTGTAACCTGTTCAAACCTGCGTGATCTATATTAGCGAAGATTGTCAAATTCGTATGTCTGTAATACATACATATTCAAAGACATGTCGGATTACAGGAGGCGCCGGATTAGACAGGGGCCGAATTATCGGGGGTCTATTGTACTTGATGTCTTCAAAACGAATACAACGACCAGATAGAGCGAAAAAACGCGCATTAAAAAGATATATAAAGTGCAGTGCAATTTGGCGGAAGAAACATCGCAGTGATGCATTTATCCTCAGTTGTTAGTTCTTCTTCAGACGGATGACCGGGAGCGTTATCAAGAAGCAACAACGCTTTTTGAGGAAAATTATGATCTTTTAACCATTTTCTAACTTCAGGTACCAAGCATTCATCAAGCCACTTTTTGAAAAGGTCTTTTGTCATCCATGCACTTTTTTGTCCGTAATAGTGTACAGGTAAATCAATGTTTTTGAATGCCCGTGGTTTATTAGATTTCCCAATGACAATCATCTTAAGCGCGTGTGTGCCCGCAGCGTTAGCACATGGTAGTATGATTAAACGCTCTTTACTTACTATTCCCCTTTACTTACTTTTTGTCCAGGTACGGACTTTTCGTTACAAAAAACGAAAATTTCGGGTCAAGATTTAAATCGTTCACCTTTTGCAAAAATCTTAATTGAAATGGCTCTATGTAGGTGGCATCATTAAAAAGTTTCTCTCCTGTAATAGTCATTAAACGTATGCCATGACGACTTTTGAACCACATGTACAAAGCTTCTTCCACTTCTGGATGTTCAGCTGTTCAACATGGGTCCTGAAATTAGTGCATGCCTATTTCTTTCCTGAAGAAACCACATGTACAAAGCTTCTTCCACTTCTGGATGTTCAGCTTTCTTGAGTGTCTGTCTCTTGCCTGGCCCGCAGTCAGTAGTTGACATGAACTTCTTGATCTTCTCGTGGTTTCTTTTAATGTCATAAATTGTAGATCGGCATACTCCGTATTCACTTGCTAAACTACTGAAAGTTTCATTGCGATTTAAGCGGTCTAAAATATCACATTTTTCTTTAATTGCCAATGTTTTGTGCCTTCGCTTCTGAGTTTGTGATGACATTACTAGGTACTATACTTAATACACAATGAATAAATAGTAAACAATGAACGCACGCTAGGCCGTACCGCTATCACCAGTAGTCAAAATCGAACTAAGTAAAACAATGCTTACGCGTCGAGCACGATAACCGTGGCGCGTACAAGTTGTAACCTGTTCAAACCTGCGTGATCTACATTAGCGAAGATTGTCAAATACGTATGTATGTAATACATATTCAAAGACATGTCGGATTACAGGGGGCGCCGGGTTAGACAGGGGCCGGATTATCGGGGGTCCACTGTAATTGATACCAAGGAATCTTGACGAGTCGGTCTAGCAGGTTTAAAATGCAGCAGTTCCGTATTCACCGGGTGCAAAGTGCATAATAATAATAATAACAGTGGACAAAAAGGGAAACATCATGGGACATATAGTGGAATGTCAGATCGAATGGATCAGTTTAAAATTATTCCTAATTTCAAATCGACTAAATGCCTGCAATTTTCATTATTATCCGCTTATTTTTATCATCACGGCTTGAGTTAGGTGGTTAAACTCATAGAGTGGAGGTAAAGCCAAAAGACTCGAGAATGAAGCTGGCTCAATCTCTATATCCTTTGTGCAAAAGATTAATTTCAGGTTCTGTGCATCTGGCATCTCTCTCATACCTAAGGGCCGAATCGTCAATCGTTCCTACAATTGCAGGACGCCTTTATGGCCTCCTTGATTGTCTACGAGCCGTTTTACACACAAGAGAATTACTCCGAAAATTATGGTCATAATTATGCCGAAAATGTTTGCTGTCGTATTACACGTAAATGAATTCTTGTGAAAATTTTCATGGTAAAAATATCAAACCCGTTCTATATTATATGCGCGAGAATCGGCGCAGAGGGTTATTTCCGTGCATGTCAATATCAAATGTCAACGACAACAACAACAACATAACCTCACTTAACATTTGTGGGAGTGGTCCTGTTCGAGTCGTTCGAAGGAGCGTTTGTTGTTATTGTTTATTCATAATGTGGAATCGGGAAGAATTTACAATGTTGTTGGAGGAGTACCAAAAATGGCCAAACCTGTACAAGGTGAAGTCACCCAATTACAAAAACAGAAATTTGCGGCGTCAGGCGCTGGATGCGATAGTCCAAGCATTGAGAAGTTTTATAATATTAACCAAGATCTCGATTTCAAAAATAAATTTAAATTATCGACGTCTGTTGTCTTTCCGATTATATTGGACGTCATACCCGTTAAGGTTATGTCCATTTGAAAATATAACTCTAATGCGCAGGCGTATCATATGAATTACTCCGAAATTTTGTTTGCTTGTGTCATACAGGTTGTAGAGAAAATCTTCAATATTTTTTCCATGCAAATTTTCAGCATAATTATGACCATAATTTTCGGAGTAATTCTCTAAAACGGCTCGCAGTCTTTTCTCTTCTTCAGAAATTTCTAGATTTCACCTGTTCCGTGTCACCGTCAGCGCTCTCCTATTGTGAGGTTATGTATTCTTTTTGAATTTTAGGAAATTTCAGGCTGATAAAACAGATGATATCAATCTGAGAATTTAGATGCGCAAATTTCCTTGACAGTTTTTTCCAATTCTGATATCAAAATATTCGGTTACCTGCATATTGTCAAAAGCAATCCCAACATTTTCAGCAAAATTGTCGTTAAACCTGGGCAGTTTGGCGTATCGTTGACTGAAGTGCGTCAGTAAAATATTTTTGGCTTTCATTTTTTGTCCAATTTCGATCGCCTGCGTTGTTGTTGAGTGCATTTTGATAATTGCTTCATGAGCCAGCTCATCTTCCATAGTAGCTTCGTGGATAAGAACATCGCTGTTTTGTCCTGAGAAAAAAGTACGGAGCGATTAAAACACGTAGCAATATTTGTAAAACAGGAAATACATCAAAAATAACAAGAAAGGTCCTATAAATATATTTCATAAAATATCCCATTATCAACATACACATTTATACCCTATTTCACGAGTATCCATCACGCTAGAATGACAGCTGGTTATCTAGTAAAATTTAAAAATTCTCCATATCCGCAATGGACACATAATTCTGACGGATCCGTCAATGTCAGGTAGACAGAGCCATACTCTGTTTTGTTTTTGTACGCTACAGATTCATTTTGTACTTGCTAGAAGCTGTTTTATTTAGAAAAGTTCATTTGCGTACAAAAAACAAAACGCTACAAACAATTTTTTGTTAGACTTACACCCGATTCATTATAGCTAACGTTCCATATTAACACAAAAATGTCACTTGCTGATCAGCTGTTCACCTCAGTAGACGTCAAAGCGTGATGGATACTCGTGAAATATTCACGACTATCCAACACGGGACAATGACAGCTAGTTATCTAGTAATATTTCAAAATTCCCCATATCAGCAAAGGACACATAATTAATTTCGCGGGATCGGTAGACAGACCCGTATTTTGTTGTGGTTCTTTGTAAGCTGATGTCTACATTTCAAGTGCAGGTTGATGTATTGTGCAAGAGCAATTCCTTTTACATCAACAAGCTGTATTCATTATTAATTTTTATGATAGGTTCTGCACATACTTAATCTGTAATTGAATTACGTTACGCTGATGATGGACAACAAACCAGAAACAGTGTCTATATTATTTTTACAGATAAATTTACCGCTTCTGCGAAGGATTATGCAACCTGTCCGATAGACATACCATGTAAGCAATAAATCCCAGATGTACTATAATAATTTTGTGATAAACTTTTCTATATTTGTACTTGTACATTTTATCGTCACATTTCCCACTCAAATAAAAATATAATCCTAATATGTGAACAACAGCTCTGAATACGGCCCCGCAATTCATTATTGCCAACGTTACAAATTAACACAAAGATGTCGCTTTTTTTGTCAGCTTTTCACCTCAAAGCGTGATGGATACTCGTGAAATAAGGTGTAGGACAGGTTGAATGCCGATTTAACCTCAATATTTTACACGTTTAAATACAGGGTGTTCGAAAAATAGATGGAGAAATTTTAGAGGGTGTTTCCTTGTTAAAAAATATTAAAAAAATTTCTAAAAACATAGAGCCGGAAATGCAAAGTTTTCAAGATACATATACAGATACCTACATAAATTAAAAAAAATATATTATATATATATATATATATATACAGGGTGACTTTGAAGTTGAGTCATTAATTTTCAGATAATGATTGTAGAAGGAAGATAAACCAAAATATGTGTGTAAAAATAAAAAAAAAATAAAAAAATTTTTTTACCTTGTTTTATAAAGTATCCTCCCGACAAGTATTTCAGTGCGGACCTGTATTTGATCGTGAGGTCCCCTGTGAGGTCTTAAGTCACCTGATTCACGAGCCCGTTGTACTACATTAACAAAGGCACGAGGGGTTGGTTGCACTCGATTGGGAAACCGATCCGCATAAACATGTGTCATTTTTTTATTTCGTTTGAACCACGCAACAGACACTATTCACACGCGACTGATTATGACTGTATGTATAACTCTGAACTGAATAAAATAAAGATTCTCCAAACATCGTTCCAAATTCTTTCGCTTTTTTGTTTCCGATGCGATGAACCGGTAAGGCGGATTATATCCGTTGTTGCCAAACACGAGCATTGAGATATTGAGACAGGGCGGTACTCAAACATCCAAAGGGCTATAACTTTGTTACTTTAATTTTACCAGAAAAATGGTAAAGGAAAAAAACATTTCTTTTGATCAGATCTACTCACTGTTAAAATAAATGACTCAACTTCGAAGTCACCCTGTATATATAATATTTACTTGATTGTGTTGAAATTTGGCAATATTATTTGTTGTATTAAGAGGCTAATTTAGCCCTAAGTACATTAAAATTATTAGGTCCAGTCGCGTCCCGGGGGCACCTTAGCGAATATTATTGGCAAAAAATGTACGCCACTGCCTATAAGTAAAGTAAATATTAGGTAAATATTTTTTAAGATATCAATTTATCGCCCTGTACCTTGAAAACGCTGCATTTCCGGACCCATGTTTATAGACATTTTTTCATATTTTTTAACAAGGAATCACCCTATAAAATATCTCCGTCTATTTTTCGAACACCCTGTAGAAAAGTTGGTGCTCTCTGCAATTTTGGCATAAAAATCCAGCAGTTCCCTTACAAATAACACTTAAGCTTGACATGACCTTGATTTTGAGGTCAAGGTCACACTTAAGCTTGACATGATCTTGACTTGTCATTGTCCCACTTCAGCTTGACATTACCATAATTGTGATGTCAAGGTCACACTTAAAATTGACATGACCTGGATTTAAGGTCAAAGTTAGATTTAAGCTTGATTTTGAGGTTGAGGTCACATGCTTTTTTCAATTCTGACTTGATCTTGAAGTTCATGGTCAAGGTCATCTTTGGGTTTTACCTCAAAACTTTACTCGTTTAAACATAAAATTTCTTGCTCTCTTCCATTCTGATTTTGAGGCCAATGTTAATTCCAGTACAATAATGAATAGGAGCTTCTTCTTTCAATTCCGATATAAAAAGGGGGTTCACACTTGAAAATATGGATTTAACCTTGAAATTACTTTGAAGGTTGCGGTGAAGGTCACCATCATGTTGTCCCTTCGAAACCTACGACATTTGTCAGAAGCTTTTTCAAGGTAAATACTAACCTAGTTCGACAAGCGAATTTGCTGGCATGGTGTCACCCGAATACGTCAATTTGTGGCCATCTAAGCTGATGATGGATAGGCCAAACGCGTTCGGACAATGCCTCACGTAACAAGTCTTGATATCCTTTAGTCCTATTTCGTGCAGTATTAGCGAATTGGTTGTTTCCGACATACTGTGGTTGTTGTATAGCTAAAAATGCAAATATTTTCCAACAAGTGAGCGTCGCTCTAGCTATATGGGTTATTGTCTATAATATTGCATTTTATTTCCTAAGCCACTGGCGAGGAAGTATTGTAATCGCAAACATTTCGAAAACGTCAAACACCGTAGTTTGAGTGATTTTAATTTTTTGCGTTTTGTACCTAGATCCGCTGCCACTGCGTCGTCCATGACACGAAGTGATGTATTTCATTGTTTCCAATTTAACAAGAAAGCGTTTTAAACATTTTCACGAGATTTGAGTTGATGCTCACAAAAAGGTATTATTGCTACATAATTGAATTTGAGGGTATATCTACTCATGTTTACAGGTTTTTTTTTAAAATTAGCTACGATTAACTTATTTTTCCTTTTATGTGTTCAAAATTTCCAAAAAAGTAGATACGTCATTTTATGACATTGAAGGTTCGTAATTCACAGAATAAAGACTTAGTTACGTCCATGGTATATTAAGTGATGAAAAATCAAAACACATGAAATTTTACGAAAAAAAATGTATTATCACAAGACAAAATGGTTACAAAAAGGGGAATATTATGGCGAAATAAGTACCCGCACTATCTGAAACTAATTAACTCCCTAGACAAGTTGAATATGGCAGCACAAACAAAAGACTCACTCAAATAATAATGATATAATAACATGAACAAAATAATAATTAGTATTAATACCTACATTTTATTGTAGTAATTTTAAATTAAGTAATCTGTTTAATCTAAAAAAGCTGTATTCGTGCTGAAGATGAAGTCAAAAAGATAGATAAGTCTATTATTTTTCTATAACTCTGAAGGTAAAGGGTGATTTTTTAAGAGGTAAAGGATTTGATTTTCAAAAAAAAAACACAAAAAATTTGAAAAAACGATTAAATCTTTATTTGAGTCGATATAATTTAATGTTTAAAGATTATTTCATGTAAATGTTGGCCGCGGCTCCGCTTTAGATGGCCCATGCGCAAGGTTTAATTTTGGCACACTCTCTCCAACATATCGGCCGGTATCTCACGAATAAATGCTTCAATATTGGCTTCCAGTGCGTCAATCGTTGCTGGTTTATCCCTGTAGACATTAGCCTTAACATGGCTCCACAAGAAATAGTCCATCGACGTTAAATCAAACGATCTAGGCGGCCAATTGACGGGCCCCAAACGTGAGATAAACTTTCACCGAACTCGCCTCTCAATAGGGCCATTGTTTCGTGTGCGGTGTGGCATGTGGTACCGTCTTGTTGAAACCACATGTCAGCCAAGTCCAGCTCTTCCATTTTGGGTAAATAAAGATTGTTATCATCGCACGGTAGCGCTCGCCATTCACAGTTACGTTCCGGCCATTGTCGTGTTTGAAGAAGTACGGCCCGATGATGCCACCGGCCCATAATCCACACCAAACAGTGATTTTTTCGGGATGCATTGGTAGCTCTTGCAATGCTGCTGGCTGGTCTTCACTCCAGATGCGGCAATTTTGCTTGTTAACGTACCCATTGAACCAGAAATGAGCTTCGTCGCTGAACACAATTTTTCGATAAAAATGTGGATCTTCCTCCCAACTTTGCCAGCGCCCATTCACCAAATTGGAAACGTTGTGGGAGGTCGTGTGGCTTCAATTCTTGCACCAGCTGTATCTTATAAGGTTTTACACCCAAATCCTGTCGCAAAATTTTCCACGTAGTGGAGTAACAGAGGCCCAATTGCTGCGAACGACGGCGAATCCACATTTCACGGCATCACTAACACTGGCGGATACAGCCGCAATATTTTCTTCAATCCTCACTCTACGTCTGCGTGTTGGTGGTTTAATGTCCAATAATGTAAACTGGGTTCGAAATTTAGTCACAAGCTTCCGAATAGCTCCCTCAGTAGGCCGACCAAAATGCCCATAAATTAGAAGCAGTGCTCGATGCACTCTCTTAACCGAACATGAATTTTGATAGTAAAATTCAATAATTTGCAAGCGTTGTTCGTTCGTAAGTCGATTCATGGTTAAATTATAGACCAGACTGAATAAGTTTGACAATGACACAAGACACGATTCACGCGTCATCTGTCAAAAACAGTGTTGCCAAAAAGGTACTAGCAAAAAAATCACCCATTATTAGAAACTGACTTATGCCACTTCGTTCGAGCAACCTTTTTTAAATAATACAATCGACTTAACGCGATTTTCTTATTTTCTGATATACGCCACTTGGTGTTATTGGCGACGACTGGATCGATTTTCAAATCCTACCAACCTTTTTCGTCCTTGTTATAGTAGTCAAGTTATGGAAATTTCATAAAAGTCCGAGCAGTCCTGTACAAGAACTAGACGGGCCGCCGAGGGTTAGCGGATAGACAAACATACAGACCGACGGAAATTAGTAAACAGTCCATAGTTCATTCGGTCAATAAAATTAACCTTTTTTTTAAATTGGTGATAGTATTATATGGTTTTTAAGATAATTTACACTTTTAATAAAATAGACGCATGGGATTTTTTTTAAATAATATCATTGGGCTTCAGGGAGGCCACAAAATGTTATCAGTTTTCCACTAAACATTTCGTTTACAACTGCTGAAGAGTCGTTGACGGTACGGGATGTCGCGCCATCTTGTTGAAATCGGGTCCTGCTATGATAGGCTTCAAAATTATGCAGTTGTGGAAAGAACAGGTAACGTCGCTTTGCTGTGTATCGACTAGAATTCACTGTTACAGTCTGGCCTCGCTCGTTTTCGAAGAAATACGGTCCGATGACTCCTTCAGCCGACATGGCCGCCCAAACTGTAACGCGGATGCAAAGGTCGTTGGTGTTTTAATTTGGGATTTTTTGCGGCCCAATACCGGTAATTTTGCTTGTTGACAAATCTACTCAAATGAAAATGAGCTTCATCAGAAAAGAGAATACTGTTTAAAGTTGGAAAACGCTCTAACATTGTTTTGGCAAGCGCACGGCGTAGATGGTGGTCCTTTTACCAAAATGAGTCTTACATCCCAACTAACAATTATCACTCCTATTAGAGTTGCAAGAACGATTATACAGTATTCCTTAAACAGCATTGGATACTGTAATAACATTAGCAAAACCCTCTTAGAACAGCTATACAAGCGGAATGGGCACACCTTCACTTCAGTCATTTAAGAGGTTGTATAAGGGCTGCAGGTAACAGTTATAAAACAAAAGTGTAAGCCTCTTGCAGCCGCTATAGGACATTTGCGTCAGTGCAAGATTCAGTTTTTGTCAACTATACAACTATTCTCTTACGTGATTCTACTTTATTGCAACCAAACTATTTCCTATGTATTGTATAGACGAAGTGAAGAATATATAACTAACACATTACAGTCATCTTGTTTACTTACATATCGGCCATTGCGAATTTCATACACAGGTATATGATAAACTTCTACACTTTGATATTGAATTACTTGCGCAGCAAATTTTATTGTGATTATCGTGCAAATTAGTTACCCAATTTCTACGGGCTTCGTATTTGATTCATATTTTGACAATGATCAAAAGTATGTCTAGATTTTTAAGATGGAAAACTGAACTTATCTGCGTTAAATCTTCTACAAATCCTATATTTAGACACAATTGCACTAATGTTTATCACTTTATATCTGTAATTTCGAACTGAAACATAATTATTTAATATTAAATAGAGGAATACATGTTTGCCCAATATGGCGGGTGGTCGTGTACAATCATGGCATCGTCCATGTTGTCTTTAGGTTATTAGAATATTTTGGTGTTGCCTGCAGGTGTTATACAACAATTTGACAAATGTCTGAAATGAAATACCGACAGAGTCAAATGATTTACCCAGAATTTGTACCAGATCTATCTCTTCTGTTTGAACAGTTGATAAAACCTTTTGAACCGATATGCATGCGTTGTTTGTCTTAAAACATTGGTTATGACATTTTAACAAAAATATGACAGCAGAAAGTTAGGTTATGGTGAAGTTGCTTATCAACATATTTAGCATATGTAACAGTTGTATAAGTGCTTCCGTTGGGAGCAATTTGTTGGCTAATGTAGTAAATTGCACAGCAAAGCAACAAGGCTCGGGTTTGTTTTATAAATGTTAGCATGGGTGCCACAACACAACCATTTTCACTAACTTGCAAATATACCGTATAAAATAGTTGTATAAACGTTTATGCAACAGTTAAAAATTTGCCCTGTAAGATGTTGTATAACTATGCTATAAGAATATTTTAAAAACCTCATTTTAGAGCAAATATGTTGCAGAAAGCAAATTTGCATTCCACACAACATTTTGGTGTGCAGGCAACAACAATAGAGAGCTTTTATGGCTGAACGGTTCTTTTACCAAAAGCTTATACCACTACTTTGCTAGTTGGGATATGTTCTTGATATGGCGAGCTCAGCTAATCTCTTTAGGGATGATAAATGTGGATGACGCCCGACGGGCGGCACAACTTCCTTTACAGTTTCCTCTGTTCGTATTGACCTTGGACGCCCCGCACATTTCTGATTCAGTGTCGAACCGGTAGATTCGAAATTTTAGACCCACGACCTGATCACACTTTCACTAGGACATTGATTTAGATCATGTAAATTAAGCACAGAGCGAAACAGAAGCCGCGCAACAGTGCACGAATCTCCAGAACGCACGCTCCATGGCGACTAAATTTCCGAGCACCATCAAGCTACTTATCCCAACTATCCGTGTCAATGCGGTCTTCTGGTCCACCCCGTATAATAAAGCACCTAGCTAATTTAACAGCTGTATATGCTCGAAATTAACGGTTTTATTATATGTGAATTATTTAAGGAATATTAACATTATTTATTAATACACAATCAATATCCTTGAAATTAAATATATCTAAAATTACAATATTTACAAGTAACATTGTAAAACAAATTCATAAAATGAATGTATTTTTTATAGTCGTACAAATTACATTACCAATTTTTTTCACGATTACAATACTTCCTTGCCAGTGGCGTGGAAACTAAAAGTGAAAACACCTCGAAAATAACTTTGAAAGCAAAATAACGATTATGAGTCAGAATAAAGAAAATATAAAATATCTCCCTGACATTGTTAAAAATTTCCAAGATTCCTTTTTTTGCTTTTTATTGCCTATCATCGCCCAAACAAAATATGACAACCCAACCATGACACTACTTAGTACTTACCAATTCCCCGTTTGGGACCAAAACAAACTCGTTCCTGATATTCTCGAAGCAGCGATCATAGAAACTCAACCAAGCCATGATCTGTTTAGGAGCGAACAGATACACCGGACCCCTATCCACATCCAGTCTATCCAAAGCTCTCCGTCTGCCTTGCAAAAAGCCAATCAGGCCAATGTGATGGTCAGCGTGTAAATGCGAGATGTATACAGCGTTGATATTGATTAGGATTTCGTCCACGTTGTCGGGGCCGAAAAATCGGACCAATTGTCCGTAAGTGCCTTCTCCGCAATCTAGGAGCATGTTCTGTGTGTCACTGTGAAAAAACGGAGTCAAGAATATATAGCATGTTACAGAATTCAATAAACAACAACTTGAGAAAAAGGAAAAATGGGCGCCGGCGGAATTTGAACCCGTATCTCCTCCATTCCGTGGAGCCGAGCTAACCAATTATTCTTCAGCACCAGCGGCCAGCCAACTTTCAAGATCAACAAATTCAATCCTAACCATGCCACGCCACTGTTCCTTTGTTATTTTAAGCTGCTTGATGCCCCATCTGGCGGCAATCAAGTGGAACAAACCGGTATTACGTATTACGTATCTTGAAAGGTGACATTATGTGAATTTTTTTGACACTGTATTGTTTTTTGCGACATTATGTAGGTTTTTCTACACGATGTTAACTTGGCACTAGCTGATGGACACTTGTGAACTCGTTTTGTTGTGTTGCCTAAGGCCCGTATCGTCATACTCCTTTCTCTCCTTCAAAAATTTCTAGATTACACTTGTCCCGTGTCAGCGTCAGCGCTCTCCTATTGTGAAGATATGTTTTCTTTTTAAATTGTAGGAAATTTCAGGCTGATAAAACATGATATAACTCAGAAGCAAGCACAAATTGATGCAAATAGATGTTTGTGACATAACCTCAAAATAGAGCGCTGACATGGAGAAGTAGAAAACTATGACAATCAAGGAGGCCATAAAGGCGCCCTACAATTGTAGGGACGACTGACGATACGGGCCTAAATGTCATGATGCTTTAGTTATCAATGTTTGGCTCTGATGTGATGTAAAATCTGCTTCAGAGATGGCATTACTAGAGGTAACGGCAATGCATACGCGCATAGTGATGATTTGTGTGCTAATAATACGTGTTGATGATAGCTCCATTGGTTTCTTGTCTCAAATACACCTTCTTCAGATTCAAAGCTAGATATTACTTGCGCATCCACTTTTTCTTATTCATTCTGGAAATTTCATATGCAAATTTGCTGAATTTCAAAAATGAAAGAGATAAGAAAAGAAAATCCCTGGTTGGTGAAGGTACAGGTGAGAAAATTTGCTACAGGCAGAAATATTCATGTAAAGTGAAAAGATTATTACATTATTTTTTATTTCCAGTCATTTAAATTTTATAGACATTTATTTTGCGATATCAATAGAAAATACAAATCAGCGCCTAGATGTGAGGCATTGCGAAAATGTTTGGTGTGCGATGCGTCATTACTAATTTTTCTGTGATGTGGCTTAATTGCGCACAACGCGAGCGCGGTGTCGATTTCTTGTAGTGCTCCTCAAAGTTTTTGAAAACACTAAAAAACGGGAAAAATCGTAATTTATAACTTTGAACATAACCTGTCTTCAGAAAGGACAACATATAAATCACCCGTCGGGCACAGCTAATAGATATACTTCATTGGCAGCATATTCAGTAATAATTTTCTCACATATGAGTTTATACACAGGCAGACCAATACACATAATCATCCAGATGCGATCTTGCTATTCAACCAACTTTTTTGTTTCACATCTCAGAGTTGAGAACTACAGACTACTCAGCTTCACAAAACATATGCAACTAACAATGCGTGTAGTTGAGTCATTCCTCCACAGATGGACGCTCACAGCGGTGATATCGAGCAAACGTGGAATGAACTATTTGCACCCTAAAAACTACCTAGTCTGCAAGATTACATTTTATTGTTTTTTTTTTACGTTTTACAGGTTTTGTACATAATAGTCGTGCGGATTTAAATATATTTCGCCGCGAACTTAAAAACTTCCTTAGTTGTAGACAATGTTATACCATGTGTCAGTTCTACAATTTATTTACTTGAGATCCACAAATTTAATTTTATTTTAAGTTTCAAGTTAGCTTTTTCATTAAGAATGATTGTATTCTTCATATAATAAAGCAAATTTATTTAACTATCTGTCTAAACAACAACTTGTAGTCTAATCATATTTGACGAAAATACCCCTGGTTTGTGAAATAATTGTAAAGTCTGATTTTATTGCTGCAAGTTGTTCAAGGGGGTATTCAAAACATGGACGCATAAAATGGGTACACCAATTTTTGTGGCAAAACTTTTTATTCAACAACAAAGAATGATCAAACGTGTTTTTTCGGATTCAATCGAAAGTGTTGGCAGGAACAAAAAACTGTTCATATAAGATTTTTAGGTGTTTATGAGACATCCAAAATGAGACCACACGTAAAAAGATCCGACTAATAGCAAAAAAGTTATGGCCGAAAACCGAGGCAAACTGCAGGTTTTGGCACTTGGTAATGCGACAATGGTATCTCGCAGATATTTGAAATTCTTCAAATTCGTAGGGTTCGTACTTCTAAATAACCACAACAGGATTGGAGTAGATTGGTCAAGTATTTTTGAGAATTTCTAATTGTTTATCCGGCCATCACTACTAGTTTATTGAGCAATATACAGGGTTAGTTCAAAGGGCGTTTTATAGCAAAATACACTAGTTTACCTTGCCGATATGAATCGCAAACCATTCCGGAAGATAAATGTTATTTTTATGTAAAAAAAGATGGGTTACGTTCTTTCTTCTAAACAAATTGAAACATTTCGTATTTGCGAGTAATTCGCAACAAAACACATCCGCTTTGTTCTAAAATGTGTATAGTTACGTATATTTTTCGAATATCGTAGCGCATTTGTTCAGTTACTCACAGATACGAAATGTATGAATTTGTTTCGAACAAAAAAACGTAACTAACAGTTGTTTTTCGCATAAAAATAACATTTATCTTTCGGAATGGTTTGTGATTCATATCGGCAGCATAAACACGTGTATTTTGCTATTATATGCTCTTTGAACGAACCTTGTATATTGCTCAATAAACTAGAAGTGATGACCGGAAAACAGGTGTTTTGGGACAAACAATTAGAAATTCTCAAAAAACTACTTGACCAATATAATCCAATTTTATTGGTGTTATACGGATTTGGAGAATTTCAAGTAGTTGCGTGAAATTACACTGGTCAACAAAATTTTAACTTTGTCGTGCCACACGGACTTTTTTGATATTTTTTACTTTAATTGGTGATTGTAAGAAAAAATAAACAGTTAAAAAAATTTGCTAGACAAGGATTTTATTCTATTGAGTAATTTAAAATATTAAGAAAAAACAGATCTCGTAAATCAAGTTATTTTTTTTTATAAATGACTTAATAATCTAAGATTTTCTTGAATATTTAGCTTCTGGTTGGTTTTTTTTATTTGTCCAGCAGTAATCTGCTAACATATTTGGGCTCCATTTGCCCTGGTACCGCTTTTCCAAATTAGAAATGTCCTGATGGAACCTCTCACCGTGCTCGTCCCTGACAGCCCCTAAATTGTCAGGAAAAAAATCCAGGTGCGAGTCTAAAAAATGGATCTTAAGTGACATGTTGCAACCCAATGCTTGATATGACAATAATAGCTCGCTAACCAACTCTCTGTAGCTGTCACTCTTGTGGTTACCCAAAAAATTTGAAACAACATTTTTAAAAGCCTTCCATGCAGATGTTTCTAAATCGCTTAATTTTTCTTCAAATCCTGAATCTTTTATTAACTCCCTAATTTGAGGGCCAACAAAAATACCCTCTTTTATCTTTGCATCACTTATTTTATGGAATTTTTCTTTTAGATACAAAAATCCACTCCCATTGCGATCCATTGCCTTCACAAAAATTTTTATTAATCCTAATTTGATATGCAATGGTGGTAGAAGCACATTATTTGGCTGTACAAGGGGTAAATACTTTACGTTTTTTTGCCCAGGAACTAACGATGCACGCGTAGGCCATGTTTTTTTTTTATATAGTGATTAGTTCTGTCTCGGCTATCCCATTCACATAAAAAGCAGCAAAACTTTGTATAACCCAGCTGAAGTCCAAGTAATAGTGCAACAACTTTAAGATCACCGCAGATTTTGAAGGAGTATGTACTGTAATTTATTTTTTCAAGTAAAAGATTCATATTTTCATAGGTTTCTTTCATATTTGCAGCATGGGCCAAAGGTACAGACGGAAGCTTATTTCCATTATGAAATAACACTGCTTTTAGACTTGCTTTCGAAGAATCAATGAATAAACGCCACTGAGAGAGATCAAAATCTATGTCCAACATTTTCATAATCTCATTTATGTTATTGCAAAACACCAAATCTCCATCCTGAGGAAAATACGTTCTGAAGTTTCGGTTTCGAAAATAGCTAACTTTTGTATTATGATGTAGCAAATTCCATTCTTTTAGACGTGATCCTAATAGTTCTGACTGCTTTTTTGACAAATTTAAATCCCGAACCAAATCATTTAGGTCTCCTTGAGTTAACAAATGTGGCTCGTTTACAATTCCTTTTAACTCAAAGTCATCGTCCTCGTCAACACATTCACCTGAAGTGGACGGTTGTGAATTGTTCTCAACAGACGTAGTTGCAACTGGTATTAGTTCTGGCAATTTTGTACAATGAGAGACTGGTCTTATAGCCGAAGATAAGTTAGGGTAAATAACTGTGGTTTTTTTCTTGTAATTTATACCTTTTATGTCTGTGAGACAAAAATAGCAATCTGAAACGTGATCTCGCTGTTCAGTCCATATCATGGGTACAGCAAACGGCATAGGTCGTGCACCTTTCTTCCAGTCAGTTAAATTTTTCACACACGTTATGCAACAGACATGAGGGGCCCAGGATTTGTCTTGATGGGCGACAGAAAAACCAAAACATTGATGATAACACTCCAACACAAGATTCGTAAAATTTCGTCGTTGTTTTTTGAATGTTAGTTCTCCGCAGACATAACAAAAAGAGTTAGGATCATTATTACACTTCCTCGACATATTCACAGGGTTAATAAATCACAAAAAAGTGTTCAAATTCAACAACAAATATTTTTATAAGGATTTACTTGTAAGCGTTTCTGTTAATTTACTGCCGTAGTACTAGTTATGAGTATTACCGTATCACAACAAATATGAGCCTAATAGACATATGACAGCTGTCATGTAATAATGAGGGTAGACTGATAAAACAAGATTACCTGTCAAAGTTCGTGTGGCAAAACTAGTGTTGACCAGTGTTATCGTCGCATTACCAACCTGGATTTTGTATCTTTTTACGTGTGGTCTCATTTTGTAGGTCTCATAAATACCTAAAAATCTTCTATGAACAGTTTTTTCGTTCCTGTCAACACTTTCGAATGAATCTCAAAAACCACGTTTTCTCATTCTTTATTGTTATATAAAAAGTTTTCCCACAAAAATTGCTGTACCCATTTTATGCTTCAATGTTTTAAATACCCCCTTGAACAACATGCACCAATAAAACCTGACTTTACAATTACTTCAGGAAAATTTGCTAATATGATTAGACTATTGAGAGAAAGGAAAAATGGGTGAAATGGAGATGCGGGTTCGGATCCTGCCAGCGATTTTTTTTTTAATAGTCGTCTTTTAAAGTTCATACCTTGTAGCTAACAGTATTCCACTAGTATTCCTCGTTTTATTTGGTATACAAGAGCCTGTTCCCAAAAATAAAATTTTTGGATATTCCCTTATATTTAGATTTTTTCTATGCTGATAGAGAGTTTGTTTCAATGTCTGTAACACACTGGAGAAATTTTCAACCTCCATCGTTTCACTGATAAACTCATGAGGATTCAGTTTCAAACTTAATGATCTAAAAGGGCACAAAAAATTAAATGTCAAATCTCACTGTAAAAAAAAACCGTCCCTGCTTACCTATCTACACCTTTGTTCGGCCTAAGATGAATACTACAAAAAGTATTAGGAAATATATATGGTTCACTAGGGCTAGTTGGTCTCGATTGCACTGATAAATTTTCTAAGTCATTTTGCGTATTGTTTATAGCATCTTTATTTTCAATTCCATTTTCGAATTTCTGTTTTTTATTCACATGAAGACCCGGTACCTAAAAAAAAATATTTTTATCCACATAACTCCTATGAGAGTATTCGATATGTCATATAGGTATAAAGATAACCCCCGTCAAAATTGCTTCATTTTTTATACGCCCCTGCTTTCAAGCTAGCAAATATAAATAAGTTATTAATTGCATAGTACCACGTATTTTTAGTCTCAAAATAAGTCGATTCGACATTATTTATCTCTATGCAAAAGTGCTTGGTTTGTCCGTTAGAGAGGGTCAAAGTTTTCTGTTTAAAACACATTTTTACAGATATTTTTGGAAACGATAGTCCGATTTTAAAGAAATTTGGAACCCATGTTCCAGGGGGAAATGTTGCATACACTTTCAAAATTTCACAGCGTATCATTGAATTATCTAAGAAAAAAGTAAACAGTTTAAAATCAAATAACAACTGCGCCGAAATCACTACTAAAAACGTGCTGAAAAACTGTTTCGAAATTTTGGGATATCCTGTATTAAATTGGATCAATTGTTCACTGAGAAAGAGGTCTTTTCCTGAACATTTGAAATGCTCTACAATAACACCAGTTCCCAAAATAAAAAATTTAATGACCAAAAAGTATAACATATGCTACAAATCTGTATTCCATCAAGGGTTGATTGAATATAATAAATTATACTCGGAGATAAAAGACCAGAAAACTTTGACAAAATTTAAAGTAAAATTGAGAAATCACTTGTTAAATCTACAATTATAGGTTGCCCAGCATTTACATCATACACCATATGGCTTGAATTTACTAGTTCTAAGTTGTTTACAATTATTCTGTTTATGTAGCCAAATGTGCTAAATAAATCTTTCTACTGCTATGTGTTATACTATACTATTCATCATTATTCGTCAGAGCGATCCGGTGCACCTTTGCTCTTAGTTAAAAGTCTCGTCAGTCTGTTAGTCTGTCAGGTCCGGCTATTCAGATACCAAACATGTTTAAGGGGAAAACGGAAAGAAGGAAATAAGCGAAGGAAGAAATAGAGCAAAGAAAAGAAGTAAATCTTTTGAAATAGCTTAAGCATTATTGCTTTGACTACACGAATTATTTTGTAACTCCAAAATATAATTTTGATCGGTTTTGTATACTGAAATAATTTTGGCTGGTCTGAATTTACAATTTAATGTTGATCACATAACACATGTGTTTTGATAGACGACCTAACAGCAGTAATTTTTTCGCAACTCTCACAACGACTCTGAATTTTTGTTTATTTAAATTTTAAATGATCCTTTAACTTGCTTCATTTTTTGTTTCTTACAAAAACAGGCCCTCTCGAATAGTTTTCGAGAAAAAAAAAAGGTTTTTGGAGCTAGTTTCTAAAAAATTTTCGTATTACATCAAGTGTTGGAATCTAGTAGCCATCTAGTTGGTGGAAATGTGAATGTGGAATATGATACTTGTTTATTTTCGCTAACTTCAATTAAATAATGAATAAGACCATTGGGAACCCCTCAATTAAACTCATTTTTTTTTCTCAAAAACTATCCGAGATTGCCTGTTTTCATAGGAGACAAAAGTATGTAAATGAAAAGCTCTGCGAATTAAAATAAAAAAAAAAAATTACAGCCGCCGAGAAAGTTGTCAAAAAAATCTTCTGGAATTTATGCATTGATGGGTGTAGTTTTTACCCTTCTCGAACCCTTTAAAGTTTTTCATAAAATTCAAATGTTAGAACGCCTAGCAAAACATATCTGTTTCAAATTTCATTCAAATCGGACTATCGAACGAAGTACGAGTACTTTTGCACAGAGGCAAATGTAAATGCCCAATCGACTTATTTTGAGTCTACAAATACACGGTACTTCTATGTCCACTAAATATTGGGGGTTAGATGGTAGAATAGATATATAATCTAAATCTCGCCTCCTGTAAGAATATTACAAATAAAAGACGTTAATTATTATTATTATAAACTGCACTATACACGGCCAAAACATAAAATGACGTGTGTCTAACGACTCTTGGACCACTATATCGGGCATTTGCAAAAACATAGTATTATAAATACCTCATTAACTGTGGGTGTCCCTCTGTCACCTAGCAAAGGAAACATATCTTCAGAAAGTAAGTTAAGTTTGTATTGTATCCTGTGTACCGCCAAACTGCCCATACATGTATTACTTTCATTCAATACCAGGTGTTGTGTACTTGGCGGAAATTCGTCTACCCATTTCTTGTAGCTAAAATAAAACAAGGTGCTATATACAGGTCTCGTTTTAAAAGTAGCTTACGCGATTCTGCAGCCCATAAGTAATATGAAATAAAAAAAATCGATTTAGTGATAGTACCTGGGATGTTCCATAACTTCTTTAGCTGTAAAATGAACCACTAAACTGGCGACACAATCATCCGACTTTGCAAAACGCTGATGTTGCTTTAAAGACTCGTTGTTCAGAAGTGAGTCGATATAGTCCACAGCTGGACAGTCCACAACTAAAAAAAAATAACTGCTAGAATTGATCAACAAAATTGGCGAAAAACACCAGAAAAAAGTTTCTGTAGTCTTACATTCTTGTCTATGAAAATTATATCACATTTGAGCATTCATAAAGTGATTTTTTAATTTCACCTCAAACACTTTTAAATTTGAGTACTTTAACATTATTATTCAATTTATTAAATTACAAATTTGCTAGTTATGCTACCATTACAATTTTGTAGATTTAAATCTAAACTGCCTCTATTTACGTATTTATAATAATGGCTATTTCATTTTGTGAAGTTTTCTAAATGTGCTGGTAATAAAATATTTTTTATTTTGAATATAAATCTTAATAATTATATAATTATCTATGTTATTATTTTACTTATTATAAAGGGTTGTCCAATAGGGACGCAGGAAAGTAAACGTCAATTTGACATAGACACCATCTGTGTTTTCTGTCACCGACATGTCATTTTGTTAGTTGAATGTTTACCATTGATCGCTATCGAGTCGTATTCGATTGAAGACGCATTAAAGTTATTCAAGAGCACTACAAAAATGGTGCAAAAATAAAAAACACGTTTCGCGCGCTTCGTGAACATTTCGGTCGCAACAACCGCCCAAGCGAAACAACCATCGGTCGTCTGGTGCGTAAATTCGAGGCAACAGGTTCTGTGGCAAATCTGCCAGGCTCTGGCCGGCCAAGGAGCGTTCGCACACCGGAAAATATTGCTGTTGTGAAGGAGAGTGTGAGAGACGATCCGAAACAATCAACAACGCGTCGATCCCAAGAATTGGGCATTTCGAGAACCAGTTTGCTCCGCATTCTCCACAAGGATTTGAATGTACGCGCCTACAAGATCCAATTGACGCAAGAGCTGCGTCGGGCCGACCATTTTTCGCGCCGAACGTTCTCAGATTGGTTCCTTGAACACCGCCAAATTGATGCCAATTTTTCATCAAAAATCATGTACAGCGACTAAGCGCATTTCACTTTGAATGGGACGGTAAACAAGCAAAACTGCCACATCTGGGCGAACGAAAATTCCCGTGAGTATCAAGAGCAGCCGATGCATCCTCAAAAAGTGACTGTGTGGTGTGCATTGTGGTCAAAAGGCATCATCGGACCTTACTTTTTCGAAAATGCGACCGGGGACGCCGTTACCGTCAATTCTGAGCGATATCACGTGATGATAGAGGACTATTTTTTGACGCAACTTGAAGGAATGGATATGGACGATGTTTATTTCCAACAAGACGGTGCAACATGCCACAGAACCAACGTCAATATCCATCGATTGCAGTCCTTCTTCGGTGATCGCGTGATTTCGCGCAGAGGAAATGTGCCATGGCCACCAAGATCGTGCGATTTGACTCACTTGGACTTGGACTTTTTATGGGGATATTTGAAAAGCAAAGTCTACGTCAACAAACCAGCCACCCTCCAAGAACTCAAAAACAACATCATTGCCGAGATAAATGCCATAGAACCGACCATGTTGCAAAATGTCATTGAAAATTTCGACCATCGCGTGGACGTCTGTAAATCCAGTCGTGGTGAACATTTGAGCGATATTATTTTTCATACATAAATGGTATAAATGAACCTTCAAAATAAAGTACCCAACTTGATTTGAATATCAATCTTTCTTGTTTTAATATGCGTTTACTTTCCTGCGTCCGTTTTGGACAACCCCATACATTTATGCTGCATACTTTTTCTATTCTTCTATTTAACTATTTAGACTTTTAAGCAAACAATTTTATTTTAATTAATTTAATCAGGTATATTTTGCGTTTGCTCATATAAATCTGTCCTTTCCTGTTGACGTTTTATATCCGCAAAGCAAGTTGAACAAAAGTTATAAAAAAACTTATAGGTCCTTGTTCAATTCCTCCATAGGCGTTCTCAGAGAGTAGATAATACGGGTGAGGTTCTGGAACACTCCCCTGTAGAACCTAAATAAAACTAACACTTCCTTAATCAATGCAAGGAAATGTATGTAACATACCGATGAATATGGGTCCGGGATCATCAGGCTCACAGACATCCTTGGAACAAACAACTGTCCCATCTTTGAGAGTGACATCTTCCCCAGATTTGAGCTTCCCCAGTAACGGCCCTGGGGGTACGCCCATCTTCACGCATCTATCAAGGTTCAAAGCACCTGGTCTTGGTTGCAGCCTGCAGATGTAACACATGGAAACGCCTTTTTCTTTCGTTTCTTGCAGAATTTGTTGGGAATCTGATGATATCACGCCTGATGACTGTGTACTGCCACTGTCTGTTGTAAAAATATGATTTTAGGCACACAAAAATTCTATGGATCTCAAAAACATCGAAAACGAAAGAGTGGCCCCCTAAATTCGCCCTTATTTGCACAATTTGTAATTGTGAATAAATTATCATCATTATTATTGAATTCCGACCTTCAGAATAAATTTAAAGGTTTCCCAGACCTCAAATTAATCATTATGAGAAATCAAAAGGATTACTTTTTGTATTTTTGAAAATATTCATAAATTACCCCATTTAGGGGTTGCAATAACCCCAAAAATTTTCAGAACTATATTACTTTTACAAATTTGTGTTAGAAGTAAACGCTCACCAAGTTTAGTCTTCCTGAACCACACTTAAATGCGTCTTCGGGGATGAAAGGTGTTAAAATATAGATAAAAATAGCTATAAAAGCTGCAACATTTGAGTTTCCTCAGACTTGCTGTTTTCGTTTCGGATGATGACTAATTTGAGACATATTAAACCTCTTCGCGTTTGTTCCCAAAGTTGCAATCCAATGTGCAAAACTTCTTAGGGGTAGTTCAGGAAATAGGACTTGGTGAGTGTTATCTTTCGATGATCATAAAAGTAATCCTCAAAAATTATCTCAGCACCTAAGAATACCCTAAAGTTACAGCTTTTCTGGCTGTTCTTACCTGTATTTTCACCGCTTCCATCCTTTTTGTGAAACTTACGAGGAGTCTTGGATCGCTAAACTTGGTAAGCGTTAATCTCTATCAATTATACAAGCAATCTGGTTTGCTGGTTTTAGTTGTTTTTTCACCCCTTTTGAGACACTTACGTGTGGTTCCAAACTATATGAGTATTAGTTTTTCATCCAAGACAATTTTAATGTGAAATAATCCCCGAAATTAGGGGAACCGTAAAATTCGGAAAAAGTGTCGACCTTCAGAGACATCACATTTTGGGGTCATTTCAACCTATAATTTTTAATTATCTTCAAAAAACAAAACTAATGTCATTCTGATTTTTCATAACGATTATTTTGAGGTCTAAGAAATCTTTTAGGTTCATTTTCAGGTTCGGAATCGAATAAAAAAACAGGTGCATGGTTAGAGGAACTAAATCAAGTTTTACACGAACAGTATTATAACATTGTTGAACATTCTCAAGTTATGGATTAGGTTTGAATACGGTTCATATTATGTTAGAAAAAGGAGAAAGGAATGGAGAAAAGGATATAATACAAAGATATGAGGATACCAAGGCTGTGGGATCTGGAACGATCTGGAGTTCTGGATCGAGTTCTATGTCTACGTTTTCTCTTACGTTCGTGCGCATAGTAGTCCGTATCATCTTGTACAATATCTTCACTCTGTAAAGCATTCCTAGAACTTGATCTACTTCTTCCCTTCCGACTTCTACATCTCCTAGTTGATGTAGTGGCATCCAACTACAAAAGAATGATGTCAAGTAAATTGATTTATATACCTCCCATGCCATTCCAATTTCAAAAAAAGAATGATTATCCCCTCCCCACCATATGGTCATTTACAATTTCATGTATTCTAGATCATTCATACAGATCCAATGTCACTTTAACGTCATGCATGATCCGCACGGGTATTATGTATCTTGAAAAGTGACGTTATATCGATTTTTTGACATTATACTGTTTTTTTTTGACATTATGAAGGTTTTTCGACAATATGCTAACTTAGCACAAGCTGATGGACACTTTTGTAAACTCGTTTTACGTGTTGCCTAAACGTCATGACGGTTCAGTTATTCATGTTTCCTATGACGTGATGTAAAATCTGCTACAGAGATGGCATTACTGGAGGTAACATCATAGTGAGGATTTGTGTGCTAATAATATGTGTTGATGATTATTCCATTGGATTCTTGTCTCAAATACACTTACTTGAGATTCAAAGCTAGAAATTAGTTGTGCATCCACTTTTTCTTATTCCATTCTGGAAATTATACATGCAAAAATTTGCTGAATTTCAAAAATGAGAGATAAGAAATAATAAAATTATATTCAATGGGCGCGGTGGTGATTTCCCGTAATTCTCAAAACACACAAAAAAACGTAAAAAATCGCAATTGATAACTTGGAATATAAGCTGTCTTCTGAAAGGACAACATATAAATAACCAGTTGGCCACAGGTAATAGATATACATACTTCATTGGCAGCATATCTAGTCTAGTAATGATTTTCTCAAACAGCAAATATCACTGATTTTATACACATGCAGACCAATACAAATGCAATCTTGGTATTCAACCAAATAAACAACTTTCTTCTCAGAGACTCAGAGATTAAAACTATAGACAACTCGGCTTCACAAAACATAGGCAACCAACAATGCGTGTACGTGTAGTTGAGCCATTCCTCCATAGACGGACGCTCACAATGATCCTAGTGAGCAAACGTGGAATGACTGATTGCATGCTAAAAACTACCTAGCCTGCAAGATGACATCTTATAGGTTTTTTTTGACGTTTTATAGTTTTTTTACATAATACCCGTGCGGGTGCCAAGCTCAAATAAGGTCAAGGTCATTAAACTTTTCAAGAATATATAATACATTAAATGTCTAGGTTGCATGCATCATGCTTATCTACTTGGTCAGTGTTACTGTAGCTAATAATCTGTGGTCAGTGTCAAGTGCAGTCATGTCACTAACATGTCATGTTTACATACTTCCAAGGACATAATAGTATTAAAGGTCGGCAGTCAATGTCCGCTCCCAAGGTCATACCCAGACCTAAGTCCTTGAAAAGTGTACCTGATCAGCAATTGCATTTACTTCTGAATCCTTCGATTTTTCACCATCTTCTGGTATTGTATCATCTACATTGTAGATGTCCTCTGCACTCATTGTTAGTGGTACATATTTTACAGACATCACATTATCACTAAATTCGTCTGATTCCTTACATTGTGCCATGTGAATCTTCAAGTCTCTTATGACTACAAATCTCTTTGTAGCACCAAATATTTCATCCTAGGTTAAAAAAAAGATTGTCAGTGAAATATCATGAAATTAGAAAGATTTTTTTTCGCTAATTCTCATCATGACTTGAGAAAAATGTACATATTACCCAGCAAAGTTGGACAGTGACTCCACTGCATTATGAAATTGGAAGGTATTAAGCATTTTTTGAATGTCATCCACCAATATTTAAAAAATATGTCAACATCCATTATCAAAAAAATCGGGTCGCAATGACCATTTTTTTTTTAAATTGGATTGCATCAACTTTAAAAATGAAAGTAGAATCCACCATTATGAAAAACTAATTCGCATTCACCATTTTTTAAATATTGATCAGATATCCACCATTTCTTAAAAATTGAGTTTCATCTAATATTTGCTTAATTTCCACTGTTCTTCAAAAATCAAAGTGTATCCACCATTTATTGGAAACTGAATCGCATCTGTCAAGAAGGGTCACAAGCACCAATTTTCAAAAATGTATTCATATCCATCATTTATTAAAGATGGGATAGCATCCACCAATTCTGAAAATTGGAATTGCACCCCTATTTTTATAAAAATAGAATCTCATCCCCCATCTTTTGAAAATAGATTTGCATCTTCTGTTCTATTCTCTTCTTAAAATGAAACTGGATCAACCATTTTTCAAAACAAAATTTCATCAAGCATTTTTTAAACATAGTTTCACATACACCATTTTTTATTTGTGTTTGTCTATTAGAAACTTTAAAATATTTATAAATGCTTACCAGCCCAGGTGGTCCATGCAGTGTAATCTCAGGAACTCCAACATCTTGTATTGTCAACGCTGTACCTGGTAAGCCCCCAATATTTTTCCACACTGGTTGAGTGATAAAAATATGCTCAAGTCGAGCTAATTTCATTTTATGTTCATGGGCCAGTCTTTGAGTTCCCTCTCCACAATTAAACAAGTACCTTTAAGAAGCTTTATTAAGCACTAGGTATCTCTTTAAATCCATACTTAAGACAAATTCACATAACTCAAGCCGAAAACAATGCTCAACATTGTCCTTTATCAAAATACATATTTTAGCAGTCATTACAACATTCTTTATACATCATTAGAAATTCAAATAATTCATATTACCTACCTCGACTGGTCTGAAAACATATACAATGCTCTAGGTGCACCTCTAGCGCCACTCCCAAGCACTTGAAGTGTGACTTTTCCAGGCACATATTTAGATATCCTCTCTTTAATCTTCTTTCGTTGCTGCTGAGCTTCAGCGATGTGTTTTGGCTCTTTGGGCATGCTTTTTAGTAAATCCAGAATGTGGTGTTTTGATGATTTTGAATAGAATCTAAAGTGTATGTGTGGATGGTATCTGAAAAGGGGCAATAAAAGGATAACGGGCATCAGGTATGTATTTGGTTGGTATACTTAAAGGGTCTCGATGAATGATGAAACTTGAGATTTTGTTGATGATATCACAGCCGACGTCAACTACGAGCCGTGAACAAAGAAATCTGGCAACGTAGGTGGTAGTGTTACTCCCGCTGAGAAAACATAACCTTTTAATTTGTGATTTTGGAATCGCAGAGGCTGTAATTAAGAGATAAGCTTGTTTTCTAAGCTTCAAAGTGTGTGTATGTGTTCAAAGTGATCGGTGACTATAATATATGAGAAATAGACTCCAGTTGTAGTGCTTCTGTGCTTTAAAAATAAACTAAGAAGTGTGACTGTGGCTGTTCGCGCCTCAGGACGCTAAGGATTTCAACTATTGAAAACGTGCAAATTCTGATTATATATATATAATACAAGTGTAATAAAAGGAGAATTGAAGCGAAACGAATTTTGTAAGCCTATTACCAATAAATATGATTATAGAGTACAATTTTTAAAAAAATTCCTGATATGGTTAGAAAAATGGCATAATCTAGAGAATAATAATGGACACCTGACACCAGAAACGTATACAGCTCTATATCAAAGCACGCTGACTCTACTTAATATAATTGAATATTCATTTAATCAATTTGACATTGAGTATGTATTGCCTGGAAAATTCACCACTGATAATTTAGAAAAACGATTTGGCAATTATAGACTTTTATGTGGCTGCAATTACAATGTGTCATATGATGAAATTTTAAATGCTGAAAAGAAAATACGGCTGAAGCATATTTTCAATAAAAAGAAATCGTCATTTTCTTTAGCAAAAATTAAAACAAGGTTCCAAAACTGCTTAGAAACTCAAGAAAATTTTGATTTCTTGGATACCAAACAAAATCCTGAAGTTTTGGATATATATATTCAACGAAGTATTTGAGACAAATTACTTAGCCAGTTGTGACATAGAGGATAGTACTAAGACTGATATATCTGGATATGCTTCACACGCTATCTCTAAAAACCTAAACTGCGAGATATGCAAATCGCTAATAGTTAAAGAAAAAGGTTCATTAACAACAAATGTTTATTTTGATCATTTGCAAAGAGGAGGACTGTCAATTCCAACCAGTTATGTACCAATCATATTCTACCATATGTATGCCATTTTTGAATCTATTATTAATGTAGATAGATTGGAAATTTTCTTCTTGAAAAGCAATAGTCAAAAATTTATTTTGTGTCAGTTAACCTTGCTCAGCATTCAGTCTGACTTTATATACAGTGAATTTTCTTTAACTTGCATCTGTGGCCGCAATTATGCAGATGTTTAGCTAAGCTTTTGTCTATTATGTAAAATTGAAAAATAACAGTAAAACTGAAAGTAAATGTATTAAAAACAAACAGGTAACTCCACATTTCCAAGCTGGGCCTGTTGGAACACAGTGTGCTGACACCAAAAAACGTAAACTAAATACTTTTAATTAGGTTAACTGCATTAGCGACTCATATATATCACGATTATTTCGTATTTTTAAATTTTTTAGAGCTATTTCATATTCAGATGATTTGTATCGAATCGAACTGTCCTCTTTTCCAAAATTAAATTTAGTTCTTGAACGTTACACCGAGACGGAGCACACCGCCGCTCGCGGCCGACGTTTACAGGTAGCACTACCATGCCGTCCGAGCGCGGTGTTGCCTTTCTTTCATCACGGCTCGTAGTTGACGTCGGCTGTGATGATATCATGGGAAGTGTTTTGGAAAATGTTAAAGGTTAGGTTATGATTCGAAGAGAGTTATGAAATAGGGATGGGCAAAAATAACCGGTTAATTGAATAACCAGTTTTTATACAATACATAACCAGTCTTAACAGGTTATTTCATAATACACGGTTAACGGGTTAAAAAAATGCAAAACACTTTTTCTTTTTCTATCTACACATATCTCAGTAAATATTGGCGCAGTGACTATTACGGCTGTGTTGTTTTTATTAATCTTGACCACTTCTCCAACGGCCCGCCCCAGTTCCTAGTTCCTAATAAATGTTCTGTGGTCATAAAACGCCTTTTTTATGCCACGTTTATGACAAAATTTGCCAACTTCACGATTCCCGCATTTCCATCTATTATTCTATACGTTAGATTGATTGTTGCCACTGAATAAAATGGAATTAAACCTTCTTCAGTGTATAATCAAATTCAAGCGAATAACCAAATGAAAATGGTATTTACCATTTTGGATTTGTATTTACCGACTCGTTCAAGCGAGTGTGGTTATTAGTTTGGTTATAAGTCCGTGACGTCATGAATCAGCTGTTATATGTCATAGTTATCACCGCAAAATTGTGGTATTTACCCAACTCAGTAGTAGTTTTATATTTCTGGTTATTATTTGAAATGTGACAAGTTAGAATTTTGTCGGGTATAGCAAGCAAATCTCATAAATGTATATTTTCAATGTAGGCGTTCATCTAACATATATGGTTCAAGATGACACACGGGTTGATGACGTCAATTACACGAATCGCTTGAACACGTTGGTTTTAACCGCGGTTTTGTTGCAAGTTGTTTTTTTGAGAAAAGCGCGTATATAATCTCTGATTATTTTTATTATCACTTAATAATCGGTGCTTTTTCGTCTACAACTGTGTATGGAAAGTTTAAATAAGAAACCTTTCATAATATTCATGGGAGAAATGCTTTTTCAGATTTTTTTTTTAATGATGGAACCATGGCTTTGTAGCTATGATAACTTTCAATTCTCTAAATTTTTCCGCATGTCAAAGAAAACATTTATTGATTCAGCAGAAATGATGAAAAAAGAAATCAGCAAGACCGTATACAGGTGGATATCATCTAGTGAGTTTATATGGCCATATTTTAATATTCTTGTGGTATATGGCTACACAGGATACTTTGTTAAGCTTAGGAACTACATTTAAAGTGTCCCCAACAACCGTAATGAGTATAACTAATAAGGTGCTCCACTTTATGGTAAAACTGAAGTCAGCCTGTATCAATTTTCTCAAAAATGAAGCTGAAGTACAATGACAATATCCAATACCCGGTAAAATTCTAACTTGTCACATTTCAAATAATAACCAGAAATATAAAACTACTCTTGGGTTGGGTAAATACTACAATTTTGCGGTGATAACTATGACATATAACAGCTGATTCGTGACGTCACGGATCTTATAACCAAACTGATAACTGCATTCGCTTGAACGGATCGGTAAATACCAATCCAAAATGGTAAATACCATTTCCATTTGGTTATACGCTTGAATTTGATTATAGTCTAATCATATTAGCAAATTTCCCCGAAAGAATTGCAAAGTACGTTTTTATTGGTGCAAGTTGTTCAAGGGCGCATTTTAAACATCGACGCATAAAATGGTTACACCAGTTTTTACTTTTTAATTTGACAACAAAGAATGAAAAAAGGTGTTTTTTGGGATTCCATCGAAAGTGTTGACAGGAACGAAAAAACTTTTTATATAAGATTTTTATGTATTTATGAGGCCTGCAGAATGAGATCACACGTGAAAAGATCCGACTAATAGCAAAAATGTTATGGCCGAAAAACCAGGCAAAATGCAGGTTTTGGCACTTGTTGGTAATGCGACGATAATTTTACGCAACTACTTGAAATTCTTCAAATCCGCAGGAATCATACTTCTGAATAACAACAGCAAAATTGGAGTATAATGGTCAAGTAGTTTTTGAGAATTTCTAATTGCTTATCCCAAAACACCTGTTTTCCGGACATCACTACTAGTTTATTGAGATTTATACAGGATTAGTTCAAAGTGCATTTTACAGCAAAATACACCAATTTACCTTGCCGATATGAATTACAAACCATTCCGAAAGATAAATGTTATTTTTATGCGAAAAACAAAGGTTACGTTTTTCCTTCAAAGCAAATTCAAAGATAACATATTTGTGAGTAATTGAGCAATTGCGCTACGATATTCCAAATACATACGTTACTATACACATTTTAAAACAAAGCGGATGTGTCTATCATCTTTTGTTGCTGGTTACTCACAAATACGAAATGTTTGAATTTGTTTAAAAGGAAAACGTAACCCATCCTTTTTTTGCATAAAAATAACATTTATCTTTCGGAATAGTTTTCGATTCATATCGGCAAGGTAAACTAGTGTATTTTGCTATAAAATGCCTTTTGAACTAACCCATGTATATTGCTCAAAAAAACTAGTAGTGATGGCCGGAAAAGAGATGTCTTGGGATAAACAATAGAAATTATCACCAACTACTTGACCAATCTGCTCCAATTTTGTTGTGGTTATTTAGAAGTACCAATCCTACGAATTTGAAGAATTTTAAATACCTGCGAGAAACCGTCGTCGCATTACCAACACGTGCCAAGACCTGCAGTTTGCCTCGGTTTTCGGCGATAACTTTTTTGCTATTAGTCGGATCTTTTTATGTGTGATCTCATTTTGTAGGTCTCATAAATACTTAAAAATCTTATAAGGAGAGTCTTTTCGTCCCTACCAATTATTTAGATTGAATCCCAAAAAACACGTTTTCTTATTCTTTGTTGTCGAATAAAAAAGTATTCCCACAAAAATTGGTGTACCCATTTTATGCGTCCATGTTTTGAATTACCCCTTGAGCAACTTGCATCAATAAAACCAGCTTTTAGAATTATTTCGCAAACCAGGGGTATCTTCATCTAATAGTGCTTCGCTGCAACACCAACCCCGAACAAAATCAGTCAAACTTTAAACACTTTTCAAATTACTTGAGCAACAAACATAACATAAATCACATTTTAAGTACAATCTGTATAGATAATATATTGATTAGACTTAGATTTGTCACAAGTCACAATACTCGTATATACGTATAAATCGTAAGAATTGTGCTGTAAACGTAAGTGATGTCGAAGAGGGACAGCGTTTGGAATAACAAAGGATACCAAAAATCGCAATGCTCAGTTCCTATAGCTATAACTTATAGTTAGTATACCTCTGTCAACATGATGTCAGAAAGCATCACAATGGTGTTAGATTACAAAAGCAAGTGTCAGACGTCTAAATCCGCCACTATATAAGATCTCCCATATCCCACCAAATTTCTATATATAAATGTATAGCAATCTCAGATTTATATGTAGAGCTGACAACGTTGCGGGTATCAATGCACAATCTGGCAATCCTGTTGCACCCTCAAAAAATGTCTGCTGACCATTGACGTCTTACCCTCTTACCCATGGATAGGACGGCAATGCTGCTGACAATCCCAAAAGTCACCGTGTTGCCACTGAATAGCATGGAATTAAACCTTCTTCAGTGTTTATCTTTTGTGGTTCTAACCTCCCATATTTGTGATGTTTAATAACGTTGAAATCTAGAAAACATTCCTAGCTACAAAATGAATATCAAGACGCAGCAACAAGTGTTGTTCAATGAACTCTGTAGAGCATGTTTGCGTAAAAGTAATAATATGAGATATATGATGGACACAACTGATGAGACAACGAAAACACTTTTGACGACTTTCTCATGTTTCCTGGACAAGGAGGTATACCCACCAAATCAACCTCTTTTAGCTTTTTCGAAACAGATCTAGCTGTCATTGTTTTTGTAGTATTGTAATGTGTCTAACATATTGATTTATAGAAATACAATTCAACAAAAAATAAGCTCCTGAGCCCAAAAATCTCCCATTATTAAAAGATTCAGTGTTGTAATTTTCTATGCTACTGATGAGACTTATAAGTGAGATAGGATTACTCTCATAATACACTATATAAAAATTTTCAATGTCAAATCTTACTAACATCTATCTACTCTATTCCCTAGAAATATCTCAACCACCCTATTAATAGGTAATATTTTTACTCTGGTTAATTGTTTTTAGCTGAAATTCAATAAACTGTATCCATGCTATCTATGCCCTACATGTGAGTGGAAGCTAAGATCATCTTTTGAATTCAGGACATTGTGTTTGAAATCAGATCAATGTATCACAACTATTCTTTCACAGACAAATCTGATACAGAGTAACTTGGTGATTGATGTTAATGCTGCACCATTACCACAGAGCAATAAAAAATCAGCTGCAGGCCACAGTCAAGAAAATCAGGTGATTGTTTTTATCTAAAAAAGGTGTCATTTGATGAACCCTTTTGAAAGACATATACAAGCAACTTCCCAATTCAGTCGGCCCACTTCAAGATTTGTACCAAAATATGCCTTTATAAACTAAATATGACGAAACTATTTACTTCTAAAACAATTTATTTTCTCAAAAACATTTTAGATACACTCTAGTCATAAAAAATACATATTTGAAATCACTTAGACTTATAACTAATAGAACAAATGAACAATGTGCAAATACATACACGAAGTTAACAAAGTAACAATTGAAAGATTACCATTGGGTAACATCACCTCTATTTTTTATTACGGCTGAAATTCTTTGGGACATTGTGTTAACCAAGTTTTGGCAAAAATTTGGTGTAAAACAATCCCATATTTCTTGAAGCTTTTGTCTCAGTTCGGTGATTGTACGAGCAGGATGTTGTCGTAGAACCTTTTTTATCTCGTGCCACAAAGTTTCAATAGGTGACAGATATGGACTGCTAGAAACCAATTTCAAAAGAGGTACATTATTTTCTTCCAACCATTTTATAGCCTTTTTTGAGATATGGCACGCTGCACCATCTTGCTGAAACACCAAATCTTGGCCGGATGTCAAACATTCTTCCATCACTGGTAAAAGTGATTCTTCTAAAATTGCCAAATATTTGTATTCACATTTCCATCAATAAAATGAAGTTTTCCTAGTCCTTTTGATGATATACTGCCCCAGACCATAATGGATGCTGAAAATTTCACTTTTCTCTTCAGACAGTCAACATTAAATGCTTCATTTTTTTTGCGAATAACTCTACTGTGACTGTCACCAACACAAACTTCGAATCGGGCCTCATCACTCCATTGTATTGCACACCATTGTTGAGGTGTCCATTGTCTATGTACTTTAGCCCATCTAAGCCAATTTTTCTTTTGCAGTGGAGTTAATAGTGGCTTTTCTTTGGCCTATAAACAAGTTGTGCAACTTTAGGGTTTTTACTTCACTTTTTTTATAAGAAAACTTACCTTGCAAGTGCTAAATCCCAGTTTGTGGGTCTCTCTATGAGTTGTGGACCTCGAAATTCTCCTTCCAACAGGGTCACTCCACAGAGCACTTAATTGTAAATAATTGGCACGCCTGTTTTTCACGATTATTCTTCTTAATGCTCTTCGGTCGGCATTTGTGAAATTACTTTTTTTTCACATATTGTGGCTTAATATTAACTGAACCAGTTATGTTATATCTTCTAACAATATTTCTCACACTGTACCGCGATAAGTCTAACAAAGTTGCAATTTCTGCGTTTGATTTTCCAGAATTAAAAAATTTAATTATCAGTAACCAAATTTTCTCACTAATAACCTTTCCTCTACCCATTTTGAAAACCTTAACTACCCAAAACTATTTTAAACGTATTCTGACAGCTGTGATTAATAAAAACAATTGTCATGGCTTTTATTTTTCACAGCCACCTACCTATGCGTTATAGAGTTATTTTGCATTGAAATGAAAATAATAATAATAATTGCAACATGTGTTACTTTTATGCTGCAAATTTGATTAGGGAGTGATAAAGTTGGTGTTTTCTACTATATATTATCAAAATTCATTGTTAATATTTTAAACCTATAACATCCTGCTACATTTTTATTATTTGTGTTTGATAAGAAAAAAACTAAGATTTCAATAGTTGGGCCAACTGAAGTAGGAAGGGGCTCTTAAGTATATTATAATTTTTATTACAGTTGGATAAGGGAAGTTATGTACCTCAAACAGCAATTTTTAAGCCTACAGATCAACAATTGAATAATATAGAGCCTCCTATTAAAATCAAAGATGAAGATACTGATGATGATCTATATTATAATGCTGGTGCCTATGATGCTATTGACAAAGTAGAAGTGGTAATTTGATTTGAGATACTTATTTTATGATAAACAATAGCTAATAAGAGATTGATAGAATAGGTTTCTAACAAGTTCTTCTCAATACAAGAATTTTCTGTTCTGGGAGCCATAACCCCTCCTTTTGGTTCATTTTTTTATATTTTCTTGTTGCATGCAAATTAAATTTAGTATGCTCGGATAATTTGCAGTTCTGAATACAGGTACGATAAAAAAATCATGGAACAGTCTGAGTTGTACTTGATATGAGAAGGCTCCACAGCATTTGTGATTAAAATCTGATTTAAACTAATGAAATTTACCTAAATTTATTTCATTCAGATAGAAGTGCATGATGAAGAACTTCACTATACAGATGATAAGACAGCAACTATCCCATCCATTTCCAACCAATTGACATCAATGAATCAGAAAAAATTATGCACTGCCATCAAGTTTGAATGTCAGCTTCCATGGAATGCCAAGAGGAAAACGAAAAAAATAAGACAAAGAGCAGACGAAAACCCAAAGTTGAAACTAAGTAGATATCCAAGGGAAGAAGTACAGGTGCACATAGATGCAATTGAGTATAAAAGCAACCAGGAACTTGAGTGTTTATTCTGTAAGACTATGTGTCAAGGACAGAGAGCACTATGTCGACATGTGACTGCAGCTCATATGTAGGATTTCTTTTTTTGTTACCCTAGTAGCATAGATCTCATCATTTAATAATATATTCTCCAAGAAGATACCCAATCCTATGCTGTATTTTTTCCATTGTTATTGTCATGTAGAATCACATTCTTTTTAAGCCTATATGTCACGATCAAATTTTTCATATTTATTGTAAAAGAAAGTAGATGAATGTGCAATATGATTACTGCGCACTTTCACATCCAATTTTTCTCAGCATTTAAGATGTGCTCTAAGTTTTGCAAGAAATTGGATGTAAATGTGGGTAAAGAGTAGTTATCCTTCCGCAATTGCGCATCCGGAGTTTTTTTTGCAACCTTCCAAGGGAAGATAATTACCCCTCATACTTTCTCGTAGTTATCTCTAATTTTTTTTATGAGTATTCATCACAGTAAAATAACAGCTGATTATCTAGTAATATGTATTTCGAAATTCCCCATATCGACAAATGACACATGATTCTGACGATTCCGTCAACGCCAGGTAGTGGTAGACAGACATATTTTGTTTTATTTTTTGCATGCTATAGCTTCATTTAGTACTTGCTAAGAACGCTTTTATTTAGAAGATATCATTTGCATACAAAAAAAACTCTACAAGCAGGTTTTACTAGATTTACAGCCGATTCATTCTGACCAGCGTTACAGACTATACTACAACTATTTAAAACTGTAATGACTCATACGCGTGATCAACACGTGATCAGAGCTCGATCCCGGCTTCCTTCCAGTACAGCCGTATAACGTACGACATATGTCGTTTCTGTGGCTTTGCGGTGGTGAACAGCACAGACAGAGATGGAAATAATGGCTGATTGTTCTCCGCCGGTAGAACCAATGAAATCAAAGACGCGCCTCGACCGGCAGACTCATAGGCGTCGGCAACGCATTGGAACGTGTTTCGTTGAGCGATCGCATATTGTGTGTTTTTATAAGAATTGTTGTGTGATTGTTATTGTTGTGGTTTCTGTGGTTACTGTTTTGGTTATACTTAACCATGGAGAGTACAAAGGGCACGAGTGGAAGTACTGAAAGCCAGGGAACAAGTAGACGGCTTCGTAAAGCACTGAAGAGGGACGCGAAAGAAATCGTGCTCAACGTGTTCAATTATCTGAACAGAACTATGTCGCAGGGAGATGCACTCGCGCGTTGTGAAAGTATGACAGGCGTTCCAGAGTGGACCATTCGCAGGGTGGTGCATGAAAAGAAGAAAACTGGAGCTACTACTGATCCAAAGTTTAATTTGAAGGGACGAAAGGCCGTTAAATTGGATGACGATAGCAAAATGGGGTTAAGGCGAACCGTACATTCATTCTTCTTTAGGAATGAGATACCAACCCTCAAGGCTGTACATGCAGCGATCAAGGAAAATGAAATTATACCCCAAATGAGCGTCGAGGTAATGAGGAAATCCCTGCACGAAATTAATTTTCGTTACGGAACGCGTAATCGGAAGTCAGTATTGATAGAGAGACCTAAAATAGTCGCCTGGCGTCGAAAATACCTACGCGAAATGATTGAATATACGCGACAAAGCAGAAAAATCTATTATTTGGACGAGAGATGGGTAAATGCAAGTCACACAGTTAAAAAAACCTGGGTAGACAAAAACGTAGTGAGTAACCGACAAGCAAGCATTGAAGGTTTGTCAACAGGTCTTCGTGGACCGTCAGGGAAAGGTCAAAGATTGATCGTAACTCATATTGGTAGCGATAGTGGCTTTTTAAAAGAGTGTGACTTGATTTTCGTCTCTAAGAAAGCAGGTGATTACCATGACGAAATGAATGCCAGCTGCTTCGAGAGCTGGTTTCAAGGGGTGCTTCAGCGAGTTGAGCCCAACTCTGTGATCGTCATGGATAATGCTTTCTACCATAGTCGTCGAGCCGAACGTGTACCGACTATGGGATCTCGAAAAACTGACATGCAGCAATGGTTGCGCGAAAAAGGAATCCCGTTTGACGATTCATGTGTGAAATCGGAATTGTATGAAAAAATTAAACAGCACAAACCGTGAGTTACGTGACTGATGAGATGGCCCGTCAATGTGGTGTCACTGTGCTGCGGTTACCGCCCTACCACTGTGAACTGAACCCAATAGAGCTCATCTGGGCTCAAGTGAAGGGTTATATTGCGCGCCATAACACAACCTTCAAATTACCACACGTTAAGGTTTTACTTGAGACTTCCATACCGCCCGAAGCTTGGCGGAATGCTATCCGTCATGTTGTGAAGGAAGAAACAAAAATGTGGCAGCTTGACCACCACATTGACACCATCATAGAGCCAGTTATAGTCAATTTCAACGAGGAAAGCGATACCGACAGTTTATTACTGTCAGATGTAAGTGGAAGCGACGATGAATAAAGGTAATTCCCAAATTTTTGACTTACAATATGTTTCAAACCACTCTTTATTAAGCATGTGACAAATCTAGTTCACCCATGTTAAACATTCATACCCTGCCTATGAACAGCCGACTACTGGTAGTTAAGTGATGTTCACGTGAACATCGATGAGTCATTATAGTTTTAGATAGTTATAGTATAACACAAATACGTCACTTGCTGATCAGCTGTTCACCTCAGTAGACGCCAAAACGTGATGAATTCTTGTGAAATAGGGTGTAGGTTTAGTTGTAAGTGGTATAGATGGCGGAGTCACTGTACGTATGGTTATTTTCTCGCCTTCTGATTGAAAAATATGTTTTATTGTGTGAAGAATAACATGATTCTTATTAATATTACATTACTATTATTGCAACGAAAACACTGCTCAGAGAATAGGTTACTACTCTTACATTAATTTATAACAACACATACAACAAATTCATGACAAATTTATAACCAGTTCCACTGGACTAAAGCATGTTGACTCTTCCGTCGCTCTCCGTTGACTGTCCCTTTGGTGGCTGCTGGAGACTCCCGGATATTTTGAAATTGGCGCATTAAAGAGCATTTCCGCGCTTTATCGAAGTTGTAGACGATGTCGATCGATCTTCTCGAATGCTCCCGGAGTTGGCCGATCCCCATCAAGAGCGGTATGCCTCAAGCTATACCGCTTTTGATGCACGGTGCCGTAACTCTAGTTGCCTATGCGTCGATATTGCGAAGGCGCCTCATCATTCCTCAGGGTCCCAGTTACGAGAGTGTTACCACTGTTACATTATAATATGTTACTGCAGACTCAGCACTTGTATTCTATTTATTATCGCGTATGTTTTAGGGATAAAAAAAGCAAGTGGTGTTCTACTTGCAACAAACAAGTAGAAAATTTGCCTGTACACAAAAAAGATAATCACCAGGATCATCTGACGTGCCCATTTTGTGACAAAAAGCTGTCTATTGTTGGGAAGTATAAAGCGCATCTACAAAGACATATCGGTATGTATTATATTATTAAAAAATGGCTAATGTGGGAACAGCTTCACCAAACACTCATTCTTCTCAAAGTAGATTTCTAAATTCATTTTTGTGGTCTGCTACTGTCTCAGAGGTGGCGCTAATATTTACTACTAATACGGTTGGACATCTATAGGTAGAATCAATGGTTCAATACAACTTAAAAGTAGAGTAGCATTAAACACAGATATCCCATACAAGTTAACGTTTGTGTATGGGTTGAAATTTCCGACATATTCATTTTAATTATAATCACTATAATAGTTTAACATCAGATCTTCAAAGAAATGAGGCTACCATGTACGGACGCGCCCATTGTGCAATCTATTGATTTTTTTTATCAAGAATCCCTATTAATGCAATAATATTTCTCATGAAACCGACGCATTTTTGATGCAACTATGAAATTCTACTACATGAAAAATTGTACTAGAAACCATTACAATATCAATGATAATTTTTCAGTGCTTGAAGAAGAATTCAGATGTATAAGATGCAATGTGCTTTTCCAATCAGAAAGAAATCTCATGATACATACAAGGAAGATGCACACTAAAGAGATTTTGTACTCTTGCGATTCCTGTCCTCAAAAGTACAAGTCCGAAGTACAGTTGCATTTACATCACAAAATTCATTACAAACAGATAAACAAGGAATGTCCGGATTGTAAAGCTAAGTTCGATACAAATGATCAGATTGATAGGCATGTGTGTACTCAACAAAACAAAGTGATTTTGGAAAGGTAATTTTGGAAATTTGTCGCATATACTCATACACATGTCTCAAAGGTACGAGGCTTGTTCAATTGAAACCCATCTTGGTCAGGTTAGCCTTGGACACAATTCTAATCACTCAACTGACGTCTTGCAATGTTAGTTGTGTTTGTAAACGTCACGCTGAGCGGTTCCTGTCATCAAGTACCTAAAAAATGGCGTTTGTTGTTAACAATCCGCAAATGTGATCAGCGAATCTGGGACACACTGTATAATCAGCGTGCGGTTATTCAATTTTTGTGTGCTGAAGGTTTGCAACCATTGCAAGCAGTGTATGGAAACGCACGTTTTGCGTATCCAACTGTCAAGGAATGGTGTCGAAAATTTAAGAGTGGAGGAGAGGAGACGAATGCGACCAGGTGCATTGAGTATACTGCATCAACAGACAGGAATGTGGCATGTGTGGAAGGCATGCTTAGAAAAAATCGTCGAATTTCAATAAAAGCTATTTCAGAAAATGTTGAGTATAGGATATGTCCAAAGTATAGTACAAAAACACAAAATACGGCGTTTGTCTTTGAGGTGCCGCGCCGCCGACTGCATTAGCGTATCCGCTGGTTGTTCCACTTCCACATTCATAAGAAAAAATTACATGGATTACTCTTAATGCTTATTGAAACTTAAAATATTTTTTTTTTCTCAAATGTCTGGTAGCATTTTATGACTAAAAACAGGATAGTTTCTTTGATTAATGCATTAATTTGTAAATTGAATCAAGAAGGACTTATTCATTTCTTATTTACTTCGTCGCCGCCGCTGGCTTAGTGCAATCCCAATGTCTAAAGTGGCTGAACCTACCAGTATGTCTACAAAGTAAGAAGCAAGTAGACCAGAATGCAGTTTTGTATAGACACAGAAAGCGGTTAAAATAAATACTGGTGAAATACTTTTCAGAGCTAATGAAATTAGTTGCAAGAAGGATAAATAGCCAGCGCTAATTTCGTAAACTAAACGTTTTTCATATTTATATTTTATACGAGAATGTTCAGTTTCCAAACGTAACTAAGTTCGGTAGCCTAGCACTTATGGCTTGTCTATTCAATACCAAACATCCAACCTACCATATCAGAATTAATCAAACAACCTGCTTCTCCCTGAATATTGAAATTTGAAAGAAATATTTTGATTTACACAAGCCTGAAGATATATTACAAATAAAGATTTAATCTGATTTGAAAATCACACCATATTGGGAATTTAATTAAGCTTACACCTGATCAACAGCAATAGCCCACCGCCACTGGAGACAACCAAGCCACGCGCCTCTATAGAATGCGGTACCTTTTATCTATAATTTATTGCTCGGACATTACCTTCCAGTATCAATCTTGCTTTTTAGACTGTATTCGGTGCTAATACAACGTTGCAATTCGGTATTTTTGGAGGCCAGAAGATGCAAGAGGTATGTGCAAGTTGGATTGCTCATCTTTGTACATAAATAGGATTACAGCAAAGTTTGTGCCCAATGAGTTCCTCGCCTTTTGTCAGAGGACAAAAAAAACTTGCGAATGGGCTTATCTTTGCAACATCTCACGGAATACAAACAAGACGTTAATGACTTTCTTTCGTCAATAATTGCTGGCGCCGAATCTTGGTGTCATTATTCTGAACCATCCAGTAAGCTGCCATCGATGCAATGGCAACACGCAAATTCTCCACCACCAAAGAAGTTTAGTATTCAACCTTCTGCAGGCAAGGTCATGTTAACATTTTTGGTCGACCATGAAGGGCCCTTGCTAATAGAGTTTAAAAACCCAGAGTCCATATCAACGCAAACCTGTATAATGAAACTTTGAACAATCTACATCAAGCAATAAGACGAAAATATCCAGGGACGCTCTCACGTGGTGCCATTCTTCTGCACGACAATGTTCGAGTAGTGAAAGAAAATCTTCAACGAAAGAAATGGGGGATATTAGAGCATCCGCCCTATAGTCCCGATTTATTACCTTGCGATTTTCACATCTTTGAGTCACTGAAAAAGGTAAACAAATTTCAGTCAGACGAAAGAGTACAAAATACCGTAAAAGAATTCTTAAAAGCAGCAGCCACAAGAATTTCTTAAGCAGGATATACATCGATTGGTGAAACAATGAAATATGTGCCTTAATTGTTGTGGTAATTATTTGTAGGTATATTTGCCAATACATTCTTTCTTGTCCAAATATGGGTTTAAATTCAACAAGCCTCGTATATAAGGTGTCCTTATTAGTTGTGACTTTCCTAAAGAAACTGCATTTGAGAACCGAAATTGGCACAATCCTACAACAATTACGTGCTTATTGATTTGGTATTAGTCTACTGCGAGCGTCTTCAATGTCCTGTTGATACTTCAAGAGTGTAGTCGAGTATTTAGAACGTCGCTGTCGTCCTCGATATTTCCATCGGAGCTGTGTAGCTGTATTTATAACTTGCAATAGCCATCTGGGAGGACACAGTAGAAGATCTAGTCAGCCTCTAATACTGCAAATTTAGGAAGAAGTAATTAGGAACGAAAACGTTACAGTTTGTTTTTTACGTTTTCTGTTTTGTTTTCTTTGTTATTTCAAACGTAGTTGTTTCTAAAAATAAAAGTCCCAACTGTCAGGACACCTCATATTTTACTTTGTTGCTTTTCAGAAAGGTCCCTTCCCTGTTTACTTTTTTGAACGGATTGAGTCAAAAAGCTGAAATTCGAGGTAATGAAACGGATGCATGATTACTGTTTTAGCATAAACGTGGCAGTTGTACAATTCAAAAAAGCTGCTGGGCGTCATTTTGGATTATTGTTTTAAATAGAATCGGGGGTAGTGTGATACCTCTCATTCCCTACTGAGCGGGGCCGCGACAAATGCTTGTTCCGGAAGTTGTTATATTCAGTATACAACTTGTTCCAGTTCAATTGTTTGTACACGCGTTAAGGAATATCCCAATACCGATTGCCGGGTGGCGGTACAAGTCCGCCGACGGGCCACTTTAGGTCTATTTAACATCATTAACTTGCAAAAAAGAAGGTGGCAGACATGGACCTCCTATCCTAATCGTGTCGAACTTCGTACATCCAGAATTGGCCGATACGACCGCTCTTTGCCCCGAGAGGTGTCGAGATTGTGGAACAATCTACGGGAGGAAGCATTTCTCAGTTCTACGAACCTTAGGCAGTTCAACAATCGGATTAACAAAATTTCTTTGTTAATCCTTATGGCATTTAGGCTTCTGCTTGCGCGGTATAAAAAACATATGATCTGGCAGGCTGTCATCTTTGAATGTTTTTGTACATAGAATCACTTACAACTTAACATACATACATCAACATGTATGTTATATCAATATTTTTCTCTTGGAAGTGTTTATAAGAACTTGATAAAATATGGAACGTTATTTTTAAAAAATTGACAAGAGCTCACATTTTTTAAACGGAATGTCTAATATTTTATTGCACATTCAGATAGACTCTTCCACAAGAAGAATATTGGTATAACATTTTGATTAGTTGTTGAGTTCAATGTGCAAAGAAGCTCAACTTTGACAGTCTGTCAGTCCGCTATTTTGGAAGACAGCAACTTTATAAAGCACTCGTAAAGAGCTTCAAAATAAGTTACAGCATGACCCCCATTTTTAATGTTCAAATGTTACAAGACATTTTCAACTGATATCTTGAAAGACGCGCCAATTTCATCATCCCGAATTGCAGCTCCTTAGCTTAACCCGTTCAAAAACTAAGTAGGAAGGGGGGCGATTCTGAAAGACGCTGTATGTATGTGTCAATGCTGGCTCGGTTTGTTGATAAATTTCACCGACTTTACAGTTACGATGGGCTTAAAAACTTCTGTAAACTGTGCGACAAGAGAGTCAGAAGTTTGGATGTGCATTATAAGACATATCACGATCCAGCTTTTAGCCTTGAGAAGTCGAAAAAGAGAAAAACGGAGAATGGTAATCCGTACCTGTGTTCCACATGCGGGAAAGCATATAAGTATGTTTTACAAATATAATTTGTCTTTTTTTACAGTAGGATTTCATAAAAGTCGTGCGTTGAGCGTCAGCTAAGCTATGACGTAGGCTACATTGTAGCTTGAAATGTTTATTTTTTGTCACCGCATGATATCGTTTGTTGTTATTTGTTAAAATATACTCACTGACATTAGAAGTGTTACACCCAGAAAAAATAATTTCAACTTGTTTTTTTGGCAACATAATGACTATGTTTACAGCATGCTGGGGCAACAATGTCAACGTTTTATCCTTGTTTTTGTTTACCTTTGTTAAAATGTTATCTCTTAGTTTTTGTGAAGAAAGCAGTATCTGAGAGCTGAGCAGTACAGATATTTTTAGTGATTGCCCTTTCATTAACTAGTGTTAAGCAGAACAAAATATATCAAGTTCGAAAACGTCGAAATTATCACCGTGTTAGCGACTTTGACAGGGGTAGAATTATTGCCTATCGAGATGTTGGTTTGTCCTGTCGCTAAACTGGCCGCCGTGTTAAATGTGCTGCAATGACGGTAATGCGTGTGTGTCGTGTGTGGATAGAAGAAGGTAGAGGAACACGAAGAAGGCTAACTGGTGCACCGAGACGTACCACAGAGCGTCAAGATAGGCGCTTGATACAACTAGCCCTATGAGACCGTTTTGCTAGTAGGTAGTTTGGAGAAGAAGATAGACATGTTACTATCCGTACACTCTATTGCCGCATTTGAGTCTTTGGACTTTTTTCATACCATCCACGGTTAGTGCTTCGTCTGACTGTGGACCACTGTCGTCAACGTTTAAACTGGAGCAGAGAACGGCAACATTGGGAGGCTAAATGGCATAATCTCATCTTCAGCGACGGATCGCGATTCTGTCTAGGTACGCACGATGGTCGTAGAAGGGTAAGACGCCGCTGTGGAGAACGGTGTGATATTGCATTTGCTGTTGAGAGGCATGTACATAGGACTGTTGGAGTAATCGTTTGGGGTGGCTGTTGCCTATGGTAGCCGATCACCCCTTCTCTTATCTAGAGGGCCGTCCACACGTCCTGTTTCAGCACGACAACGCAGGTCCCCATATTGCTCGTCGTACGACGGACTTTCTTCCAGAAGTAGGCGTTAAAGTTTTGCCGTATTTAAATCCTATCGAACATGTGTGGTATATGATGGTGAGGAGACTATCTACTTTGCACCATCCGTCACATACTCTTCCGGGGGTCGTCCAACACATTATTGTTTTTTTTCTTATTGTCAAAAAAATTTGGGAGAATATTTTCGTTTCATTCTTGATGTAAGACTATCTCATTGCCAAAAAATCAAGCTGAAGAAATTATCTTTTCTGGGTGTAATACTTCTAATGTCACTTAGTATATATTATTACATTTGATGAGTGATGATTTATTTTGTTTTATTTATATATAATGCGATCTAATAGTTCCGGAACGTTAAGGTATTTGAAAATATTCAAGAGAAAACAATAGCGATTTATTATTTTCCCTGGCTATGTAGTGGTGATGAATTTGATTGAGCGTGATCTTGAAGGTCAAATAAAGGTCACAACGATTTTCTTTAATTCCACTATACTTTTGACCCCGGAAACGGATCGAGTGGGACATTTCACGTTCAGATATGACCTTGGGTGGCAGTTATTTTGACCTTAGTCAAGGTCATTTTGAAAAATCATCGTTTGAAGAGATTTCAGGGATCTTTAGGAAGATTTAGTAAAATAAGGACTCCACTCCGCAGTAGCTCCAGTCTAGTTTTGGCGATTCTCTAATAACCTTGGAACTGAGCTTTACCTTGATGACCAATTCAATGCCAGGACAATTTTTTATTGGTACTCTATACTTTTGATCCCGGAAACGGATAGCGTGGAGAGCTTCACTAGTGACCTTGAAACTGAGCTTTACCTTTAACGGTCAATCAATGTCAAGGCAATTTCTTCAATGGTACTCTATACCATTGATCCTGGAAACGGGTGGAGTGGAAAACTTTACGTTCGGGTATAACCTTGGTTGGCAATTATTTTGGCCTTGAACGTCCTGGTGAAGGTCATTTTGAAAAGTCCTTGTTTGAAAAGATTTCAGGGATCTTTCTGAAGATAAAGCAAAATAAGGACCCAACGGCGGAGTAGCTACAATTTGTTTCCAGCTATTCACTAATGACAGTGGTACTGAGCTTTACCTTGGCGGTCAAATCAACGTCAAGACATTATTTCAGTGGTTCTCTATACACTTTTGACCCCGAAATAGAACAAAAAAAAATTGCGTTTATAGTTATGATCATGGGTGAAAATTATGTTAACCTTGAACGTCCTTATCAAGGTCAATGTGAAAAACCAGTTTGACTAAATATTGGGAATGTTTCCAAAGACAACGCAAAAATAAAAACTCGACGATGGCAGGGCCTCAATTTTCCTGGCTAATCACCGATGACTTTGAAATTCACTTTGACCTTGACGGTCAGATCCAAGTCTATAAAATTTCGTAACGTTTGATCCAGGAAACGGATAGAGCGGAAAATTTTACTTTTGGACATGATTTTGACCAAGAGCTTTCAAAATAGTCTTTACCCAAGGTCATATCTAAACGTAAAATTTTTAGGTGTCAAAAGTATCGGGTGATATTAAAAATTCGTCTTGACCTTGATTTATCCTAAATGTATGCTCTAGGTCAAATTCAAGGACACCATTTTATAGGCAGGGAAAATCCTGAACCTCTATCATTTTACTTTTACCCCTTGAATATTCCAAAATATCTTGCTGTTGGAACACCCTGTATCAAGGACATCAAGATGAGCCCTAATAAAAATGCATACTCCACCACTGACATCTGTGCTACTGGTTGCTGAGATTTTCATGGGATCTCAGCGGCACATTCGCTAAATGTTAAGTCATGATACTTTTATATAAAGTCGTAAAATTTGCCTATTTTCGTGTTCGCGATAACTTTTATGTAATTTTGTAGGTCTAAATTTACATTGACTGTGCATATGAGGAACCATACTGGAATCAAGCCATTCAAGTGTAAGGTTTGCGACATGAAAATGGCCAGTAGAACACATATGAAAAATCATGAAAGGGTACACACTGGTGAAAAACCTTTCATATGCTCATACTGCGGAAAGGTCGGTCTTGTCAAAATATTCGATTTTATCCTAAATTGTTTTGTTTTTGCAGAGATTCAGGACAAAATCGACGTTAAATTATCACGTGCAAATCCACACTGGGAAATCTACTCCATGCTCTTTGTGCCCGAAAAGATTTGCGAGACCTATTGAAATGAGGGTCCATATGTTCTCCCATACAGGTATAAATGCACAGAATGTTAAAAAAATAAAAATGTACTGAATGCTAAAATTATTTTGATAAATGGTCAAGGTCCATTAGCAGGGTTTTTGGGTCTGAAAATCACTCAGATTTCAGGTTGATCGCATCTGTGAAATTTTTACAATTATGTAAATATTTTAGATCATATGTATTTTTTAGTACTTGCTCGCCTTTTAAAAGTCTAAAAATGTTTTCAATTTTGGCATTTCGCAAGTTTCTTGTTTTACAAAAAATAATCTAATGGTGACGTGGTCTTAAAATTGTCCTTCCATGTCAAAGCAAAAAATAAGTGAACTTCACCTTCAGAACTCAAGGTCTGTTAGAGGTCAACTTTAAATGGAATCGTTTTTTTTTATACCACTGATGGGAATAGTTTACGTTCGGAAATGTCCTTGATTAAGGTCATTTAGAAGTCAACTTGAAAACCGATCCGCAATTTACGGCCCACCAGATGGAGAAGATGACGATTTTTATTTTTGTATGTATAAATGACCTTGAACGTCATGATTCAGGTCACCCTTGATTAGTGTAACATCTGAAACTCATTATATTACTTTTATGTTGACAAATCTCCATGTTTTGCTGCCCAGATGAAACCACATATGTTGGGTTTACTGTTTATTAACGTTTCGGCCACCTTGGTGGTCTTTTTGAGTACAAATAAAAAAAATCTAATATCCTCCCTTTTAGGTGAAAGGCCATACAAATGCGACGAATGCGGACAAACATTTACCCAACATTGTCATTTGGTACAACATCGTCATAAGCATACGGGAGAGAGGCCTTATAAGTGTGAATTCTGCGAAAAAGCTTATCCTCACCCACATACGCTAAGGAAACACGTGAAGATCGTGCATTTAGGTATGAAAGATGTCCGCTGTTTTTTTTTAGTCAGAATACCCCTTACACATATGCTACAGCAGTCGCGCTTATTGTATTGAGAGTTGCATAATATCTAGGTTTATTTTGAATCTTTTTTATTTGTTTTTAGGTGAAAAGTTCCTCAAATGCCGCCTATGTTCTTTTGAGTGTAATCAGTGGATACATCTCAAGCGACATAAGGAGACCAACCATAATATGGAAATCGCAACTGAAAATCAGGAAGTTGATAGTTCATAATAAAATAGTTTATTTTGTTATATCATACCTATAATAAATGTATCACAGTTATACGTATTTTTATTCTAGTTGATTGATTGGAAGACTTTGATTCAATTCAAGGTTTCTTGGTATCCTGATAAGTTCCTAATAATAATTCTAGGTATTGTAACTAAAAGTTGTAAGGGTAAATAGTCAAACTACTAACTCCATATTTGTTTGTTTCAGATATATTTAGCATTAATGCTACATTGTCCATAATATCCATATTACACAGTATATCACAAAATATATAAAGTCTTCAAGACTACATATTTTTATACAAAATTTCACTAATATGAATTCTGGTTTTCCATGAGATATTTTTTCAATTTCCCTTTGAACATTTTCAAACTGACGCACATCTTGATATCATTACTTAATTTATTAAATTCGTACAATCCCTTTTGAAATACTGACTTGCTCGTTATATTGCTACTGCAGTTTTGTAAATGAAAGTCTATACTTCCTCTAGTAGAATAATTGTGGCACTCATTGTTCAATACAACAAAATTTTCTAAGTGATTTGGTAGAAGATGATTTTTCAACTTGAATATGAAAATGAAAACCAAGTAGGCTATGAAATTTTTGATATTTAACCATTGTAGTTCTTTCAGCATACAATTTATTCTAGTATATTTATTTTTATTTAAGATGATTCTCATAGCTTTATTTTGTAATTTTGAAAATACAGTTTTACTTGCAGTGCACAATATAACAAATGAGGAAGAATGGTAGTGTTGTACACATTTTTTTAAGAATAAACGATTAGGCTAAGCGAAATTCTATAAAAGTAATTTATTTTCGTGGATATTTTTGAAATAATATATTCATAGTGCCCGTTAAATTTTAATTTACTGTCTACGTATATGCCCAAATATTTAAATGATTCGATTGACACAATTTTTTCATGATTAATTGTAAGATTTATCGTATTTTGATCTAGAGATTTTCCTATTAGCATATATTTTGTTTTGTTTGTGTTTAGTTTAAGTTTATTTAAATTTAACCCATTTATTACGTTTTTCATATCATTATTTAACAGCTCTATTGCAGTTTCAATGTCTTTATTTGATATATATATTAATGTATCATCAGCAAATAGTTGAATTTTGCAGTGTTGTAAAATATCAGGAGTATCGTTAATATATAAAATAAATAGTAATGGACCTAATTTGCTACCCTGTGGCACACCTACCGAAATGTTTTTAATGTTTGATAATGTATTGCCAATTTTAGTTCTTTGACTTCTATTGATTAAATAATTTTGTAATAAGTTGAATACTGAACCTTGAAACCCATAGCAATGCAATTTCGTTAACAATTTCTCCCTGTCATAGTATCAAATGCTCTCTGAAAATCTAAGAACAGTGTTACTGTAATTTTTTTTCATCCATATTTCGCCTCCATTCTTCTACTACCATTTGAATTGCTGTTTCAGTAGAAAACCTTTTTCTGAATCCTGCCTGAAATTTTGTCAATATCTTATTTTCTTCAATATATTCAATGACTTGTTCATATATGATTCCTTCTAAGAGCTTCTCGACATCTCATTAATTGTCCACATGTTTGTATACAGGGTGTCCCAGAAGTCGACGTCAAGCCGAAACCGGGTGATAGGCAAAGTCATAACAGCTATCAGAAAAATATTTACAAAATTTTTATGTATGTGTTTTGAAAATTATAGGTCTTTGAAAAAAATATAGAAATTTCACACCCTACGGCAGTCTGTCAACTCCTGTTACTACAAATATTAACTTTTTTTGGATTTTATTTTTACAAAGTAATGATGAATAATGCATCTTCAAACTGGTGTCTCAACCTTACTGCCAACTTTTCTCGTTCAGGAAAAATTGCCACTTATTTCCCAACCAAGTATTCCAAAGTAAAACTTTGCTCAACTTTAACTCGCTGTACTGGAAAAAAATGTACTATGAGAGTTTGGCAAGTAACCTTAAAAGTTGGCGCATTTAATAAGGATTCCAAAATGGTATAACACTTAGAAGATTACTCGTTAACTTATGCACAATTTTTATTTGAAGAAAAACTGATGAAAATTTTTCAAAATTTCCTAATTAAACAGCGATTATGAAAACGCACAAGGACCCTTAAGGATAACTGTTTGCACAACATTGGGCGTCAAAATGCTGCTGATGATAATTTACCTTTACAGCAAATGCTCAAACTGTTTTCCTTCAGCCGCAATACATGCTCGACATCTTCTTAAAAAAGAAAGGGGTTATTAAACGAGCGAATCCACGGTTATTAACAAACTCAGCTGCTTCCAATAGTCTTTGCCGTAGCTCAGCTACATTTTGAATCGGCTTGAAATACACTTTTTCTTTTACAGTTCCCCAGTAAAAAAATCTAAAGGATTCAAATCGGGTGATCGGGCTGGCCACGGTATTGTACCAGACCGCCTTATCCATCTGCCTGGAAAGTTTTGATCGAGATACTCTCTCACCGAGTGCATAGTGCGCTGGGCAGCCATCATGCTGAAACCACATGTCCCTGTAAATACTCAGTGGCAGGTCCTCCAATAAATTTTCTAAATGATTTTGCAAAAAACCTAAATAAACCTCAGCAGTCAAAGTCTCTGGGAACTCAAACGGACCGATTATTTTACCATTTAAAATTCCTGTCCAATGGTTTATCTTGAAGCGATATTGAGATTTATCTTCTCTCATCAAATGTGGGTTTGCTACGTGCCACTCGTGTAAGTTATGCAGGTTCATGAACCCATCTTTCTTAAATGTGGTCTCATCTGACCATACAATTTTTTCAAAGAACCGCGGATCTTCCCTGTGTCTTTCTAACATTGTGCGACAAAAAGCAACTCGGGGCTCATAATCACGAGGCAGAAGAGCTTGAACACGCTGTACGTGGTGTACTCATTTTATGCGTCCATAATACCTAAAAATCGTGTATAAAAAGTTTTTTCATTCCTGTCAACACTTTCGATTGAATCCCAAACAACACGTTTTCTCATTCTTTGTTGTCAGCAGCTATATAGATAATTTTTATTCAGTTATCTGAAATTTAACGTAATGGCGCGTACAAACAGACGGCTCGTAAATCCACCGGAGGTAAAGCTCCCAGGAAGCAATTAGCCACGAAGGCTGCCCGTAAAAGTGCTCCTGCTACTGGCGGAGTTAAGAAACCTCACCGTTATCGTCCGGGAACTGTGGCTCTCAGAGAAATTCGTCGTTATCAGAAAAGTACCGAATTGTTGATCAGAAAATTGCCCTTCCAACGGCTGGTCCGTGAAATAGCGCAAGATTTCAAGACCGATTTGCGATTCCAAAGTTCTGCTGTAATGGCACTCCAAGAAGCTAGCGAAGCGTACCTGATCGGACTATTCGAGGATACGAACTTGTGCGCGATCCACGCTATGCGAGTAACGATCATGCCGAAAGATATACAGCTGGCAAGACGTATTAGGGGCGAACGCGCATAATGGAATTGACGGATTTACTATTTGCCGGAAAGAGATAGAGAGTACGGCGTGCGATATACCAATAAAACTAGAATTTACAATTATTTCGGGGAAATTTGGTAATATGATTAGAATATAATTGGTTCCTCGAGTTGTTAGAAAGAATAAATATTTCAATCAACACCAGGAATTTAACCTGTAATAGATTTATATTTTTTTTTCATGTAAAGCCATCTTGTATAAACAGTATTTGTCTCTTAAATATCAAAATTTCTCAAGTTGTTTATTGTAAAATGGTTTACTATTGAAATAAATATTTTTTTTGTAGGTGAAAAGCCGTTTAAGTGTCCGCATTGCCCCTTGGCGGCCCGTGAAAGGTCTACCCTAAGATAGCACATGAATCGCACGCATAGGGACATGCTTATTTCATCTCCAAGTAACCCTCAATCGGAAGAATCTCAAAAACCAACAATCTGAAGGTATTAATGAAAAAGTGCAAATATCACAAACAGCCGAGGAGAAACAAATCAGCTAGTTTGATTAAAATTTTCTCCATTTTACATTGTTCTCTTAGCATTTTTGTTGATCATACGGTATTGCATAAAAGACCTCGAAGGATTTGAAAGCACATTTAAAAATTAGCCAGATCGTTATCGTGATTCCAGTAAACCGTCCGTGCCATAAAGCGGTTCTTGGCATTTTTGACCCATTATCGGACCAATATCATGTTATTATACAATATACAATTAAAGGTCGAAACAATGCTTGATAAGGAATTTTCAGTTAAAATTCGACTCGATATTTGATTTGGCAACGTCGCAAATGCCTAGGTCACGTGACATCCCCAGTTGCTTTTAATAACAGGATTTGCCCTTCAAATGACATTTTTCAGTGGCCGTGGGTCGTGAAGTGTTATAGAAAAAATTAATAGCTTAAAAGGGTGAGTATTTCGATTCATTTCACAGTATATTCTTTGTTATTGGATACAGTAAATCGTACAATTAAATACCTTTATCATAATCAACCTAGTGAGTGAGTATTTAGCTTTTTTTTCTCCCATGCTGCCGGTCTCACGTAGGCTCACTTATGTAAAAAATCTTTAGTCATTTTGATATATTTCATTTTAGTATTACTATGATTATTGTATATTTGATCATCTAATATACAATAAATTACTTTCTTTCATTAACCTAGCAATATAGTGACGATTCTGAATGGTGCCCTGCCGGCTTTGACCTATTTGACCTTTCTCATCTGTAGACTTCTCCTATCTCAGATACGACCGATAAATGTTATTGTACTTCGTTTGAGGATGTATTATGTATGATTTGTACCAATTTAAGACCAATACAATTACTCATATGAGACATAACTTAATTTTTCGGGGGTAGTCTGGATTACTTTATTTGCTACATTTTTTTAATTGGGTTAAATATTTCTTTATTTTGTTTTCAACTAATTGACGATTTTTTATAGTTTCACATGTATTTTCCTTAAAATTTGTTGAAATCATTTCTACTGATTTCTTCAATTTTTTTCCGAAAAAACCTTGAATTTCGGTCTGATGCGCCATGCGCCAAAGTATAGTCTTACCATCAAATTTTTAAATACAAGTGTTTTCATATGTCAAGAGCCTTCTGTAATGGATTAATATTCAGTGATGCATAATTATTTTCTGAATACCCAAATGGTTTTCTTCACATTTTATGATCATTATTACATACATGGTGTCGCACAAGAGTGTGTCACAACCTTCGACTTCAATTTGTATTTTTCTACAGACTTCAATTCTGTTTAGGCATAATTTATTGCTATATCTGAAAATATTGAAAAATATATTTTATCATTGTCACAATCTGCAATTAGCAATAATTGTATGTCACAAGTGCCAAGTAGCTGTAATTGTCAATTACAAGTTGTGCTTAACTATAATTGTTAGTTTCAAGCTGCAATTAGCAGGAATTGCTAGTAAGTTGCAATTTCCTTTAGTTACCAATTACAAGCTACAATCAGTTATAATTTTCAGTTACAAGTTGCTCAACTATAATTATTGTCAATTATAGGTTGCAATTAGCTATAATCATTTAGATACAAGTGCCAAGTAACTATAATTGTCAGTTATAAGCTACAATTACCTATAATTATTGTCAGTAGACGCAATTAGCTATAATCATCATATATTTGTAGAAATAAGCTATTACTATCAATTGCAAGTTGCAGTTAGCCGTTACTGCTATCATTTAGCTGTAATTTTTAGTTACAAGCTATACTTTGTTGTAATTGTCAATTTCCACTTTTAGTTGACAAATTTCGGCTAATTGCTAGTTGTTAATGACATTTAAACTAATTATCACTTATAAGTGCTAATTATAGCTAATTAAACTTTATAACCAGTAACTACAGCTAATTACAACTTGTAACTGATAATTATAGCTAATTGCTACCTGTAACTGCCAATCATAGCTGAATGCAACATGTAATTGCCAATTATATCTAATTGCAGCCTATGTCTGCCAATTACAGCTAACTGCCTCTTGTTGCTGACAAGTATAGGTTATTGCTTATAATTGTAGCTAATTTCCTTTTATTTACTGATAACTAGTTAATGTCTACTGTAGCTAAAAGTCATTATTGATTTGCCATAATTATAGCTAACTACAACCTGTAACTGCCATTTATATCTATTTGCTACTTGTAGCTGACAAGGTGGCAATTATAGCCATTTGCAACCAATAACCGCCAATTATAGCTAATTTCTACTTGTAGTTGACAATTATAGCTTATATTATATAGTTACAGCTATTTTCCTTTTATTTACAGACAACTAACTAATTGCCACTGTAGGTGAAATTTATAGTTAATTACTACTTGTAACTGACACTTATAGTTGCAACCTATAACTGCCAATCATAGCTATCTGCTACTCGCAGCAGACATTGATAGCTTATTTATAATTAGAAGTATTTTCGTTTTATTTATGGACCACTAATTTCCACTGTAGCTGAAAATCATTGTTAAATTGACAGTTATTAGCTAATTACATTCTGTAACTGCGATTTATAGCTATTTGCTACTTGTAGCTGATAATATGATATATAGCTAATTGCATTTGTTGCTGAAGAATGCCACTTTCAGTTGAGATCTACAGCTAATTGTCACTTGTAATTGAAAGTTACAGCTAATTAGCAGTGTTATGCATACACTTTCTCAGAAAATACTGAAGAGTCAGTTTTCAAGACTCCGCTTTTTATTTTGTTTCAGTACTACTCTCCCATAACAAACAGTAACCATGCCAAAAATTGGAATCAACGGATTCGGTCGTATCGGCCGTTTGGTGCTGCGCGCCTCAGTCGAACGTGGCGGTGACGCAGTAGTGGTCGCCGTGAATGACCCTTTCCTCACCCCTGACTACATGGTGTACCTGTTCAAGTACGACTCCACCCACGGCAAGTTCAAGGGATGCGTCTCTTGTGAGGGAAACAACTTGATCGTCAACGGTAACAAGATCGCCGTTTTCAACGAGAAGGACCCGAAGGTCAGTGCTGGTTAACTGTCATATCTTCGTTTTGAGGTTAAAAGAAAGTTGGATTGGGCATTCGAGAATAGATGTGTCATCCTGGTATGCCAATAGGTGAACCAAAATCATCAGGCATCTGATATTGGCGCCCAACGTGGGGCGATACGCGATACGTTTTTTTTCCTATACCAGACAATACGTCCTTTAACAAAAATTGACTGTTAATGAACTCTTGAGAGAGATATTAGGTATTCCTCACCCTAGAGAGCAAAAATACTCTTAGTTCTTTTTATACAGGGTTTCCCAGAAGTACACTTATAAAAAAAATTCAAATTTGTAGTAATGGGAACTTGCAGGAGGTGTAGATTTTTCCGATTTTTTTTTAAAGCCTCTAATTTGAAAAATACACTACTTTGATTTTTTATATTCTTCTGATAACTATTATGACTTGGCCTGTCTCCCGTTTCCGGCTTGACGTCGACTATTGACCCATTGATCATAGCATACTATTTTTTTTGCAGTCTATCCCATGGGGCCAGCATGGCGCAGACTACGTAGTCGAATCCACTGGCGTGTTCACCACTATCGAAAAGGCCTCCCAACATTTGGCTGGTGGTGCCAAAAAGGTCATCATTTCTGCCCCATCCGCTGACGCCCCAATGTACGTCTGCGGTGTCAACTTGGACGCTTACAACCCAGCTGATAAGGTTAGTCATACATACTGTTAGTGATTACAGTTAAAATATTTCGCGTAGTTAGTTTTATCATGTAATTGCGTATTCAATTGATAGTGAAAAATGACTAGGCGAGTGTTTTATCAGCTTACATAATGAAACATGTTTATACAGTTGTAGGTCAGTAAATGTGTTGCTTCATATAATTGGATGTTACAAAATCAGTAATTGTAGCTTCCTTGTTTTTTTTAGTTTTTAGACTGCTGGGTTTTTTTTTGGAGTTTTGAACCATTTGTTAAAACATTCCTACAGAAGATAACCCATTGAATTGAAAACCATGCCTCTGCCAAAATAAGCATATGTGTTGTGGTATTGAAAACCAATTATGCTTACAACTATATACTTGTTGTTCACCATCTTTAGTTGTCATCATTGCCACATGTCATTTGCCGCAGTTGATGGAATTACCTATTTCTGTCCTTATAAATTATGGGGATATGAAATCATAGAGATGGGATGTCATTGTTATATAACAGATTTCTTCAAAAAGAAGAAGGAGATGAAGATTATGACTTATGATTTGAAGGGTACATGAGTAGCAGCTATTGATGAACTTGAATGTCTCAACCAGGTTGCCTAGTAATCTTTGCTCAGCGAGAGTTGTCAAATTCATAGACTTTAGACGTCCATATAGCATATGTCGAATCTCTGATGGAATTCGCGTTATTTTGCGTTACACTCTGACCAGTAGCTTGATATCTTTAACAAAATAGGAACTCCCTATGCTGTGCGCATGTATGTCTTGTACATTTGTCTGTGCTATTTAGCAACATGATAGTGAAAAATGTGAATGTCTAGATATATTCTTAAAAAATACGCGAACCAATGGTTATTTTTAGAAGATAGAATATACTATAGTAATGGATTTGAATAATGCTTGCGCCATCTATGATATGATAGCAGAATACAAAAGTGGTTGATGACACTAGGATCTTTAATCTATGTTTGGCTTTCTGATAACTGTAATAATTGAGTATCTTCACCAATTATTCCTTCCTTATACCTTCCTAGCTCCAAATACTAACTCTTTCCAAATTAGATTTCTAAATTAATTCTTGTATTTCACTGCTGACTAATAGATGGCGCTAGTGTCTCACTGATCCATTTTTGGACTCCGGAATATTGATGTTTAGCTTCAGGTTGAATATTGTAACGAAAACACCGTTTTTAGTGTTCAAAGTCAACTCTACACTAATTTATTACAATTGCAATAACTTTATAACTGTATCGAATAGGCTATGTTGTCCTCAAATAAATTATCATGATGTATCCATCTGCGGCTTGGTGCTTTGTTGCTAAGATGCACATGCATGCATTAGAGGTAATCCAACATAGAGCTCTTCACTCCTTCACGGGAGATCCGTGGTATGCTTCGAATCACTCGCTACATTCAGACCTCAATATTCCTTCTCTTCATTGAGTTTATCAAATAATTTGTAACTAAGGCATATACAAGAGCAGATAGCCATTTTAACCCTCTGGTAAGAGAGGCTGTGCATTACTCTGTGGCTGATGTTCAAAAACACAAACGCCCAAGGCTAGCCCTACAATAATTAACGCGCCTTAATCAGATTGATTAGGTTAGGTTTGCGCTCCTTCTGCAACGACCCTTTCATTTGGAAAAACGAGCTAAAGACCCACGGTCTGCTCGGTATGAGTAGATGTCAGGTCAAGAAAAACCCGATTCCTCCTCGAAGCTGGTACATGGCGTTAGGTGCTTCGCGGCGGGTCTCGATGATTCTTGAATCTCAGCCTAACCTTCTAGATAGCGCCTCAAGCGCTTATGTACGTGAACGCAATCGCTGTCAAAGCTTCGCAAGCTTCGATGTATGATGGTGTAGCTCTGGTTGCCTAATTTTACGCTGGTACGGACAGTTAAGAGGGCGTTACAATATATGTAGCATTGATTAGTGTACTCTACAAACCACAAGCGTGTGACTTAGGCAGGAGGCCCTCAGTTGAGGGTGGACTTCATATACGACCTGTCGTTAATGAACGGTGGCGCTCGAGGTATTTCAAAAGATCTTTATTGACGCATGTTGCCATAACAATGCTGATTTTTGTTTTCAGGTAATCTCGAACGCCTCCTGCACGACAAACTGTCTGGCTCCCTTGGCCAAAGTGATCCATGACAACTTCGAGATCGTCGAAGGTTTGATGACCACCGTCCATGCTACCACTGCTACCCAGAAGACCGTGGATGGACCATCGGGCAAATTGTGGCGTGACGGTCGTGGTGCTGCACAAAACATCATTCCTGCTTCCACTGGAGCCGCCAAGGCCGTCGGCAAGGTCATTCCATCTTTGAACGGTGAGAACTTATTCAAATTTTCTTTCAATTGAGAGCTTTATTCATTTTATAGCGTCTTGTAAGCATGGGCGCCCGCAAGTGGATGCAAGGGGAAGGGGGTTGTGGCTCCTCTAAGTATCCGGTTGGACCTTAACATTTGCATATTAAGCATGATTTTGTGTACAATTTTGAGGAGTTTACTTTTACCTATTGGAATAATTCAATATTTTCATCAGTTGCATAAAATAATATTGTTTTCCAATGTTTTCAATACTACCCTTAAATAATCTTTTGACATCATATTGTTCTCTATTCAGTGAGTTAAGACCAACTATAGGAAGATTACTTTTTAAAATGGGAAATAGAGGCTATGCACCTATGCCCAGTTCATAAAAACTGAGGGAATGCTTGAACTGATGGTCTTATGGAACAAATGACGATCTGATAATTTGAAGGTGTTCCTAGGATATTCTGTTTTTTGAAATAACTAAGATTTGCTAATGTCAATGTTTGACACACTATACATTTTGGAATTAAAATTAAAAAGTATTCACCTGTGTGAAAATCAAATATGCAGTCTATAAAAAATATTGAAATTCTAAGTCTTCCATCTTGTAGCGGAGAAAAAGTTGCAATGTTATTGTAGTTTACATATCAATATATATCTCAAATAAAGGCAGGAGAAATTGAAAACGATTTTGGGAAAAAATTTAATTTCCTTCATCAATCTCCGGAGATACTCGCTGTAGGCTAGTTGACACTTATTTTAAGTAGGTCATAAATATCTAATATTTGTTCAATTAGACCGAAAAAAATAGTACTAATTTTTTCTGGCCTAAAAGTCCGTAAAAGTATAATTTAAAAATATATATTTTTCTTAGACAGGCGAAAACGCTGTCCGCCATGTTGTGTGCTTTGACGTCATACCATTTATAAACAGCAGCTGACAGCAGTATAACCTCTCAAACTTTTAAACATATACTAAGTGACATATAAATCCGAACACTCAGTTTAAATGGTTTTATTTTAATAAAATTTTGTATAAGTACTTAATGAAGCATAATAAGTAAATGATAAAAATTTCAAAATGATTGCACTGCTTTAAAGCCCTTTGACCTTTAATAATGTGTGGATGCATCCTGATGTGCTACGCATTCTCCAACGCGCCTAGGCATGCTTCTGATCAGGTGGTCAATGTCCTCCTGTGGTATCTCATTCCAGGCAACCACCAACTCCTCTCGAAGTGCTTCTAGAGTCTGAGGAGGACGTTGCAAATTGAGCAATCTCCTACCCATCATATCCCACACGTGCTCAATTGGGGATAAGTCGGGAGATCTTGGTGGCTATGGTAACAATGTGACATCATTATGTTGAAAGAAGTCTATTGTGACTCTTGCAACATGTGGTCCGGCATTATCTTGTTGGAAAGTTGGATCTGCCAGGGTGTCAAGATAGGGTAAAAGATGGGGTTCTAGAACTTCGTGGATATAACGCTGCGCGTTCATGTTACCTCTGTGACCTGGAACCATAAGCTATAGCACCCCAAACCATAACTCCATCAGTGTGATGAACATGTCTTTCAACAAAAAACTGTGGATTCCTCCTTTCACCACGTCGCCTTCTAACCCTTACACCGACGTAATCGCCTTGAGTGGTGCAGACAACGGTCACTCTGGGATCAGGAATGGAACAGTATTGTCTTTAGTGACGAGTCTCGATTTTGTTTAGGCATGCACGATGGTCGTGCCAGGGTTAGAAGGCGACGTGGTGAAAGGAGGAATCCACAGTTTTTTGTTGAAAGACATGTTCATCACACTGTTGGAGTTATGGTTTGGGGTGCTATAGCTTATGGTTCCAGGCCACCTTTAATCTTCATCAGAGGTAACATGAACGCGCAGCGTTATATCCACGAAGTTCTAGAACCCCATCTTTTACCCTATCTTGACACCCTGGCAGATCCAACTTACCAACAAGATAATGCCCGACCACATGTTGCAAGAGTCACAATAGACTTCTTTCAACATAATGATGTCACATTGTTACCATGGCCACCAAGATATCCCGACTTATCCCCAATTGAGCACGTGTGGGATATGATGGGTAGGAGATTGCTCAATTTGCAACGTCCTCCTCAGACTCTAGAAGCACATCGAGAGGAGTTGGTGGTTGCTGGAATGAGATACCACAGGAGGACATTGACCACCTGATCAGAAGCATGCCTAGGCGCGTTGGAGAATGGGTAGCATATTAGGGTGCATCCACACATTATTAAAGGCCAAAGGGCTTTAAAGCAGTGCAATCATTTTGAAATTTTTATCATTTACTTATTATGCTTCATTAAGTACTTATACAAAATTTTATTAAAATATAACCATTTAAACTGGGTGTTCGGATTTATATGTCACTTAGTATATAAACATGGCTTCAACTAGTTACATGAAAAATATAGGAACTATCGTTATTGTGTTGCTTAGGCCCGTATCGTCAGTCGTCCCTGCAATTGTAGGGCGCCTTTATGGCTTCCTTGATTGTCATAGTTTTCTACTTCTCCGTGTCAGAACTCTATTTTGAGGTTATGTCACAAACATCTATTTGCATCAAATTATGCTTGCTTTTGAGTTATATCATGTTTTATCAGCCTGAAATTTCCTACAATTTAAAAAGAAAACATATCTTCACAATAGGAGAGCGCTGACGCTGACACGGGACAAATGTAATCTAGAAATTTTTGAAGGAGACAATTGTAGGGACGACTGACGATACGGGCCTTAGAGCAGGGCTGTCCAACATGCGGCCCGCGAACTCCTTTCTTGCGGCCCGCTTCACGGGTCATGTATACATCACATGTATAAATTACTCTCAAATACCGAATATGCATAATTCTTACATTAACTCTGTAATAATGTTGTATAGAAAGATTTTATAATGCGGCCCTCCAAACTGCATTTTTTTTGAAGTGGCCCTCGGGCCACATTAAGTTGGACAGCCCTGGCTTAGAGCATGCCTTATATTCGGGACATATTTCACATCTTACTGTGCAGATTAGATATTAAAGAAAATTATTCAGAGGTTATGACTCATGAGCTTAGTTTTGCATGACTTTTGAAAGGGAAGATTATGTAAGTGTATTACTTAATCTTTTTTCATATCAATCATTATATCAGATGCACTAGCATAGAAGTCTTGATGATCCTCAGCTCAGTAGAACAGAAATTTGGTTTGAAATGAAAAAAATTACCAACCATCAATGTGTCAATTTTCGGCAAATTTGTGCTTTCTGCTTTTACTAATCCAACGTCCATTGTTTTTTCTTTTAGAAAACGAGGTAACGATAACTTTTTATGTTCATATATTTTCTTTAGAAATACTTTAAACAAGGCAGCATTAGTCAACGAGTGATATACGGATGACGTTTCTTTGTTTACAATTTGTATGACGTCACATCATGACCTATAGTGCTTTTACCGTTTCGTATTAAAAATAAAAAATATACTTTTCTAAATTGGATTTGTATATCCATCTTGGGCATTTAAAAATTGAAATTTATATAGTTCGTTTTCCTATTGCAAATACTGTACCAGTTTCTGACTTACCTAAATGCGCAACTTTTGCTCCCATTTAACGTACTTGTATCTCTTAGCGTTTTCGACATCCCAATGGTGAGGGTCGAATTTTAAACTCCCAACAACTTGAAAATTCATCACATAGCATCCAATGTTAACTCACACATTCATTCACTAACCTAACAAAATCATCCGCGGAACAAAATCTAACCGAACCATTGACGGTTTCTCCGCAGGCAAAGTGACAGGTATGGCGTTCCGTGTACCAGTAGCCAACGTTTCCGTTGTGGACTTTACGGTCCGTCTGGCCAAACCAGCCAAATATGAGGACATCAAAAAGAAGATCAAGGAAGCTTCCGAGGGCCCCATGAAAGGCATCTTGGGATACACAGAGGAGATGGTTGTCTCTTCCGATTTCATCGGTGACACCCACTCTTCGATCTTCGACGCAAACGCCGGAATTCCTCTGACTGACAACTTTGTGAAACTCATCTCGTGGTACGACAACGAGTTCGGATACTCGAACAGGGTTGTCGATTTGATCAAGTACATCGCCACCAAGGAGTAAAATAGTATTATTGGTGTGTTGAGTTGAGGCGGGCAGACAGATTATTTTTGCCAAAAATTCGTCAATCTTTTTTTCATGACCAACAATTTTCGAAATAGTTTTATCTGTCGGAACTGACAATATTAACACACACAAAAAATGGGAGAATGTTTTTTGAAAAGTCTGTTTTTCGACATGTGTATAATTTGGATAATAAGTTTAGCTTCTGATCGAGCATACTTTTTGTGTATTTTTATTTATATATAATCTAAAACAATATATTGTTATTAAATGTCTGAATTAGGGTTGATGGTGTTGTTTTTGAACCTTTCTACTACCTTATCCCACCTCCGCTATTCCTATGTTTTTGCAGTGGTCTTTATGAAGAACGAATGAGACACTAAATAACGGAAAAATGTCAATAGGTCGTCATTTTTATTCGAAATCTCAGAACGTAAAATCATCTTTATTTGCTTACACTTAGTTGCTCAGAGACCATGTCTGATCGATTTCTGCGCAAGATCAAAACTTGTTCATTATACGTACAGCTGTCGGTGACCGTGACCACGATCGCGCCACATAAATTCCGTTCACTCTGCTACGCTATACAAGGTGTACCAGAAGTCGACGTCAAGCTGAAACCGGGTGATACGCAAAGTCATAACAGCTATCAGAAAAATATTTAAAAAATTTTTATGTATGTGTTTTGAAAATTATAGGCCTTTGAAAAAGATATAGAAATTTCACACCCTACAGCAGTCTGTCAACTCCTGTTACTACAAATATTATTTTTTTTTGGATTTTATTTTTACAATGTAATGATGAATAATGCATCTTCAAACTGGTGTCTCAACCTTACTGCCAACTTTTCTCGTTCAGGAAAAATTGCCACTTATTTCCCAACCAAGTATTCCAAAGTAAAACTTTGATCAACTTTAACTGGCTGTACTGGAAAAAAATGTACTACGAGAGTTTGGCAAGTAACCTTAAAAGTTGGCGCATTTAATAAGGATTCCAAAATGGTATAACACTTAGAAGATTACTCGTTAACTTATGCACAATTTTTATTTGAAGAAAAACTGATAAAAATCACACTATCTAAGATAGTCTAAGGAAAGCAAATGTTGTTTTGAAGAGCAATTAAACAGCCCAAATCCAAATCACAAGCGATCAACAGTCCAGTACTGATCGGTATCAAAGTGTGCAATAGCAAGTAAGTGATGTGCTTCATCCATACCACATACAGCGTGTTCAACCTCTCCTGCCCCGGGATTATGAGCCTCGAGTTTTTTTTGTCGCACAATGTTAGAAAGACACAGGAAAGATCCACAGTTCTTTGAAAAAAATTATTTTTGGACGTGCCACTGAGTATTTACAGGGACATGTGGTTTCAGCATGATGGCTGCCCAGCGCACCATGCACTCTCAGTGAGAGAGTATCTCGATCAAAACTTTCCAGGCAGATGGATAAGGCGGTCTGGTACAATACCGTGGCCAGCCCGATCACCTGATTTGAATCCTTTAGTTTTTTTACTGGGGAACTGTAAAAGAAAAAGTGTATTTCAAGCCGATTCAAAATGTAGCTGAGCTACGGCAAAGACTATTGGAAGCAGCTGAGTTTGTTAATAACCGTGGATTCGCTCGTTTAATAACCCGATCTTTTTTAAGAAGATGTCGAGCGTGTCTTGCGGCTGAAGGGAAACAGTTTGAGCATTTGCTGTAAAGGTAAATCATCATCAGCAGCATTTTGACGCCCACTGTTGTGCAAACAGTTATCCTTAAGGGTCCTTGTGCGTTTTCATAATCGCTGTTTAATTAGGAAATTTTGAAAAATTTTCATCAGTTTTTTTTTCAAATAAAAATTGTGCAAAAGTTAACGAGTAATCTTCTAAGTGTTATACCATTTTGGAATCGTTATTAAATGCGAAAACTTTTAAGGTTACTTGCCAAACTCTTGTAGTACATTTTTTTCCAGTACAGCCAGTTAAAGTTGAGCAAAGTTTTACTTTGGAATACTTGGTTGGGAAATAAGTGGCAATTTTTCCTGAACGAGAAAAGTTGGGAGTAAGGTTGAGACACCAGTTTGAAGATGCATTATTCATCATTACATTGTAAAAATAAAATCCAAAAAAGTTAATATTTGTTTGCTTTTTCAAAGGCCTATAATTTTCAAAACACATACATAAAAATTTTTTAAATATTTTTCTGATAGCTGTTATGACTTTGCCTATCACCCGGTTTCGGCTTGACGTCGACTTCTGGGACACCCTGTATAGAGAGAGTTCACTCGGCAGAATCTCGGACACCGATCGACCAACCACTGTACGAACAAACTTTATGTGACTGGTTATACAGGGTGCGACAGAGAGGACGGACGTTTTTGGGATGGGTAGTACTCTCCGCCTCCGTCTACGAGAGAGGTGGGGAGGGTGCCGTTTGACTCGTGAGATCCTAGCATTATTTTACCAGTTGTCGTTATGGAGCCTTGGACGGTGGAGCACCGAGTTTTCGCCTATTATTGTTTCGTCAGAAATAATGAATCAGTCATCGTCGTACAGCGTGAGTTTCGTCGCCACTTCAACATTCATCGGAATAGAGCTGTTCCCTCTCGAAACACCATCCTTCGTTGGGTTGAGTCACTTCGCAGGCGTGGTGAACTGATCAACAGAAGACCAAGAGGAGCGCCGCGAACAGTTCGAACTCCTGAAAATGTTCAACGCGTTCGACAGGTCTTTCTTCGCAGTCCGACTCGATCTGCCCGGAAACATGCTGCTGCACTTCGCCTTAGTGATCGTTCGGTAAGGCGAATTTTGCATATGGATCTCCGCTTTCACCCCTACAAATTGGCCATTGTGCAACAGTTACAGCCCGGAGATTATGCACAACGAATGAACTTTGCACGTGAGATGGAAGCACTGATCGATCAAAATGAGAACCTCATTTTGTTTATGAGTGACGAAGCCCACTTTCACCTAAACAGCATGGTTAATCAGCAGAATTGTCGTTATTGGGCTAATGAAAATCCGCAACAGTTACACGAAAGACCGCTGCACAGCCCAAAAGTAACGGTTTCGTGCGCTGTATCGCAAACTTGCATCATTGGCCCTTACTTCTTCGTCGTGATGTTACCGTGAACTCAGAGCGCTACGTCGACATGATCACCAACTTCTTTCTCCCTGAATTACGACGGCGACGTGTTCCAATCCGACGTGTGTGGTTCCAGCAGGATGGGGCGACGCCCACACAGCCCGAGCATCCATGGACGTTATTCGCCCTCTCTTCCCTGGTCGCCTTATTTCCATGTTTGGCGATGTTCATTGGCCTCCTCGGTCCCCAGATTTATCCATATGCGATTTTTTCTTATGGGGACACCTCAAGGCTAGAGTATTCGCGAACAAGCCCCAAACTGTGGACGAATTGAAGGGCGAAATTCGCATGGAAGTCGCCCAAGTTGAGAGAGCGATGTTGGAGAGAGTCTACGCGAACTTCCAAGAACGCCTCCAGCACTGCATCAATGATTTCGGCCACCACATGCCTGATGTGATTTTCCACACTTGACTGTCTCAAATGCTATTTCCTTGTGAACCTGATTCCATCAATAAATTTGTCTTCGAGTAAAAATTAACTATTTTATGATTTTTTTAAAACCGTTCATCCTCTCTGCCGCACCCTGTATATGAATGTAATTTTTAACGTATGTTCAGAAGAACAGTGTCACCAGCTACATTTTAGGCAATCAATCCAACAGAAAATCGCGAATATCTTGAATAAGCACGAGTAGAATAAGAAATAGAAGGTGGAGGAACTGTAACCATTGCTTAATATATTCTACTTGAAGATAGCCAACCATATACAAAAATTGATCTGATAGATGATAGCACCGTTTAAGAGTACAGATTAAAAAGATTACATATTACCAAAAAAAGGGGCTTGCTTGCTAGCCTTAACGTCACTGCGACCCAAATGGATCTATTGTGACCTCCATATACACTTTCTAAAGCAGTTTTGTCCAGCCTGGATTCTGCAATCAGACTATAGCCTCGACACATAGCTTTGTATGCGTTTGTAGCTTTCCGCTGTTGGGTTTTATGGTTCCTACTACATATGTGAAACCGTGGCACAGGAGATGCACTGCAGAAACGGCATATTTCCAGACCCAAGAGCTTCATATCTCGATTTAAACAACAGTGTCCTGTGGTGTTACCTGTTTGGATGCCACACAAATTCTAACTATATATATAGATCACCAAATGGTGACTTCGATGAATTCTATAATAAACTTCAAATACTATACTTAACACTTTAGACTACAAGCATAATATAATCATATGTGTGACAGTTGTGTTTCATTTGGACTGTATCAGACTAGGCAGAATGATACGTGTTTTTCTGTAAACTGTGAAACCTGTTAGGAAGAGAAAGATAATAAACTATAGGCTATATCGCTGATTAAGGTCTTTCCAAATCAGTAAAATTGAGACAGTCGACTGGATATTTTTGTCTGATACTAATTTATCACTGACTACTAAATTTGAGCATATTAAATAATGTCGATGAGTGCTTGCCAACCAAATCTAGGTTAGTGTCAGAGCGTTGCCGTAACAAAATCAACTGGTTTGACCACGAATTGGCACAGATGAGGGAGAATTTGAAGCTACTAACAAATTAATAAAGATAATCCGCAGGTAGTATCAAAGAAAGGCATTAATTAAGCAAGCAGCTATGTGGAATGTGATTCAAGCCAATGGTGTGCAATCATCAAAATCCCATTCTACTCTCAAGGCGAATGATTTAATCTCTTTGTTAGCATTGCTGAAACCGTTATTACTGAAATTCCAATTACCCAGTCAAACTTCAAAGATTTTATACAGACTACGATGTTCGAGACGCAATCAAAACCTTAAAGAATTCTAAAAGTAAAGATCCTTATGACATCGACTTTAAAATTATGAAGACCTTAAATAACTTTATATTATGTATATATCCTATAAAAGTTGATAAACAGGTGTATAGAAAATATCTTTCCTGCCTGACAAATATTATCCCACTCTTCAAGAAGGGATATGAGAATGATCCATGTAATTACAGACCCATTAGAGAGATATTGCATATGGACCTAAATAAGGGTATGCATTATTTAGGTGAACCTAAATAAGTACAGTGGAATTAGAGATATTGCACATGTAACGTATTTTGACAGTTCGCTTTGATGGTGTTTATCTTAACCTCACTTTTCCTTCCAGTTTTTGCTTGCATAATATAGGTGGTTCGTAGTTGAAATTCTACCAAAGGTGTGAGAAGTGAGATTGTA